TTATTTATGTCATTGTTTGATGTTTTGGTATGGTTGGTTTTCACCAGGTTAAAATGAACTTCATCCAATACATCAACTTTATTTTTCTTGCATATTATAATTCATATTTGCAGAAATCTATCCCTTCATCTTTGAAAACCAAACAACCAATAACATTAACTTGGAACAAAGAAGTCACAGATACTGGGAGGTGGAGACGAATTTCATAATCCTGGGTTAGATTGAGAGCCTGTAGCTCAATACAATTGGGATAATTTTAGTCAAATTAATAAGTTAGATTGATTTTCTTCTTGTGATCCTTTATTGATTGGGATCGTACTTTACTCATAATATATTTTCATATAGCAACTCAGATTTCACCTACTGTGTATCATAGTCTACACAGCACTGTGTATGCTGATCATAACAAAAAATATATATATTCTGAAAGTACATTATTAATATACTGAAGAGTTAATTCCAGCAATGGTCCTCTGACTATATTGATTTTTTAACATTAGTCCTCGACTTTTAATTTGGACATTTTACGTCCCTTGACTTTTAATTTCTTTCCAATTGAGGTCCTTTCGTCAATTTACGGTAAATTGGACTTTAAATGTAAGGGTAAAGTAGTTATTAAATGTAAATTGGACTTTCTCCTTTGTATGCGCGACTTAGGACATCAGATTCACTTAATTGCTTAATCCCTAAATCCACTCGAAGAACAAAATTACATAAGGGATTAAGCAATTAAGTGAATCTGATGTCCGAACAAAATTCCATTAGGGATTAAGCAATTAAGTGAATCTGATGTCTGAAGTCGCAAGGAAGAAATATGAAGAATTATACAGATGAAATGACTACCTTATCCTTTCATTTAAAGTTTAATTTATCGTAATCTGACAAAAGGACATCAATTGAAAAGAAATTGAAAGTCAAGGGACATAAAGTGTCTAAATTAAAAGTCGATGACTAATTTTGAAAAATCAATATAGTCGGAGGACTATTGCTTACATATAGTACACAAATAATATATTTTTAGTATTCAAATAATATGTTTTTCTAAATATAATATATATTTTTAATATACTAAAAATACATATACATTATTTGATAGTATGGCTCTCACATTTGCGTGTAGCATAATGATTGGAGTCAAAGCTGTTGAGCTCTCATTTATAATAATCTATATTTTAGTTTTAATTACTCAATTGCGAGATGTTATTCATGTCAAAACTTTTTAAAACGCATAACTTCCACTAATCCAAGGTCAAATTCAACCCTTCATTAAAATTTACGGAATAAATGTACAAGATTTTAATGAAATAAATGTACAAAGTTAATAATTGGAAGGCTAAATTTTTAATTTAAAATTTTTAATTTTTAATAAGGGGTTAAAATGTGATTTTACTAGAATAATTTGAGACGTGGCGCGATGCTATTAGTCAGCTCAGCGGCACGTGCTCCCAAGTCAAGGAGAATAATTCGCCGTCGTCGCGGTAGAAGTTTTAGTTTTAGCTCAACCTAGCCTCAAATCCAGAACTCCAGGAGCGACGTAGACACAATCGTAGCTGAAGTTAAGCTCTCTTTCATCATCTCGATCATTGAAGGTTAGATTAGCATAGCAGATCGATCGATAAGTCATTCAATCAATCATTGATCTATGGCGGAGCCGTTTTCCTTCCTAGACAGCTACAACAGGTTCCTAAAGCGCGATAAGCCGCTTCCTTCCTGGACCGACGCCGACGTCAAGGAGTTCATTTCCTCCGATCCTGTTCATGGCCCCGCGGTAACTTCCGTTTTCCTTTTTCTCAGATTTCACTTCATTTCTACGCGGTTATGTTCATTTATGCTTCTTTTTTTTTTTTTTTTAAATCTATCTCGGTTTCTGTGATATGCTCCCATTTCACCGGGTGTGTGTTGTGTTGCGTATGTAATTATGTATGCGTATCTACGAAGATTTTGGTATGGATGTGCTCTTAGAGCTGTAAAAACGCTTTATTGTAATTATTAAGCTTATTTGGGGGAGTCGGTTTTCCGGAAAATGCTTGCCTGTGTGTTTTCAGCAAAGCAAACATTTCTGGATTGATTGCTTGCCTCGAATCTGGATTTAATAATTTGATATGTCGGAAAACTGGATGGAGATTTAATTTCCGGTGGCCATCTTCTATTGGTTTGGAATTAGGGCTTCGTTGAGTTCAAGTGCTTGAAAACATCTATCTAAGCCAGGTCTATCTAAATTTGAATATTGAGCACTTTGATATGTTATTGTTCAGTGTGTTTTTTTTTTTTTTTTTTGGGTTATTTATGACAAAGTGTTTCACAATTGATCTTAGTGAATATATGCGAGTCAAGATTTTAGTATAACAACTTTGGTCTTTTGTCTTTATTTGGCTCAGACTCTGATGTATATCTTTGTCCACAGTCAAATTTTTACGATTTAAAGTGATGAATCATCCTATGTGTGTCATTCCCTCATTTGTTGGTATAATTGGTATTTTTGTTGGTTTCTGAGAAACCTGTAATCTCTCTAATTGAGTCCCTACAAAAATTGAAATAATATTGAGCTCATAATATGCCCATTTTCCAGCTGAAGACTGCACGAGAAGTAGCACAATTTGGTGTTGTTGGAAGCATTGTTGGAGGTATTACAACTGCTGGTTGGGCTTGGAAGTATTCTAAGAGTCCACATGGTAAATTTTATCCTCTGGAGAAGTGCTTATACATTACAGATTTTTTGTATTTTTTTTAGAAGTGTTCACCATAAAAATTGCTACACTTTGATAGGAAGAAAAAGATCAAGCAAACTAGGAAAGAACAAACATCTTGTTAGTCATAATAAAGAGATCAGTGGCTTTATCTTTGCCTTCCCGCCCAACTTCACCTTTGAGTTCTGACCTCCTTTAGGCAAAACACTTCCATGAACCAAGTTGCCTGCTGATATAATTCTAGCTGCATGTCTATTGCTTTAAAAGCCCCTTTGCAGTGTCGATAGAAATTATCCTGTTAATATATGATCAATGTGAATGTTGTTATAAGACAAATACAGGATGTCGCTAAGTTAAAGTTTTTAGAAATGAAGAAAATTATAGAAACTGTGGTCATGAGAATAATCACTTGGTAGTTGGTTTGTTGGTTTGAAGTATAACTCTGGGTCCTAGAAACTATGAAGATGATTTCTTTGAGTTTGTCTTTTTGATATAAGGTCTCAATCTTTTACTTTCTTATTGTTCAAACCTTTTGGGTCTAAGATTATTAAGGAATTCTATTTACTCATATTTATTCTCTTATTACTCAAAATTTGATATGAATGTTAAGGATGAAAAAAAAAAACTTTTTTAAAATTTTAGTTCTATATGAAGACTACTTGAATATCATATGATGTGCAAGTAATTGATAGTTAGAATTCATTACTACAGATAACAATAGAGTAAGAACACATTATGGTTGTGATGATATACATATATTCCTAAATGGAGTTATGGAGTATGATGTGGAAAAGGGATTTATGATGCTAATAACCCCAACTAATAGATCTGAGCTATAAGTTTGAATTGCACAAATTATAATATGTCTGGTTATAGGTTTCACTAGAAGGAAAACACTTCTTCCATTGCATTTCATTATGCAAACACTACTTCAACCTATTAAATAACTATAGGTTCTCATGTTTCTAGCTTACATAATTTCTGGCAGTGTATTACTGAGTTTCATTTCTTTTGATTTCTGGACGCTGTAAAAATAGTTAAGTTGTCTGTACATACACCACGTTTGGTGGGTGAATCTAAATTCCTGTTTAGCTTAAGTAGAATGCACAAGAGTAAATTGATGTAATTGGAGGCTGATGGTTGAATTCCATTTGTGGTTATCAACATTGGGTAATGCATGACTGGCTGAGGGGTGGCATAGAGAGAGTTCAATATATTCAGTATATTTCACTTGACGACATTCGTAAGAATGTGAATTGAAATGTGCTCTGATTATAGTTTGGGTGATGCAGGAACTGTACTGTCTCTCGGATTTGGTGCCATCTGCGGTTGGACATTTGGACATGAAATTGGAAACCATTCGTTGCAGCTTTACAGGTACAACACTGTGACTGCACAGGCTAAATTCTTGGAGTGGTGGCAAAACAAGTCTTAAGAAGTCAGTTTGCTGTCAACTACTAGTGGAACGCACTTTTGTATGCTCAATAATAAGAATCACTAAAGGTTGTTTGGTTTTAGAAATTCTGTGGCCACAGAATTGGCATGAATTTCGGATTTCGTTTGGAATGCTAATGTCTTTATTTTCTGTTGCCTAATGAAGGTTTTCAGCTTCCATTTTCCAAGGTTAATATATCCAAATTCTTATACTTAATCTAGCCGAACTTCGTCCTAGTATGATTTTGTTACATATGCATGAGTTAGAACTTCTCACTTCATGTTAGCCAATAGAGATTTAATAATTTTATTTTTGTTGCATACGAGTTTAAACTCCTAACTTATGTTAAGTATATATAAAATTTTATATTTAATCTAACCGAGCCTTATTTTTGTAGCATGCCATTGCGTATTCAGGAGTTCAAATTCTTGACTTCATGCATAACCCATTTGTAATGATGATCATTCCTACGACTTCATATATACATACTACAGCTTGAATTGCTTTTGGAATGATAAAATTGTTATGCTCACTGCTCTTGAAGCAAATATTCGTCAATTGGACTGACTAATAATGTTCCTTATAGTAACTATAATGCGCGAGTACTTGAAACACACTCATAAGTCATAACGGCTCCACATTTGAGCTTTTAACTCGTTAAAAGATGAACATTCATTCACGTTCAAATGAATTTAGAGTTTGATCCACATAAAAGAGACTGAGATAGTCATAAAGCATTTACATCAACTATATTGCTATATATATATATATACTGGTTCCAAGCCACATATAAAGCAGTCGTATTTTCTTATTGCAGCAGTCTATCACATTGCCAACATTCAGGTATAAACAGGCAAAACAGCATTCCTGTAACACCAACATTAGAAATCGTTGAGGGCAGTGAAATAAAACTTCAACCGAATGAATAAAATAATTGAAAAGAAAAAACTCATGTCGTCCCTTTTTACACGTTTGCTCATACTATATATTAGTCAGTCAATCTCTCCTTTCTTTGGTTATAATCTTTAACCTGTTCTTTCTTACAATTTTTTAAATCGTTTTTTTTTTGTGTTTAATTGTAGCCTTCTATGTAGGTATATAAATTTTATATACTAACACTATACTAAATATTACAATTCATGTAAATAACTTTAGTTAAGCCTCATTAATCAAGCCAGGCACAAAATTGACGAATAATAAAGTGAGAACACATTCAAAGACACATCTCCCATTCCTAATAGGACCTGTATTATACATAGGCAAAACTCAATTTTATCATCTTTTAGGATTCCAGGTGAAGCATATGTCCATTCTTTGTTTGAGACATCTAATGGGAGGATGGGATTTGAAACCATAGGTGTACAAGTGTATTGCCTAGAAAGGGTATAGCTTACTACATTTTATACATCTCAGACCCAATCCACCATACAATTTAAAATTACAATAATATAATTTTCCCTTCCTACTCTTAGAAACATTCCCCAACTAACTACACAAACAAATGTGATATGGCGGGGGCATTGATGATATGTATATCTATATCTACTGTCTTTGAAAAGATATGTGGCTTAAGAACAAAGCATCAACACATGGGTATCATGCCATGTCATTTTGATGTTATATCATGCACAATCAAGACCTGTGCAATGAGGGTAGTGAAGTACCGAGCAGACATGCAATTGAGACATAAATTTCCAAATAGTGCAGTTACCTTTTAGAGAAGAGACTGCAACATGCACCACGTCACAACAAAAAATCAGTCTGAAGAAGAGCCTGTAGTGCATGGCATTTGCCTACTACCATCAGGCAATGAGTGATTGCCATCAATTGCTGAGATATGTTGTTCCGCGTGATCCACTGTTATATTCTCGTCCATTCTATTTGATATAGGAGAAGGCATAGTCCTACTAGCTTCTCTAGTTTCAAGATGATCCATCATGCGTGACACAGTGGCAATATCTGCAGCCGCCTCATTCCTACTTTCAGAGCCATGACTCACTGTTGAATTATTCCGAGGGAAAAACTTCTCCTTCAATCCTCTTGTACTCTTTGTGATAGATTCTTTATATCTACAAAAGATAATAGAAAAGATAATAATGAGCACATTTCAGTAGAAAGCCAGAAGTGGAAAAGAAACATATATTTAGCTTGATACCTCATTGAAAAGGCACTAAGTCGAGATTTTATAGATTCTGAGAAAGACTGAAAATCGGATGGTCCAACTCTATCTTGGTTGTTAGGAGAAGAATGGGGAGATCTCCTATAAAAGAAAGCATCACAATAATATGAACAAATGACGGAATAAATTGAATACCCATAAGGTCAACCACCAACCACACAATAGCAAAAAATAAAATGAGGTTAAATTTTCCAACACAATCTTAAGAATGATACCTACCTATTATTTGGAGAAGTTCCAATTTGACTAACACCGCCACCACCTGATCCAGAGGCGGGAATCTGATTATTTTGGGCAGGGGATGGTGATGCAGTCAATTGGGCCGAACCCTCTCCAACTGCAATACTTGGAGATGTTTGGTGAGCACCAATGAATACAGAAGCGGGTTCACCTCCAGCCCTCTGGGCAGAAGGAGTAGAAGCCGGGGCTGTATTTGGATTAGTTGAAAACACCAGAAAATGGGGATGACCTTGGGAAGATGTTCTACCCCTTTGACCTTCCCTCCTGGCAAGGTTACGTGCCCTTCCCATAGCAGCAGCAGCAGCTAAGTGCTGAATAATACGCTCTTCGAGCTCAGAATCAGTAGCACTAACAGGTAACTGCAACAACATGCCATATAATGATATCACCTATTATAGTAAATATCATACAACTCGAAAAAGCTTTGAATGCAAAAATAATAATACAAACATGCTGCAACTCAAAATCCCCTAAAGTGGGATGATGAAAAATTGTAGTGTTTCTCGGAGGATTCATCCTGATATTCCTCTCATGTTCTACTGCATCAAACAATTCCTGGCTGCAAGCATGAGCACAAGTCAGCAAACCACTCAAACGAATACTTAGGAATACCAGTGTCAACGGTTTGTATAAAAAACATATACCAGTTGGGGTCTTTCAAGCTAAGAGGCTGCCAGCACATGGGACACTGTGAGCTTCTCTGGCCCCTGTAAAACGAAAATGCAAAACCATTCAGGACTCTATTACCTTCGAATTCCCGAATGGAGCAATAAATACTTTTGATAAGTAATAAAACTTCATCCAAATGCTATTCCAGCCACCATAATAACAGAACAAACAGTTTTTGGATATCTTATTTACATTATAATAAGAAATAATATACCATTCAAGGATACACTGCAGGTGAAATTCATGCTTGCAAACAGTAATCTGCACGGAGAATGACACTTAGTCTATTACTAAGAGGAATGCAATATCAAACCACAATATCCAAAAATGTGAAAGCCAATGCATACCGTTGAAGGATCGCTGTCACAAAATGCTTCAAGGCATATGCTGCAAGAATCATCGCAGGAATCCTGAATTCCACCTTCCACGAATGCTGCAGCTGAAGACAGATGTTTGTCCGAGACCTTTCCATCCTCCATCTGTAAAAAAGTATAAACCTTTAACATCAAACTTTTAAGTGCATAATGTAACCTACCTTCAAAGCCATAGTTAACGCTAAATAATATTATCTAAAATAACAGATAATGCTTGAAAGTATTGGGGTACCAAAGCCCGCAATTCTGATTCAACTAAAACAAATAAAGGAAAAGCTTAAGCAAACCATGAACTTGGACTAAAATTAGCAAACATTCTAATTTCTACAGTACAAAGAGTCACAAAGTCCTATACAACCCTTATTCAAACATCACAACAAAAAGCAAAACACAGCACGATTAATTGCTGCAATAAACTAATTGTTCATTTAACTCTAATAGATTCCACTAGAAGGGTTTACACTAGGGTTAAAAATTAAAATAACACACGTTTGACTTTTATACACTATGCAACAATTCCATGATCATGCCATTAGAACTCTCTTAAATTCCATAAATATAATTTCATCTTCACCATTATTTAGTATTTACATCACTACAATCAAAACCAAACAAGAAGGAACCCGGGACATAACACTAGTTAAACCCCTAAGCAACGACCTTTCACAAATCCAGCACAGCATAGCGCGATAATCACAGCATAACAAAGAACAATAAGCACAGGAATTAAAATTCAAACACAAATAGTGAGAAACTAGGAAACAAGTCAAAAGAGAGAAATCCAGTACCGAAATTGACACAAAAATACACAAATCCAGAATACTTAGATAGTAAAAGCTAGCGAAAAAAAGAGTCGGACACTGACCTCAAAGTGATCGAACGGATCAAGGAGTAGTCGCGAGCAGAGTGATTGATCAGAAGAAGTTTAGGGTTTGGGATAGGAACAGGAACAGTGGGTGGGCTGAAAGAGGGCGACGAGAAGAGGGAATAGGAGAGAATAAGAGGGTTTGGGCTTTTGGTTCTGTGGTTTATTATTATTATTATTATTATTATTATTATTATTATTATTATTATTATAATATTATTATTATTTATATTTATATAATTGAGAAAATAAAATTGCGGTGGTGAAGAGTCTAAGCCCACGCAGAAAAAGGTTTGCACGACGGAGAAACCATCGAACCATACATAGCTACGTCACGTCTTCTCTTCCGTTAATAACGCACTATGCACTCCACTCCGCGTGCACAAGGAGGTAAATTAAGGGTGGTTCGTGCTTAACTCATTGGTTCAGTATGTAATATTTGAGATAAAAGATTTGAATCTCGATAATGATAGTGTGAAGATTATGTTCAAAGCGGATAGATTTTTATGCGCACGGTACTTAGTCATACTTACTGTACTAGTGAGTTACCGTGATTTACATCCTCTCAAATCTCTATCGGGCCGATGTGCCAGAACCCTTTGGGTTGAGGATTCAAACTTTTGAGAGAAAAAAAAAATAATTAAGCTGAGGTTGCCCAATATTGACATTCGACTATACACATCTGCACAAAGAGTCCAACCCCAACCGCCCCCTAACTCTAGCTCATTTGATTTCTCAACTTAACATGGTAGAGACAAATTCAAATTCAGCTCGTACTCTTCCATGTTACTATTGCATTCAGATTTCGCTTATTAACTACTATTCAAAGTTGATGGGTTATCATTCTTCTTTTTTAATCTATTGCAGACTAACGAGTCAACACCCTACCACCCGGGGTTCAATCATGTAATCTCTCATTAATGAGAGCCACAAAAGTGTCATTTGAGCATAAAGTGCTAGGCCACAAAACTAAATTTAGTATTTTATTACAAATTTAAGAAATGTCAAATACATCTTGTAACTATTTCGGATAATGCAATTAACCTTAATTTAACCATGAAACTTATAGAAAATAATGCAATTGAACTCATATTACCTCCTATAGCATGTTAGTATTAGATTATAGTCATCAGGTCAATTTTTTATGAATTAATATCCAAAATGATCCTCGATTATAATGATGTTTTTCAATTTCGTCATAAACGATTTTGGTGACCTAATGTAGTCCCATATTTTTGTATTTTTGCTCAATTTAATCTTCTGTCTGTTATTCCGTCCACTTGGTATTCAATAGAGGGACAATTTAGTAATTTGAATATTACCATCTCTTTATTCATAGACATGCGAAGTGCGAAATACATCTTTCTTTTACAAATTACTCCTAAAATTTGATTCGCAGGTCTGGGAGTAATTCATATAAGAAAATGAATTTCGCACTTCACATGACTGATAGTAAAGAGATACCAATTATTGAATTGTCCATTGATTTAACACCAATTTGACAGAATAACAAATGGAGACTAAATTGAGCAAAAACAGTCTGGGACTACATTAGGTCACCAAAATCGTTTAGAATGAAATTGGAAAAATCACTATAGTCGAGGATCATTTTGAGTATCAATTTATTTTTATTATTAATTTGAGCTCAAACTCATTTGTTTATTTATGATTTGGATGCAATCTCATATGTGTCTTCGTCCACTGCTGGTAATATGGTATGGTTAAGGATTGCCATGGTAATTTCATTTTTTTTTTTAAATGTATTAATAAAGCACAATTAATTAATTTGTAATTACTCTACTTTACTCCATGTAAATTGATTGTTCATTTTCTAAATACAGCAAAATAAAATAAAATAAAATAAAAATTACAACAATTGTGAAAACAGCATGCATTATTCCTTCAAGAGATTCAAAAGTGCGAAATCAATATGTTGATTATCTATTGATATGTTGTTAATTTTTAGATCTATTGACTCCTCTCTTCTAGAAAATGAGTCACATTTTCATTTACAATGCCGAACCATACCACATAGTTCCGGCAACAACAAAAGCTGCAAAAAAGACACCACATAGTTCCGGCAACAACAAAAGCTGCAAAAAAGACAACAACGATACAATTGGAAAATACAATTTCAATATTTCCCATACGCAGTCCTGCAGCAGCGATACTACTGGAAAGTACAATCTCAATATTTCCCATATGCAGTCCACCCACTAATATGCCCATATGCAGTCCACCCGCTAATATGCCCAGCCTTCCACGCCCCACGCTGGGTTTACATGTTGTACTTTTCCCGTTAGTCCATAATCGGGCACCTAGATTCTGGGACCATACAAGCTCGTTACATGAAATGCACCAAAACCAAAGCAAGCCAACACTGAGAGAAATAAATGAATTTCGAAGATCTTGGGCAAATTCAAAGAGTGTTTGGTTGCACTCAAAAAACTGTCTTGGTGTGTTTGATTCATTTTTCAAAAAATGAGCAAAATTATATAATTATACGTTAAACATTTTAATTATAGCAAAATCACACCAAAATAACCGATAATCATCTCATTCAAAAAAATTACAGCAAAATCACACCAAATTGGTCGACAAAAAAAATCACAAGCTTCTGATTTCCACAACCAATCTGGCCAAGTGGTTTCCGCATCGGACTAATGACCGACTAGTTTTGCTTCAGAAACCAATCGACAAATGCAGAAACTAGTCTGCTCTGGAAAGCTTTGAAAGAGAAAAGTCGTTGAAGCAGAGCATATCCCTTGAGAGAGGCGTGGTCTTAGTAATCTATTTTCCATTAACTTCCATTTCTCCTCTTTAGCTAAACATTGAAAACTCAAAAAATGATTTTCTTTCCAAACACACCCGTATAATCAAAATGTTTGTTCGGTCTATGCATCAACTTCTCACTTTCTCAGTTCTCATCCCTATGACAAATTGCAAATCCTGTCCTTTTTCATTTATTTTATTTTTGAAAACGGTTGAGAATATGAAATGACAAGTATTTATGTATTTTCACCATGAACTTATAATTAATCAATGAGCATGATTGCCGAAAATACCCTTGCGTGCGCCACATATATATATACATTCAGAACCTACTAAAAGAGTGGGAGGGCAATGAATCTCTCTCCGACGTGCTCCGCCAGAACCCGGCGCCGTAGAACTGCCCCCACATTTCTCGTTCGAAATCAAGGGAGCTCGCGGCTCTAGGTCTGCGAGACACCGCCTCGGCATCTCCGATCGGCGCAACCGACTTCGCCGGAGACCCCGTCCTCGCCGGAACTGTGGTCGCGCCCTCCTCCATCTTCCTCCTCTTCATAACCAGCAGCTTCTGCTTTCTCCTCCGCCACGCCTTCCGGCACAGCCCCACCGGGACCCGGTAAAATGCGAGCACCAGGAAGTCCAGCACCGCGCAGGGGCAGCAGCAGCACACCATCGCGCACTCCGCCGCTGTTCCCCCGGCGAACTCCCCGACCGGGCGGTGCACCCTACCCCCTCCGCTGACATCGTCGCGGCTCTCGCCTTTATTCTCCGTCGCCTGCGGCGACCTCCGGTTCACCGCCGACGGCTTAATCGTGCCCTGCTCTCCCATGAAACCACCATTCCCGAATCAAATACTCGTCGTTCCTAAATCGCAACGATCAAAGCTTGAACACCAAAAAAAAAAAAAACAAAAATCAAAATTCGCAGAATCTGAAACAAACCCTATAAGATAATGGATGGCGGAGTGACGAGAATATTTGAATGCGGAAAGGGGTAAAAACCGAAAGCATAATTTTTCTCTTTTTTTTTTTTCTTTTGTTTTTGAAAATTTTCCACAAATTTCGGATTTACTAAATGGAACGTGTGGATAAATGGATAAGTTCACTTTGGACCATTAGATTTTAGAAATTGCATTTAAACCCTATGGAAGTAAGAGTTTTTTGCACTTTTAGTCCCACGACTATAGTGGCACTGACAGAATTGATCCACGACTTTTGAACCTTGCAATGTTAGTCCATGACTATTGATTTTTTTGTAAAAATGGTCCTTCCGGCCACTTTTCCGTCAAAATTTCACCGGGAAAAAAAATTCTCTATTTTTAGCCGGGTTAAAATTGACATTTTACTTATCTCAAAAAATTAAAAGAAAAAAATTGATATTTGACTACATACAATATTACTGGGCGTGAAATTTTGACGGAAAAGTGGCCGGAAGGACCATTTTTACAAAAAAATCAATAGTCGTGGACTAAAATTGCAAGGTTCAAAAATCGTGGATCAATTCTGTCAGTGTCACTATAGTCGTGGGACTAGAGACACATTTATAGTTATGTACTAGAAGTCTATAAGAGAAATATATTTAATGGTTACGATTGATAAAATTTATAATTTATTTTAAGTTATAATCGTGTTTTGTAAAAATAGAAAGTGTATACGTTTAAGATTTTAAATGATTTTTGTATAATTTTTAAAATTTTTATCAACTTTGTACGAATTTATAAAAATTCAAAAGACAAATAACATTTATAAACTTTTTTAAAAATAACATTTATAGATTCTGAACTGGGACGAAAGAGCCCACCGCCAACAAGGGATCGGATTTTGCTGGGTTGAGTTTTGGAAGGATGAGAACTGATTGTATTATATTTTCTGAACTTCATTACAATGAGATCAGATGATGTGAATATATAGAATAGAGAGTCACAGTGTGACAATGATAAGAAGTAGAGAGTCACAGTGTGACAAGGATAAGAAGTTCTAAACAGACTCATATACATAGAGTCCTAATACTCCCCCTCAAGCACAGTGTATACTAGTAACCTGTAGCTTGTCCCTTAAGGAAGAAAATCTAGGTCCAGGCAGAGCTCTGGTGAAGATATCAGCAAGTTGATCCTTTGTGGAGATGAAGTTGACTTGGATATCGCCCGAAGCTACTCGATCACGAACAAAATGATAATCAATCTCCACATGCTTGGTGCGCGCATGAAAGATTGGATTGGCACTCATATATGTAGCTCCTAGATTATCACACCATAATTTTGGAATGGAAATACCCGGAATCTGTATCTCACGCAATAATGACATAATCCATAGAACCTCAGCACAAACATCTGCAAGAGCTTTGTATTCAGCCTCAGTGGATGACCTGGCAACAGTTCTCTGTTTCTTGCAAACCCATGATATAAGATTACTCCCCAAGAAAACAGCAAAACCACTCGTGGATTTTCGATCGTCAGGACAACCAGCCCAATCAGAATCAGAGAAAGCATGAATGTCTCTAGATGAGCACCGTCGTATGCGTAAACCATGATCAACTGTTCCCTTAACATACCTGAGTACCCGTTTGAGCTGCTCCCAGTGTGATATGGTGGGGGCATGCATATGCTGGCATAACTGATTAACTGCAAAGGATAGGTCAGGTCGTGTGACAGTGAGATATTGCAGTGCTCCAGCTAGACTCCTGTACTGTGTGGGATCATCATATAGATCTGAATTGAAGGGGACAGTTTTCGAGACAGAGATAGGTGTAGAAAGGGGTTTGCATTCATACATTCCAGCCCGTTTTAAAATATCATTCATATACCGTTGTTGAGATAAAATAATCCCATTGTCACTCTTAACTGTTTCAATACCCAGAAAAAAATTTGGTTCACCAAGATCTCTGATTTTGAATGTAGCAGACAGTTTGGACAAGAGCTGAGACATAATACCTTGATCACTTCCCATTACAAGAATGTCATCCACGTACACCAATAGATAAACCAAAGCAGAGTCTTTAGAGTAATAGAACAGAGAGACATCTGTCTTGGATGCTTGAAAGCCAACCGATAGTAAGAACGTATGTAGTCGATTAAACCAAGCTCTGGGAGCTTGTTTTAACCCATACAGAGATCTTTTTAACAAACAAACATGATTTGGGAAGTTAGCATCAATATAACCAGGGGGTTGCTTCATATAAACTGTTTCAGCCAGATTACCATTCAGAAAAGCATTATGAACATCTAGCTATTTGATAGACCACCCAGATGATAAAGCTAGAGATAGAAGGAGTCTTACAGTCGTAGGCTTTACCACTGGACTAAAAGTGTCGAAGAAGTCCTGACCTGGAACCTGATTAAAACCTTTCGCAACCAGCCTGGCTTTATGCCTTTCAATAGCACCATCAGCCTTTCTCTTCGTACGAAACACCCATTTACAGCCAATAATATTCATACCTGCAGTGGGTGGAACTAGAGACCATGTGTGGTTATGCAGGAGAGCATTGAATTCTTGGTCCATGGCTTCACGCCACTCAAGATATTTGACAGCATGAGAGTAACATGTGGGTTCCGTGGGATGCACTTGAGCTGCTAGAGCAAAAAGAGGAGCATCTGCGTTGCTGCGAGTGGCCATAGAGTGAGTACGGACATTGGGCCTGATGGACCGCCCACGTGGACGGCCTCGCCGGCGAGCAACAGGCTCCACAGGATCACCCGACGAGGCAGCCTGTCCAGGAACCACGGCTGGTTCGAATGAAGCAGGTAGCGGCGGTTCTGGCAGCTCATCATTGGACACGGCAGGAATAAGTGTGCTGTGACGGAGTAGATTGATCCTGCAAAGAAGTTTTAGTAGCAAAGGGGAAAACTTCTTCATCAAATCTAACATGCCTGCATGTGTAAATCTTATTAGTATGTAAGTCCATGCATCTGTACCCCCTAAAGGACTCAGGATAACCTAGGAAGACACATGGAGAAGACCTGTATGACATCTTATGACGATTATATGGTCGAAGATGAGGGTAGCATAAACACCCAAAGACACGAAGAAAAAGATAGGAAGGAGGGGATTTATGTAACAGGAGATGAGGACTGGAGTTATTTAGTACAGAAGATGGCATTCTGTTAATTAAATAGACAGCAGTCTCAAAGGCAAAATCCCAAAATTTCAAAGGAACAGAGGCATGAGCTAGAAGAGCCAGACCAGTTTCAACAATGTGACGATGTTTTCGTTCAACACGACCATTCTGTTCATGTGTATAGGCACAAGATTGTCTATGTTGAATTCCTAATTGAACAAACAAAGAATGCAACTTTTTGTACTCAGCACCTAAATCAGACTGAATGGCCTTTATTTTGCAATTAAAGGACCGTTCAACAAGAGTACGAAATTTATCAAAGATGACATAAAGATCAGACTTTAATTTCATAGGAAAGAACCATGTATAACGGGAATATTCATCCAAAAAGATCACAAAACAACGGAAGCCAGAAGTAGATAAAGTGGGCGCAGGACCCCAAATGTCTGTGTAAATAAGATCTAGGACTTGAGAACTAGAGGAAGCAACACGGGGGAGGGGAAAACGGGCAGATTTGCCTAATTGACACGCATTGCATAAAGAATTATGACAACGAATATTATCACGAGACCCACTAACCAAACAAGAACGAAGTATATGGCTAAGAACACGGTTATGAGGATGACCTAGACGATTGTGCCAAGTGGAAGCCGAGGCACGAGCGGAAATAAACGCTGACGGAGACGAACTAGGTAATGAAAGTGTGTATAGTCCCCCCGAACTATTGCCCCGAAGAAGTATTTCCTTGGTATTGATATCTTTTACAACAAAAAAAGGAGGGGTGAAACTCAAAAAAGACTTTATTATCGGATGCAAACTTCTGAACAGATAATAAAGAATTAGACAAACGCGGAACGTGAAGTATATCAGACAATGTAAATGATCTAGAAGGGGTATTAAAAGAGGCATGGCCAACATGACTAATAGATAAACCCATACCGTCACCGACACGTAAAGTGTCATTACCAGTGTACTTCTCCGATGTAGAAAGGGCAGCGACGTTCGGAGTTGCATGATTTGTGGCTCCAGTGTCCGGAACCCAAGTATGAGAATTTGACGAGGTTTTAGCAACTAAACCATTCTGAAACACCAAATTAGCCTGAGAACCCGGAGCCCCTGAATATCGCCGAAAACAGTTGACTCCCGTGTGACCGAAACTTTTGCAAATTTGACACGGATCATTATAGCGCCAAAAACAATTGGCTCCTGTGTGACCAAAACGTTTACAAATTAGACACGGATCATCATAGCGCCAAAAACAATTGGCTCCCGTGTGACCAAAACGTTTACAAATTTGACACGGATCATCATAGCGCCAAAAACAATTGACTCCTGTGTGGCCGAAACCTTTACAGATTTGACACGGATCATCGAAGCCACGTTGCTGACCTCCACGGTAATTAAGGTTGCCATCGCAGCGCTGCATCTTCTTAATTTTATGAATCACGAAACCCTAGCTAACTGATACCAGATGAGAACTGATTGTATTATATTTTCTGAACTTCATTACAATGAGATCAGATGATGTGAATATATAGAATAGAGAGTCACAGTGTGACAATGATAAGAAGTAGAGAGTCACAGTGTGACAAGAATAAGAAGTTCTAAACAGACTCATATACATAGAGTCCTAATAGGAAGAACCCATTTAGGACTACTTCTAGTATGGCATTTAATTTTATAAATAATTAAACAAACTTTTCCTTATTTTTGCAAATTTGATAACGGTAAAAGAAAAGAAATTGATATATATCTTTTAGTTTCAAATTGAGCAAAACAAATTGTGCAATTCCATGACCATACCAAGGCTATAAAAAGAAAGATTATCATAAGCCTGAAAATCTGGAGTTTATTAAAAAAAAAAAAAAAAAAAGTATCTTAGCTTGTTTCTTTTAGAAGTGTTTTCTCTCTTATAATATGGCATAACTTTAAAAGCACATGTTGGATACATTATATATACTTGTCAAAAGTTATTTGAATCTTCAGTCAATACGTTTTGTATGTAATTGTATCCACGTGAAGTAATTATTGGTCGCCGAGCTAGTGAATGTTCAATTCATTCACCACTACTATCAATAATAATCTCTTTCAGTACGTGTATACCAACGCAATTGTTTTCGATAAATGTTGAGTGAATTCATAAAACTCTACTTCTTCAAATGCTTCATCTACTTGTTATTCCTACACATTAACCATCTCAAGGTGATCATCACTATCAATACTAGAGTTGGACATTATATATTAATCACCTAAATGGTATTAAATAGTACCTACAAACAAAACTATTTATATGAAACAATAAAAAATATTTTATAAAAAGTAAAGAAAACAAGAGAAAATAAAAGAATTTATAGTAAAAAAAAAAAATAGTACTAACAATACTATCAACTTCTTGTAAAAAAATACTTAACAAATATTGTGATGAATGCATAGAACAAAATTTATGATAATAATACTACTAATAATAATAATACTATGAACTTTCATTTAGATAATTTGAATATTATCCAATTATAGCGATTTAGGGGTGACATATTTAGAAACGTATCCTTATTTAATTTCGTGGTAAATGTAAAATTTTACTTATAGAAGACATAATACGTAGATTTTCATATTTCAAACGCATAATAACTCTAACAAACACTAACTCCCCACAATAGTATGAGGTTACGAAACAGTCATGTTTTATACAATGCAAGATGTCTCAAAGAATCTATAACGGTTCTTTATTCATACATGTTAAAATATAGTCCGCATAGAGCCATAGACAACTCAGTTTGTCACATGGGTGAAGTTTGGTAAAAAATAATCACGGATTGAGTCTCACCAGCGGCAGTGTTGAAACAACCTCGTTCTCAAAGTGAGAGGGCTCATTGTGCGTAGTAAGCAAATGTCTAGTCTCTGTTCAAATACTTTAGCGGGTCGGGGGTGAGGGACCATTGGAGTTGGAGATTCAATATTTTGGAAGAATGTTAAAATTTATGAATATTGTGTATGTAGTAATGTAGTATTGTACGCATGATGTGCATAAAAAGATGAGTGTATATAGTAGTCGACTTTGCAAGATTTATTTCCAATGATTTGTAGCCGACCCATTGACCAAAGCTGTGATGCTCATAAAATGTACGGTGGCACTTAGCAAGCAAGGACGGTGGGTTATTGTCGTTTGGGATATCCTATGAAGACCGCCAATAATGTCACACACAACATTTTTTGTCAACTTCACAAGATTTTGAAGCCAAAAATTAAAAGATTAAAAAAAAAAATCTCCTATCAAATTGGCATTGATGAGGTACCCACTTGCACCGACAAGAAGGATTATCTGTCCGTAATTCGAAATGAGTGGTTAAATGGGTAGATCATAATTCTCTGTACACATTTAGATAATGGTTGGAGTTTTTCTTACCACCTAAAAAGATGCTTAACATATATGTTTAAGAATATGCCATACAATGTTTTCACTATTGTGAACAGCTAATTAATCCAATAATGATGCACTCAACGCTTTGCAATAAATGCATTTTTTGCGTTACATTTATATTATCAATTCGCTTTAACATTCATTTTTAAGATTTAGTTTGGCAAGGTCTCGATTTTCATGCCCTTATAACAAGAAGAAGAATAAGAAGAAACTATGCCCTATAACTAATAAGAGATGACCAAGTGGGTAAAGTACGATTCTTGTACGTGAGATCACGAATTTGATTCATACGAACATTTTCGTGGTCAAGTCCGTCAAACAAGATATTTTTAGTGTGGTTTACCTATACTATATATAATTTGTGAACTATAAGATATCTTAGCTTCTTGTATATATAAGTTACAAACCATGTATGATAGAGCCAATAATAATATAATAATAAATGTTACGAGTTAATTCCATGAATGATCCATTAACTATTGACATTTAAGTTTAACAATTTTTTATTTATGACTTTCAATTTGACCATAAATGATCTATTGACTGGTGATTTTGTTGCAAATTTGGTCATCCACTTAAATATCAATTTAGTAAATACTAAATTTAATGATAATAATGTAAAATTTTGATTCTTCACATTCCCACTAATGATGAATTCAATTGGTCAAGATCAATAACAAATAAATTTTTACATTATTACCCTTAAATTTAATACTTCATATTTACTAAATGGATATTTAACTGGATAACCAAAATAGAAGCAAAATTAATAGTTAATGAATCATTTATGGTTAAATTGAAAGTCGATGATGAAAATTAGTAAATATTACTCTGTAATAGTCAAAGAATCATTTATGATCTAATTGAAAGTTAATGATAAAAATTGATAAATGTTTATAGCCAAGTTAAAGAACCATTCCTAAAACTAACTCTAAAGGTTACATACCAATTTAAAAAAGTTACAAAAATTTTTGTTAGAATTTCTTCAACAACAAGCTACCTTCACGTGTTATTTTGATACATTACGTAACAATCAATACTTTTATTGTCTCTTTGTGAATGAAGGAACGACTAATGTTCCACTATCTATAATTATTTTTTGTTTTCTAAACATGATTTGTTACTTTGTTTAAAGAAATTGATATGTATATAAGTGCATTAAAATGATCAATTAGTGTGTCAAGTATGGCTGCCAAGTAACCCAAATGTTGTGATAACTCTAAAATGACATCATGTTTGATTAACATAGTTTATATTCATATTTTTAAAATGCCATAAGAGGATAAGCTATTTAAACTTTATATTGAATTGTGGTAATCCATACAAATTTTAACTCTTATTGTTATCAACTTGTAGGTGCTTTACATAAACTTTTATTGTTACCTTTACTTTCTTAGCTTGTCTCCTTCAAATTCCCATTCATAATTCATTGTATTCAATCCCATTTTGAAGAGTTAATCAAATTATTATGTTGACAATTGATGTCATTTGTGTACCTAATTACTTTATAAAAATTTTATTTTATTGAATTTAGACCATAAAGCCTTTCACCATTTCTGCGACGATAAAATAAATAGTGAGATGATTCAGCCTACTTTTTTAACTTTTGTCAAATTAATAAGAGAAATGTGAACTCATATAAAATTTAGAATGCATCTAGAGAAATTCTCAAATGAAACTTTATAGGAAGAAAAAAGGAAAATAAAACATAACATAGTTTTGAACAAAAGTATGAACTTTAATTTCATTTTTTATTAAGTGTTATAAGTGGTTGAATCAGCATCTTATACTATATTGGTATTATATTGCCTTTTTCCCACTTGTATAGAAGGAATAATATTTTCACCAAGTACAAACCAACTTTTAGATTAATCAATATATTTTGTATAGGGACTTGCGTGTCTGTTTGACCACAAAAAAAAAATAAAAACAAAACAAAATTATTGACAACAAAAGCATTTTAAAAACGATCTTTTCTTATTTTTGTTTAGTTTTCAAAAGTGTCATATTTTTGTCTAACTTTTTTGTTTTGTTCCTATTACGGTCTTTAACCCCTTGTATGGAGTCCTTTGACCACCTAGAAATCAAAAGAAAATACATAGTTGACCCTTCCACTTGGCAAATGGCACGACCACATGACATGCGTGCACACATAATAATGACCTTAACCTTAACCTTAACGTGTTGTCCACACGACTTCTACTACAAAAACCCAACCCCACCTTCAATCCTTCATAAATAATTATATAATAATTGCCTCTTCAAAGCCCCCAGGAAACAATTTAATATCTCCGCCACGTACGGCCGTCGGCGCCACCCACTTTCCAGGCTCCCACGAAGCTTCCGTACGCGCTTTCTACCCCTTAACCGCCACAACTGCACAATCTAATAAACACATCTGTATATATACCCAGAGATTTCTCCACCTTTCTATCATCATCTCATCTTGTCCCTATTTCCTTTCATCAACATATAAGATCTTTCTTTTTCTCTTTCATACATTAAACTTTCTACGTCATAAAAGATTTCCATCACCTTTGATTGATCAAAGCTTCTCTATATATAATCTCAGTTACAAATTTTTTGTGAGATTCAAATTTCTACACTGTAGCTGAAGCAAGACTTTAAGGTGATCAGATCGGTCAAACTATTGCAGAAGTAAAAAAGTTTCAAACTTTAACTTCGGGTAGGTGTCAAAGGTTTTTGTCTTTCAAAAGAGTTATAGCCATGGAGATAAACACAAACACCCTAAAAAAGTCACCTTCTTCTTCTTCTTCTTCTTCTTCGCCAAAGAAGTCTGCGTTTTCAAGGTTTTGTAGTAAGTTATCAGTGAAGAAGGGCAAGAAAGAGGAGGAGGAGGAAAGGGTGATCAAGAATGCTTCTTCTTCTTCTTCATCTTCTTCAGATGAAGCTCAAGCATCATCATCATCATCAAGAAAAGGGAAGAAAAGTGATGAGTGTTTGGAGAGAGTTTTCACGTACTTTGACGAGGATGGAGACGGGAGGGTGTCGCCGGCGGAGCTGCAGAGGGGGGTGAGGGCGGTGGGCGGGGAGCTGACGGCGGAGGAGGCGGAGATGGCGGTGCGGCTGTCGGATTCCGACGGGGATGGGCTGTTGGGGCTGGAGGATTTCGCCAAGTTAATGGAGGGGAAGGGGGTGGAGGAGGAGAGGAAAGAGGGAGAATTAATGGAAGCTTTCAAGATGTATGAAATGGAGGGCACAGGGGAGATCACTCCCAAGAGCTTGAAGAGGATGTTGGGGAGGCTTGGGGAGTCGGCCACCACAGAAAGCTGTAAAGCCATGATCACGAGATTCGACATTAATGGCGATGGAGTGCTCAGCTTCGAGGAGTTTAAGGTTATGATGATGCAGCAAGCTTAGCTTAGAGCAGTGAATTGAAGTTCGTTGATTCCATTACACATACATGATGCATGTTTGTTCTTGTACATATATATGTACACCAATAAATTAAACTTAGGCTCATTGGCCTTCACTATATTGTTGGTTTATTCTTTAATTTGTTGAACAATTTGTTTGGTTCATTATATTCTCCATATAGCCTATTCTATTTTGTTTTCATATGGCATGACTAATCCAGATTCTGTTTAGATTGTGTTTATAGAGTTTCTCTTACTTTAAAAAAGATTAATTTAGAACTCTTTAATATTCTACTTTTCCTTTGAATTCCCAACTCCAAGAGCTCTCTATCTACATTCCGACTCGACAAAGCATTTAGGAAGAAGGGATGTAAATAACCGTGACTCGATGACTCAGCGAACAGGGCCAAATGTGAGTGTGCACAAAAGATCTATCTACTTTCAACATAATCTTCACACTGTTGTTGTCGGGGTTTGAACCTTAGTCTCTTCTTTCAAATACTGAGTTTTGTAATTGTATTTTTTTTTTATAAGGTGATAATAAAAAATCACTATTCAAGGTGTATATTAGAGAAACCTTCAACCACATTAAGTACCTCACTCTTGATTATGTATGTGCATTAGGAAAATTAGAGAAACTCACTATCCAAGGTGTATATTATGAAAACCTTCAACCATAAAGATATGCATTAAGTACCTCAATCTAATTATGTAATAACTTCCAAACTACATAACACTTATATCATACTTAGATCAAAAACTCTATGTAACAAGTTCAACCAAAAAAGTATTAACGTAGTGATACATATCGAAAATATCTCATTCATACGTAAAAGCTCACGAACTATACAAGAGAATGATTTCTTAATTTAATTTATTATTTTTTTTTTTGTATAAAATGGAAGGGGGAAACCGCAAAGAATCTAAAACAAACTAGTAAGAATAGCAAACATTTCGCCAAACAGGAAACCTAGCAGCATCACTATCCAGCAAACCAGCCACTTTGGCTGGGGGATCAGTAAACAATTGTAAGCCATTCCCATGCAATCTGGCCATACGTGTGAGCCTATCCGCAACACAATTGATCTCTCGGGGGATGAATTTGACCTAGCAGTGGGCAAACGAGCGAATCTCACGCTTACAAGCTTCGAGTATACTATGGCCAGCAATGGTGGGAAGTCTGGAGCTGTTAACATAGGCGACTGCTTCTGCAGAATCGCTCTCAATGGTAACTCGACTAAAGCCCATAGATGCAACTAATTGGATACCGCTGAGTAGTGCCCATGCTTCCGCTTCGAATGGAGTACAAGAAGCAAAAGACACAATAAAGCCTTTCTTCCACTCACCCGTATGATCTCTAATGATTCCACCACACCCGGCTACCTGTGAAGTCGAGGTGACGGATCCATCCACATTAAGTTCACAGTATCCTCACTCGGCTTTTTCCAGCAGAGTTGCTTCCAAGCCATATTTTCTGTTTATTTCCCCCACTTGAGATCTGATAACAAATACCTTCATATTCAAAGCTTTAATGGAACCATTGAAAATAGCTTCGTTACGCCATTTCCAAATCCACCATACAGCAACAGCGTTCACTAAACCATAAGAAAAATGAGATTATACTAAGCAACCTCCTATTCACTCAACCATAAGAAAAATGAAAGAGCACTAAGAACATTTTCTATTAGTCTGATTTTTGCACAGATTTTTGAGAAGAGAAATAATTAAATGAGGGCAGTCGTCACTCAACACGCTACACGCTCTATTGGAGCGCACCATTCATAGTTTTTTTTTTTTTTTTTTTGGGGTGAGGCCCACAATAGGAGATAAAAAACCAATAGCAACTCTTTTTTCTTCTCTCCTCTTCCTAGCTCTCTCTTCCACCTAGGATTAACAACCTTAAAAATCTATTCAAAAATCATTATTGTGGTTGCCCTAAGCCTAAAATGGGACGAAAAGAGCACTAAGCGAATATTTATTTCGTACATAATAAGGTTTATGGTGTACAACAAGGTGTATAGCAATGTATCTCGGCCACATATCTACTGCTGTCCTAATGAAGTTACGTACTAATACTAATGTAACCCACAATGAGCTTCAGGGAATTAAAGAATAAAGATGATAAACACATTAAAAGGCAAATCGCTTGATTTTTTGTGCAACTCACCCACTTGAAATGGATGGATGATGGAAGAACTAAAATATAATTTTTCCTACAAATGTACAGTAATACTAAGGCAACATCATAGTCAAAGATTAAATTGTACAGCATGGGATGATCTGTGTCATCCTGTTTGTTCATCACTAAACATCTATGCTGTCATTATTTCACAAACTGAAAGTTGTGATAATTCTGTACAGGGATGAAGGTCATGAATTCAGCATCTAGGTGGAAATGCCCCCCCCTTGGCACTCCATTGGAGTGGGTGGCCTCATTTGCGGCCCAACCTCGCCAAGTGTTGCTGATGCTTTGCAGCAGCTGCGTTGTTGGCAGCTTCCCGCTTCATGGCCCTTTTTGCCCGCCTACCCATGATCTCCTTGGAGGGCTCCTTTTTCTTGGGCTGGCGTGATGGGCCAGCATCCGAGTCCTCGAAATTTGGTCGGTTGACAGGTCTAGCTTCTTGCCTACCTGCCCTAACATATCCATTATCTCCCCATCTCCTGTTGCCTAAGCGAATGCTAGATGAACTGTCAAAATAAGCTTCATCGAGATCATCTTCTTCATCTTCAAATCCATCATATAGGTAGAAGTCGTCCACATAATCATCAACCTCTGGTTGTTCCTCCACTACTACTAAAGGCTGAAACCACGATGCTCTCAAAAGAAGGCAAACACTCTCCTCAAACATGTAATCATAGATGCTGTTCAAGCAAAACATCTGTTCTTAGCGATAAATCAATTATCAAATATAAGAACTAAAAACAGTAACCAAATCTTACATAATCAACCAACAAAGACGATGCGTTAGCATTGCTCCAGACTACTAAACCATATATAGACCGACATTCTAAGGAACATTACTTTTGTTTCTCCTTTAAGTGCAAAATGGGTTGGCTTACCTTCCATCAAGAGCACGGTGGATGTTTAGAAACTCAAATGGATGCTTGCACTGAGGGCAGGTAGGTTCCTTCTTGTAGGTCGCCCAACGTAGGATGCAAGTCACACTGAACACCAAAGTCAATAGTGAATTATTGATGTTAGTAGTTTTCACTATATCTTTAAAAACTTAAGCTTTGACACAAGCAAACACAACACCCAGATGAATCATTCAACCCACGAGGTCTATGTGAGATGGGACAAGAAAAACTACCTAGGTATGCGACTTTAGTTACATATCAATTTTGCATGTATTACAATAAATACTGTAAGCATACAAATGACAGAGCAGTGCAACGAGAAGTACAAGGCAGTGTAGCTTATACAGTTAAAACAGCTAAAGAAAGTTATTACAATGACAGGAACTTGACTAACAATCATGCTGTCATCCTATCTTAAATCCAAAACAACCAAATTGGTCAGCACCTGTTTATGAGAAAGAGAGAGAGATTGGATTGGATGGGAAATAGACTAAAGAGAATTTAAACAAAGATATCTTTTGCCTGCTACATTTACTATTATGAGACAAAATTTGTGACCATTCACAAGAAAGTCATTTATATTTATGATCTGCCCCCATAAGCAAAAATCAATATCTATAGAATGTTGTTATTGATATCTTGTACACCACCATTTGTCAATTCCACTCCATTTGGATTTCATAACAATGTTGTTATTGATATCTTGTACACCACCATTTGTCAATTCCACTCCATTTGGATTTCATAACATTCTTTTCATGATATCCTTATGTATCCATCTCCTATAGCAGATCAGTGAAGCCAGTTTTCAGAACCAAATAATGTCACAAAATGATTGAAACCAGAGAAAAAACTACAAGTCTTTATACTCTTATCTATCTCTCATGTGTATAATGAGGATCAATATCCATTACACATAGCTAGTCTCCAATTTCTGTTGTTAATTTTAGTCTATACCATTATATGACGAACTAATAGTATTTTCTGCCATAAAAATAAAAGCTTTGAATCAACAACTACATAACAATTGACAAGGATCCAATCTCTTGTGCTGACCAATTTGGTAGTAGACAGATAGGAGAGTGACAAACCAGTAGGCATGCTCGCAACCTTTTACAAGAGCAGTTTCTTGCAGCACTATCTTATTCAAGCAAATCGCACACAACCCATGATGATCATTCTCACACCCAACACGGAGAACCTCCTCAGCAGTGCTCTTCATTTTACTCTGAAAATTCAAACCCACATCAATACACTCTCAACCTCATCGCTCCCAACTAAACCAATAGCAAAACAGAAATTTATTTAAAGCAGGAAAGTTTATCCAATTCCCTATCAAATTAGAGAAAATGAAACCAGGAGGAGCTGGGCTGGTCAACGAATCTTATACTAACACGAAATTTCCAACATTTAACCATGAAAAAAGCAGAAAAATCGAAACTTTACAGCTAACGAGACGGGATCATTGCAGAAATGAACTAAAAAACACGGCGCATACGCTTTGACAACAGATCAAAGCACCAGATCTCAAATTTTTCAGAGATTCTCAAGGCCCAAGTAATCAGAAACCTAATACGGAACACAAATTCTGAAAAAAAAAAAAAAAAAAAAAAAAATCACCCAGAAATTAGGGTTCAATTAGGGAAAATAAATCGGAAAACCTGATCCGGGATTGAGAGATCTTGGATTTGGTTGACGAGTTGTGGAACACCGATCTCCGCAGCTGTGGCCATAACCTCTAGTAATCAAGGCGAAAGAACAGGATTAGGAGGAGATGAATAGATATATATAAGTATTGTATAACACCGACTTATAGGGTTGTATGTATATACAGAGGGGGGAAGAAACGTAGTTGGTGTGGGGTAGGTTGAAGCGAGGGCCGAGTGGCGGGGAAATATGCTGAAGAATTATTCGGATTCGGGTAATTCGGCGATTTGTAGTTTGCCCTAAGAGAGAGAAGGTGGATTGATGCGGATCAATTTCAAGATCCCTCGCTTCAAATTCCAAAGTTTTGGCCTTGACCGACTCTTAAGTAAATTACCATGTGCAAATATTCAAGAGGCTGGACATTTTGGTTCGGGTAGTTGACAACAACGTCATAAACTCGCAGAGACAAAATGAGATAAAAAATAATTGTGAACATTTAGGTTAAGAAATGGAGATTTATTTATATATTTGAGTAAATTTATAAATGTAAACAAAATTGGGTATATATATGTATATATTATTCGCTTTTTAACTGAACCGAACTGAAATGTCCATCCTTAAAAGAAACAAGTCATTAATTAATGGTATGTTTAGTAAAATTCACTTTTACGTAATTGTTTGTAATTTATATAGGAAAGATAAATCATACTAAGAAGATTTGTGTGGTATATTCAATCGGTGGTGTGTTGACAATAATCTAATTATAAGAAAAATATAATTAACAGGATTATAGAATAGTTCAATCAATTTGTTAAGAAAATAATTAGTGGCTCATATCCATGAAGACATTTTCCCTCTTTTGTTGGCATTGCATGCTCCATGTCCATCTTGCATGTCTTCCGTAACTTGCTCTCCTTCTTGCAATTGCCGCATCTTTAGTTCATTTCTTATTGTATAAATAGCATTCTTTATTTGCTTTGTAAATGCACTCATTTTTCTTACATCAATTTGAATACATCAATTGTAATTCATTTTTCTTTGTCTTCACGTAGATATATATATTATATTCTTCTTCTCAATTCCTCTTTGAGTTATAATATATATTATATATTTTCCCATTTTATTATATTCTTTGTCATTTATATATTTTCCCTATTATTTAACTTCTATAATTCTCAATTTTTGATTCTTCACTTCCGCATTATTCCGCTATATTCCTAACAAGTGGTATCAGAGCGGTTTATTTGAGAATTATTTTCAAAGATGTCGACTGTTACTAAGTTCGATATCGAGAAGTTCGACGGGAAAATTAGCTTTTCTATCTGGAAGGTTCAGATGGAAGCCGTTCTAACCCAGAACGGTTTGAAGAAAGCGCTAGCTGGGAAGAAGAAGAAACCGGCTACAATGACAGATGTAGATTGGGAAGATCTGGATGACAAGGCACGTTCAACCATTCTTTTGTGCCTGTCTAAAGAGGTTCTACGTGAGGTGTTAAGTGAGACGACTGCGTCAGATTTATGGTCCAAGCTGGATACGCTTTACATGGCCAAAACTCTGGCGAACACGCTACGCCTGAAGGAGCGTCTGTACACAATCCGTATGACGGAAGGTACTTCTATTAAATCTCACTTGGATGAATTCAATTCTATTTTATTGGACTTGGAAAATATTGATGTTATAATTGAAGATGAGGATCGCGCTGTTTTATTGCTTGTCTCTCTCCCTAGATCATACACGCATTTCAAAGAAATTATGCTGTATGGTAATAGTAGTGATACCCTTACTTTCGACAATGTTAAGTCGAACCTATTGTCCAAAGAAAAGTTTGACTTTGAAATTAAGTCTGAGGACAAAGGTGAAGGCTTGACCGTAAGGGGTCGTTCACTTGAATCAGGGAGTAGCAATAAAAATTCTAGATCCAAGTCCAAAGGACGTAAGTCCAACAAATCCTGCAAGTACTGCAAGAAGCATGGTCATGATGTGAATGAATGCTTCAAGTTGAAAAACAAGCAAGAGAGAGAAAAGAAGTCCGCTGAAGCTAGTGTTGTTGAAAGTGATTCAGATGGTGATGTGTTGTTATCTGTTAGCTCCGGTGAGAAACGGAGTGAAACTGAGTGGATTTTGGACTCTGGTTGTACATTCCACATGTGTCCCCACAAAGATTGGTTCATCTCTCTGGAACCGGTTGATGGTGGAGTTGTCTTGCTGGGTAATGATACCCAATGCAAGGTTAGTGGAATTGGAAGTGTTCAGATTAAAACTCATGATAACGTTGTCAGGACTCTTACCAATGTTCGGTATATTCCTGATTTGAAACGCAATCTGATATCATTGGGCACCTTGGAATCTCTGGGGTGCAAGTACATAGCTGAAGGTGGAGTTCTAAAGGTCATCAAAGGCTCTTCTGTTCTCATGAAAGCTTCTCGTTCTGGAAGCTTGTATGTCTTGCATGGCAGTACTGTGACAGGTTCAGTAGCGGTATCCTCATCGATGTCTGATGCGAATCTCACTCAATTATGGCATATGCGTCTGGGGCATATGAGTGAGAAAGGCATGCATCTCCTGAGCAAGAAAGGTCTCCTTGGTGGTTCAGGTACGGGTAAATTACAATTTTGTGAGCATTGTATTTTTGGGAAACAAAAGAGGGTTAGTTTCTCTACTGCTACACACCGTACCAAAGATGTATTGGAATACATACATTCTGATTTATGGGGACCAACTAAATTCCAGTCTATGGGAGGCTGTAGATATTTTATGTCTATTATTGATGACTATTCTCGTAAAGTCTGGGTCTATTTCCTGAAACATAAAAATCAAGCGTTTTCTATTTTCAAGACGTGGAAAATACTTGTTGAGACTCAGACAGGTAAAAAAGTCAAGAAGCTCAGGACAGACAATGGCTTGGAGTTCTGTGAGTCAGATTTCAATGACTTTTGTGCGGCAAATGGAATTGCCAGGCACAAGACCTTGCCTGGTAAACCCCAGCAGAATGGTGTTGCCGAACGTTTGAACAGGACTCTATTGGAAAGAGCTCGTTGTATGCTCTCTAATGCTGGGTTATGGAAACGGCGTGATTTTTGGGCCGAGGCCGTTTCTACTGCTTACTATTTGGTAAATAGATCTCCACATTCATCCCTTGATTTCAAAATTCCAGAGGAAGTTTGGTCAGGTAATCCTGTTGACTACTCTATCTTAAGAGTTTTTGGATGTCCTGCTTATGCTCATTCCAGTACGGGTAAATTAAACCCGAGAGCTGTCAAATGCATTTTCCTTGGTTATGCTTCTGAGTCAAAAGGGTATCGTCTATGGTCTCCTGATTCTCGGAAAATCATTCTGAGTCGAGATATCACTTTTGATGAAAATGCACTACTTTCTTCTGGAAAAGTTCCCAGTACAGGTGAGACGCAAAGTACTGGTGAGAAGGTGGAGTTTGAGTTCAGGCCTATTGATAGTGTTACTACTGCTGATGGTAATACTAAGGATGATGCATCTACTAGCACCGCACCTCTCGTCGAGCCACAACGAGAGTATTCCATTGCTATGGATCGTTCTAGGAGGACAATTAAAAAATCTGCTAGGTACGCTAGTGACGATGAAACCAATATGGTTGCTTATGCACTTTCAGTCACACAGGAAGTTGATGGTGATCCATCCTGCTATTATGAGGCTCTTCCTGTTGCTAAGTTCAACCAGTGCTTGAGTTTGGTCGGCTGTTCCAATTATTAATTTTTCACAATGGATTTGACCCAAGGTGGAGATTGTTAAGAAAATAATTAGTGGCTCATATCCATGAAGACATTTTCCCTCTTTTGTTGGCATTGCATGCTCCATGTCCATCTTGCATGTCTTCCGTAACTTGCTCTCCTTCTTGCAATTGCCGCATCTTTAGTTCATTTCTTATTGTATAAATAGCATTCTTTATTTGCTTTGTAAATGCACTCATTTTTCTTACATCAATTTGAATACATCAATTGTAATTCATTTTTCTTTGTCTTCACGTAGATATATATATTATATTCTTCTTCTCAATTCCTCTTTGAGTTATAATATATATTATATATTTTCCCATTTTATTATATTCTTTGTCATTTATATATTTTCCCTATTATTTAACTTCTATAATTCTCAATTTTTGATTCTTCACTTCCGCATTATTCCGCTATATTCCTAACACAATTTAATGATTCAAATAAAAAACTCAATTTTTCATATCGCCAGGCCTAATGTGATTTAAGCCACCCATATACCAATCACTACCCGTTAGACACTCACACTTAGTAGTCGTATTGTGCAAGATACGAATCATACCAAAGACCACAAAAAAGAAAAAACAAAGTATGAATATTGTCTTGTTGTGGGTAATAATATACAAACATTTTGTGGCATGTAAGCTAGTTAAAACACATCTAGTGATTTACTATTTCAACATGTTTATATGACAAGAACAGTAATAGACTTTTAAATTTGAAGTTTAAACTTATAATATTATAATTAATAAAATATCATATTTTTATAATATTATTAAGATACTTATTTTCGAATCGATATCCGTGAGACCTCTTGAATAGATTCACATGAATTGTTATATATAGTTAACTCAAGACATTTTGTTTAGAATTTGGAACTAAATTATGACACATTTAGATCAATTTGGGTGGAATTATTAAAAAAATGTTAAAAATCTTGCCCACGAAAATGCATGAATGGGTGGTTCATCTAGCATTCTACCCCCAAGGAAGCTGGAGGTCTGTGTCATTGGTGGCAGAGGGAGACAAGAGCAGAGATTGGTGGCTGCCACGTGTCATCTGGTGGAGGCAGTTGAGAAAACTCAAGGCTTGCCACGTAAGAAGGATAACATAGAAGAGATGAGAATTGTCTTGAAAATTCCTTATATGAAAAATTCAATAATGTGGTACTACCAAATTTTAAAATAATGAAATAAAAATGTGTAAATTTTACTCTATATTAAATAAGAGTAAATTATTAATTCTTCTATCAAATTAGGAGAGTAATTCACACATATTATTTTTTAAATATAATATCATGTCACATAATAATAAAAAAACTCATGCATCATTTCGTGTCATATATATATTGTTTATTTTTTATATTAACACGTGAATAATAAAATTGAAATGATTAAAAATAGTTAGTTTAAGAAAAAAGAGTTTGAGTCGTTTAAATATGAGGTTGACAGTTTACGTGATATATCTTATATAGGAAGGAGTAAATAAAATGGCAAATGTCTTATTAGGTCATGAACGACGTTTGAGGCATTTGGTGACACTTCTATCTTCTCTTTTAGGACTTTAATTGATGACAGATTGAATTTTCCATGACCGAGATGTATTCTAGATTTCTAGGTATTGACAATTAGTTTGAGATTTTTTTAGAATGTTCCCTCCATCAAACCAAATACAAAATTGAATACATGTATACAGTAACAGGCTGAATACATGTATACAGTAACAGGCTTAATCGAAGCTCGACTGAATTAAAAGAATGATCTTTGCATACACAATCTAGAAATATTATATTATTCAATGCTAATAAAGTATATTGTCAACACATAGGACAACCCCAACCAACAGCAAAGAGAACAGAGCCACATTAAAGAACTTCCTTGGCCGACCAAAACCCTTAACCTTGGGAGCTGCTAGTTTTTGAGGCTGTGAAGGTTCAGGTTGTGTCAAATTGTATTGTTTTTCTGTCAATTTTGGCTGTCTAACACAGAGAATACCACCTTTAAACTCGTGACTAATTTCACTTTGGTTGCAGTTTGCTGAGACTGGGAACTCTCGGTGAAACCTCACCCATCTATCACCCTTTGTAGGCCTTAGTCCACTCACACTCAGGGTTTCTGGTCTGGTCACTTCAACCTTGACCTGTTCCTCATTGAAATCTGCAGATATAGGCAGAAGATTGCGTCGAAATCGCTATAATTTCTACCACATTTGTTCTGGAGTTGATTGATTGTTGAGATTGTGGGTTGAACACTCTTTACCTGGTAAATAAAGGCGAAGGACGTCAGCATCTGCATCTTGGTAAAGCTCAGATCTTGGCACGAAATCCTTACAGACCGGAGATGGTGTCCGAGCTCGAGAGCATCCACATGAGATGAATTTCACCACTCTTTTCAAGATCACCATTGATGAACATAGAGCTTTTGAGGTGATTAACATGGAGGTCTCTTCTTCTAATAAGATCAGAGTTTTAAGTCATTCTGTTGTCTAAGCAGATCAGATCATTTGCTTCACAAATTTGCAGGAATCTATTCTTTACCATGCCAAGGAAGGGAAGAATTAAGAGAAGACTTTCAATCTCAACAATCTATCAAACTATCTTGTATTATTGTACTAATGAAAGAACAAGGGGCCGAGTACATGAAGCAACACAGCTTACAACAATAATTGCAAGTGTTCTTGTGGTCTAGTATCTTAAAATATGATCTACAAAATGGTTTCCGAGAGAAGAAAGGGAAAGAAAAAAGTGTGGTGAAACTGTCAGGCAGGGGATGCAGACGCCTCATCTTTCTCGTCTGGGGTAAAAGGGATTGGCTTGGTTGGGGCAGGTAGGCGTCCTATGCTATCGACTTTGTCCTTGAGCTTGGGAGGAGGCCTTGCAGGTCTGGGGAGTAATCTGCCCTTCTTCTCAAACCACACGGGCTTGAGTAGCGCCCGTAGACCAAGCTTGTTGTAGTGCACTCTCCTTACAGAACCGCCTTTAGCTTCAACTGCTGCTTTGGCTCTAACTGTCACCCTGGAAACCTATTAGATGCAGACTCGGTCACTTTTCAAAAAAAAATAAAAATTGACAGGCAGAGTATGAAATTTCAACTTCTTTTAGGTTAATCGTTTGCTTTTTTTCATTTGGATTTTGTTTGGGGGGGGGGGGGGGGGGGGGGGTATGGAAGATTTTGTGAGACAGAAAAATAGAACTACAGTGTCCCAACAGAATGTCAAGAGTTTCAGTTTAGTTCTATACCTCAAGATGGATAGGCCATTCAATATTTTCTGCTCCACGTCCCATCAATCTGACTCCATCTCCAATTTGTTTCCCCACTGCTCCAGAATCCTATCGCCAGACAAAGAATATGGATCAAGCAGAATAGCATAAGAGTAGGAGAGAAGATATAAAATTTATCTAGAACCAGTTTGTACCTTAAGAATTTTCATAGTTATCAACTCTGAAGAGTCAATCTTCCCTGCATTTATCAGCTTTGCAATCTTCCCTAAGCCAACTGGCTGTGACAGGAGCAACTTTCATTAATAGAAATTAGAGAGTCATACAAATACCCTTTTAATCACTCTCCAACCTACTTTTTTCTATTAGCTTTCTCTCTTTGTTTTTCTTTTCCAAGTTTTGAGGGCGACATAAATGGTATAACAGCTAACTATGTCCGAAATGCAAATAGATGGCTTGTATAGCATGTTGATACATAATGTAAAGAACTATGCAGCTTAGGTCTCAGAGAACAGTAGAAAACTCCTCAAAGTATAAAATTAGCAAGAGTAAAAGGAGGGTATTTGGCATTGAACAGAAGTTCAACTATAAGTTTCACATATTTTCATAATAAACTGCCCTTTTTCTGGATATTAATTTCTTACACCTCATACGTATAGTTACACTTGAGCTAGCATTGATTAGAAGGAAAGTTGATGTCCAAAACTTATCTTACACTGAAACTTCAAAGAATTTACACAACCAGACAAGTAAAACTTTGCCCAGCAGCTTCTATAAAATATATTTTATCTTTCAATAGTCAATTTCTATCTAGTAAAACAAAAATAATTAAGGTATATGAGAATCTTGAAAATGAAGAATTACATACAGTTTTCCTCTTATACAAAAAATTAATTAATAATGTTTTTGCTTCCATTGACAAATCTTAAGGTACATGTAACTAATATGCCAGAATGTTTGTAAACGGGCTTCTTTCAGTCAGTTGCATTAACACATTAATCAGAAGCTCAATTGCATTTAACAAATGAAAAAACTTTGAAAGTAAAACCGATGGGAAGAACAAATTTTGCATAACTGCGTCTATTAATGAATTAAAAGCTCAAATATAATTTCCTTATACAAAATGCATTTACAGTCAAGAATTTAAGCATCAAATTATGAAATCGCCATCTAACAGGATATGCACTTCGTTTGAATCTCTTAACCAGAAGGAAAAAAATAAAAAAATAAAAAATCTTACCACATACTGATTATTAAAGGAGCTCGAATGCTCGATAGATGATTCATACAATTGTGTTTCTATGTGCACACGCAATCACTTCCTTAAGATAGCTAACACCAACTGGCTAAACAGGTCTAATGATCTAAACTATTGAACTCTCTGTTTGTTCTACCAATAGCTAATAGATCATCCAGTCATCTAAGCAAATTCCTTTATCCATTATTGGTTTCATTTCAACCCCTTCAGAAACATAAATTCTAGCTCTATAACGACAATGCATTTCACATCTTAAAAACAACTATTAAAGATATTAAATTTCAACCATTATTAAAAGAATAAAATGAATAAATGGAATTATGGAAATATTGACTATTTACGCTTCACTAAGCCTGGAGAGTTAAGCTTATACTGACCTGAAAAGTGAGAGAGAAGGGGTTTTTGAAGCCGCGTTTAGGGAGGCGGCGGCGAAGGGGGGTCTGACCACCTTCGAAGCCGAACTTCATAGTGCCGCGTGCCCTCTGGCCCTTGTGGCCCCGACCCGCAGTCTTCCCCTTACCCGACCCGATACCGCGGCCTTTCCTGGTCTTCTGCTTGCGAGCACCCTTGTTATCCTGCAGATCATTCAGGCTCAGGAGGCTGTACGCCCTCTGAGCCTGATCGAAACGGGTCGGCCCCGATAACCCGTTTAAATCACCTGAGATGGGATGGCGTGGGAATTGCAGGGACAGGAAATGCTTGGCCGGAGGCCGGATAATCGCCGAGCTGAAGCTCCGATTCGTGTGGATTATGGCTGCATTGTAGATTGACGTTGACGATATCAGTGAAGATAATAGTCTTCTTCTCAACATTTCTGTGTTCCTGAATCCTGTCACTCTCACTGCTACTAGGGTTTTTAAGGGTTTTGGCAAACTTTCCACTGTGACTGTCCCGGCATTGCAATTTGCAGAAGATTCAAATGTGATTTTTAATAGTTCATGGGTCTAAGTGCAATTATTATCATTCTCCCATCTTTTCTTTGACCAGAAAACTCATAATCATTACCCCAATATTATTTATGTTTAGTAACCTCTAAATTATATGAGATGGTCAAAATACATATGAGCTTCATGTATTATAGTATTTTGTTCAATTTAGTTCTTGTACTTTAAACAATTTTGTAATTAATGACAATAGTTAACGGTGTTAATATTACAATTAACTTAATTTATGTGGCGTTGAGACCATCACTACAACATCATGATATATATATATATATATATATATATATATATATATATATATATATATATTGAAAGGAAAAAACAACTTTTATTAATAAAGATGCACAATACAACCAAGAATATAAGATAACCAAACAGTATAACCAGCTTGAGAACGAGTTGCCCTTGCTAAAGCGTGTGCAAATTTATTCGCTGATCGATAAACAAACTGACAAGACACCTCTTCAAAGTTTCGTTTGAAATCTCGGCACTCATTAATCACACAACCTGCATAAGAATGATTCAATACTGTGCCTTTTATCATAGTACAACCCGTCAAACAATCTGAAAAAAAATCAAGATCCTCAATAAACCTCGGTCCTTACTCCAAGATAAAGCCTCGTTAACCGCAAGTGCCTCAGCCAAATGGGGATTCATTCTTCGCCGCCACAAAGTTACCATGCTCATCATTGATCACAATTCCATACAAAAGCTTGATCAGTATCATTAAAAACGGTTGCATCCACATATATCATAAAATTTCCCTCAGCCACATATTTAAAATTAATTATTTTTACCACCAATATATTATATTAACACGTCAAAAATAAATAATTACAAGTATTTATATGTATATCACTACAACATCATGATATTTATATTTCAATTCATATGTCAAGCACATTGTGGTCATATGGCATGTAGTGACTCTCCCATATGGGAAGTCATGAGATTAAGTCTCAGTGGATGCGGTGTTGATGGACTCTTTATGCTTTAATAGGACTATTTATGCTTTAATAGGTTGAAGAGTCGGTGTACGCTTGTCACCGATAAGGTTCAAAGATTTAAGAATGCTTCTCACCAATAAGGTTCAAAGCAACCAATTGTGTCGACGTCCATGGTGGCGTACACTAGGTTGCCGGAATCATGCTTGTCACCGATAAGGTTCAAAGCAACCAATTGTGTTGACGTCCATGGTGGCGTACACTAGGTTGCCGGAATCATGCTTGTCACCAATAAGGTTCAAAGCAACCAATTGTGTCAATGTCCATGGTGGCGTACACTAGGTTGTCGGAATCATGTCGTCATTGACGTTGGTTAACCCAATTTGGACATGAAATGATAATTTTGTCCATTCCATTTAAGATTAATTGTTGATTTAATATTTTTCGGTCACATTTGACCGGTGTAATCAAAATTGATAAAATTTACATAGTCAAGATACTAAATTAACATTTTTAATAATCAAGTGTTTCAATTAACATAAATGCAATAGTTAGTAGACCAAAATTGAAATTTACTCAAATATAAATTTAAAATACTGAAGGATAAGTTTAAATTATTGAAATGAAAAGGTAACAGATTACCTTAAAATATTACTGTCATATATCATTTTTGATGTAATATAATATTACCAAAAAAAAAAACACACACAATATAAGTTTTGTAAATATTGTGACAAAATATTTACAAAACTTGTCATCAAACACAATATAACTAAGGGTCCGTTTGGAAAGCAGGAAAATGACTTCTGGAAAATGAGTTGTTTTCCTGAAAACATTTTCCTTTCCGGTGTTTGGCTGCACAATGGAAAACTGTCTTTGTGTGTTTGGTTCATTTTCCAGAAAATGAACAAAATTGTATACTTCAACATTTTAATTGTTATATGCCTAAAAATATAATTTTATTGTTTTATGTAGACTTTTCCTGAATGGATTCAATGGTATGACAATAAGAATAGCAACCTTCAACTGATTGCAACATACTCTTTTATGTATAAAAAAAAAAACAACAAAAAGTAAATGCTAAGAGAGGCCAAGAAAAAAGTTCCAGTGAGGCCAAGAAAAAAAAACTAATCTTGACTGGAACTTTTATCAAACAGCTAACGAGCATTAATTGTACGTTTAGCAAATTCTTATAAACCAAGAGGGGCTTGGCGTGTGGATTGTTCGGAAAGCCAGTGGGCTGGAGAAGAGCAGGGACGGCATGTCTTGGAGCCAAGTGGTTTGGTTTTGGAGCTGCAGAGATAGCAAAGAGCGGCTTGGCGTGTGAGTTGTTCGGAAATTTTAAGAATTGGGAGAGATGGGTTTGGATGCTATTTGATATCTTCTCAAATGTTTGGAAGAGAAGCTGCAATGGATTCTCAGATGTTGACATAGATAGGAGCCACAAGGGGAGCAGGAGTAAGCAATTTTGTGGGATTGTTAGCGCAGCTGGTGTTGGTGACTAGGTGGAGTGTCGATACAGGCAGAGCCGCAGAGCTTCTAGGAGGAGAGAACCACGGAAAATGACTTCCCCCCAAAAAAAGGGAAAGTCATTTTCCAGAAAAGAGGACTTATTTTCCATTGACTACATGGCATTTTCCTTTGACTTCTCTTTTCCTTTGCTTAGCCAAACACCAAAAACCCGGAAAATGATTTCCAGAAATCATTTTCCGGGTTTCCAAACACACCCTAAGTTTTGTAAATATTTATTAAAAATGTATATAGGGCCCACAGGAAAAAAAAAAAAAAGGAAATATCAAAATTCCAAGCAAAGTAAAAACATGTCAAACACATTTCACATTTCCCTCGCCCGCTCTCACTCCTCAACTCCTCCCGCCCTTACACTCTCTCTCTTTCATCCCCACCACCGTCAATCTCCGGCAGCTTCTCCACCCGACACCATCTCTTCCTCCGCAAATTCATCTTCTCCACTGAACCTCTACCTTCACTCCCCCGTTCCAAGTCGCCAGTTCCCCGCTCTCCCTGCTCAACCGCGCGCGAAAATTTCCACTGCAAAATCCACACACTCACACGTACAGCACCGGCAAAAAACAGTACACAGCAGGGATTTTGCCTCACACCGAAGTGATTCTCGCTGTTCCGCGTCTTCTGTTCCGTTTGAGTTCCATGTGCTGATCAATGCAGTAACTGCTACCTCGAAACCCTAAATCAGGTGTGTTTAATTTTAATATTTCTGTTTTGGATTCTGGCTCCCTGGAAAATTTCTCTTTCGTTTGGTAGTAAAGGCGAACTGTGAACTTTTACTGCAGGAGATACAGTTATTTGGTCAGTTGGCTGGGAATCATAATCATGTACATAAAGCAGGTAATTGAGAACTGAGAAGTGCCAATTTTAGTTTGTATGCACGTGCATTTTCAAATAATTTAGTTCGGCATTTCTGTTGTTTATGGATGCATATTTGTGTTTTATATATACATTTGAGTATATGCATATATGAAGTTATAATTTTTCTGTGGGTTTTATTTGTGTTCAGATTATTATTGAAGGGTTTAAGAGCTACCGGGAACAAGTAGCTACTGAACCATTCAGTCCACAAGTTAACTGCGTTGGTAATGATGCTGTTATCAGCTTTTACAGTCTCAACTTCTTCATCATGTGTTTTTATAAAACTTGTGAAAAAAGAAACAGAATTACCCTAAAATTTTAGGGCATGCTTGTGTTTCATGTCTGTTTTGCCTTTATTTGGTTATAATTATAATTCTAATCAGGCAATTGAAAATTTAACCTGTGTCCATTCATCTCTTTTACATCACAGACACAGCACTGTAAACCTGGTAAGTAAAGATCCATATTACTAAAGTCATCCCAAATAAGCCTTTTAGAGTCAGCTACATGGTTTCTGGTTGTTTATTCAATTCCATGAAGGTGCAAATTTGCTGTGAGTGCTTGAGCTATATTATTGTTCTTATTGAGGAATAATGTAAAGGGGTGGCATGATTAGGATTTATATTACTCTTACTTTTCATTAACTGTGATGCTAGAGTAGCCATCTTTTTTATGTTTCTATCCGCAATTGCATTCTTCAGTATGATACCTTTTATTTTTCTGGTTCTTTCTTTGTATTATTATTATTATTGTTGTTGTTTTAATTCTCGATAAGTATTGTATTGTTCATTCTTCAAAAGATGCCTGTGTGATGGCTTGCCCTTTTCATTACCTGCAGTTGGTGCTAATGGATCTGGCAAATCTAACTTTTTCCATGGTAGGTAACCATGAAATTGTTGTGCCTTGTATTCTTCATTTTTTAAAATTTTTTATTTAAAAGAATCTAATATGCAGTGGTCTTTTTTGTTTTTTATTATTCTTGCGCTTTCTTTCAGCTATACGTTTTGTCATAAGTGACCTCTTTCATAACTTGCGCAGTGAAGAAAGACATGCTTTGCTTCATGTATGTTCTGTAGAAAGTAGTTTCTTTTTGTCATTACTTTTTCGTTATCATTGTGAAATACATCTATAAGATAATTGATAATGTGCTTTTTGTTGTTCAGGAAGGTGCAGGCCACCAAGTATTATCTGCTTTTGTGGAGATTGTATTTGACAATTCAGACAACCGAATCCCGGTATTTTCTTGATAAATAATCTTTATCTGCTTATTTAAATATTTCAATTCAGGTGAGAACCATTATTTTGTTATTTCTGTAGCTTGGCTATCCAACACAAGAGGCATCTTTCAGTCTAGTTTTGGCTTTGAATTAATCAGTCATAAATGGTTTAAATATTTAGGTGCAGTGGGGATCTTGTCTATGTATCTTAGTCTGTTGTTTACCCTGCTTCAATTGTTTCGAATTTGAAGTTTGATTGCCATTGACAAATAATGCTTTGTACCTTTATTACAGTTTTTCCTTTGAACTTTAAAGTTCATTGACAAATTGGTGCTCCCCCCTATCAATCTTCTTTTTATGATTCCAATTTGTGTGGGAATTGCTTGATGGGCTGACCAAAAAAAGTTGAAACCACAGACTTTGAGTTTGGGTGGGAGGGAATATGTCCCTCCATAACTCTGCATAAACACTTTCTGTTGCCAACCCGTGTCATATACACTTTCTGTTGCCAACCCGTGTCATATACACTTCCGGTAGTTATTCAATGAGAATATTAATTCTCTTTTACTTACTGCTATGCCACACATGATACTTGTGTAGTTGTTTCCAATATCTATACTGTTATATCTTCCCTTCTGTTATGGACAAGAAACATGCTCATTTCTCGTCAAATTATTTATATCCATAGATTTTGATGCCCTTTCTTATTGACAGGTTGATAAGGAAGAAGTGCGTTTGAGAAGAACAGTTGGTCTTAAGAAAGATGAGTATTTCTTAGATGGAAAACATATCACGTGGGTATCTGATAATCCATCAAAGTGACTTTGTTTACTGCTTCCGGTTACTCTTTCACGTTCTATTTGAAGCTCTTTGATGACGGTTAATGGAAAAATTAAACGTGACTTGCAGGAAGACTGAGGTCATGAATTTACTGGAAAGTGCTGGATTCTCTCGTTCTAATCCGTACTATGTTGTGCAGCAGGGGAAGGTTTGGCGCTATTGCACTTTTTCTTTAGATTATGCTTTTGACTATGCTCTGCTCATTCTTCTCTTAATTTGCAGATAGCATCTCTGACATTGATGAAAGATTCAGAGCGACTTGATCTGCTGAAAGAAATTGGTGGTACACGAGTTTATGAAGAGAGACGCCGTGAAAGTCTGAAGATTATGCAAGAAACTGGTAAGTCATTGCAGTTTGTTCAGCCTAGCACACTAATAAGTTATTGCTAACAGCTATAGTCTTCAGGTAATAAGAGAAAGCAAATAATTCAAGTTGTGCAATACTTGGATGAAAGGTTAAGAGAGCTGGATGAAGAAAAAGAGGAACTTAAAAAATATCAGCAGCTTGACAAACAGAGGAAATCTCTGGAGTACAGTATCTTTGACAAAGAACTTAATGATGCAAGGCAGAAATTAGCTGAGGTAAGCTAGGCAATTTGCTGCTTGTAAAATGTAGGGAAGTGTGGTTCTGTTAACTTTCTTTTTTACTTTCTAATTGTTACTCCATTTATTTTTATCAGTGATTTTCTTATAGTTCTGCCATGGTTTTGAAGATGTGTGGTTTATGTGCTTTGTATGCATTGAACCACAACTTATCAGTTGGATGCTGTGTATTTCTTTTGAGCTAAACGTCCATTTTATAGTACAAATTATAGTTTTCTAGATTGAGAAACATATTTGTAAGCATGGGCCTTTAGGAGAATACAAGAATGGGTTATCTTGATTCATGGACTTTATAGTCTCATTCTAAAACTGACCTTTTGTAAAGCTAGTTTAACAATTTCTGCAAGCACCCTCTTGGTTGCTTCTATGAAGTTCTATATATAACAGATAAGTCTATCCAAAAGAAATTGTTACTTATTAAGAAAATTATCTGTACCCTTGTAACCATAATGGTGTAGTGCATATACATATATAGATTTCTTTTTTGATTGATGCAGGTTGATGAGGCTCGAAATCAAATTTCTGAAACCTCTACAAAGGCATATGAACAAGTATTGGCAGCACATGAAAGGTCTAAGGAATTTGAGAAGTTGTCCAAAGATCTGACAAAGGAAATTCAAATTTTAAGCAGGGAAAAAGAGGCTATAGAGAAACAGCGGACGGAAGCTATCAAGAAGCATACCAAGCTAGAGCTAGACGAGAAAGACCTTCGTGAGAAGATCAATGCGAATTCCAAAGCCAAGGTATTCTGTGCACTGCTATTATAAGCTATAAAATGGTGAACTTGTTTTTATTCTTGCACCTTTCATTGTCCAGGAGGAAGCAATGAAACAACTTCACCTTTTAGAGAGGGAGATTCAGGAGTCAACGGATGAACTGAATAATATTAAGCCTTTGTATGAGGAAAAAGTCCAAAAGGAGGATGAGATAACAAAGAGGTATGAATTTATTTGGTGTAACAACATAGCACTATGGTTATAATGATTTAATCGTAAGAGTTGTCTTTTTCAAGTTCACCACAAAATGCCCAAAAAAAATCCCTTCTGCTTATATTTGATAATGAATTACAATAGAGGTAACATACTAACATGTTGTAATGATGCTTATCTCCTTATCCTGTTTCATAGTTGTTAGAATAATTTATTGTCTACAGTTTTGAGTTTTCCTAATTTGAGATTAGGATGGTTGTCTATTTCTCTAAGGTCAAGTTAGGATCTTGGAAGTATTGAGAATTAGGAATATACTCGATTACAGAGAATGAGTTCTAGTGTCCCTTTCATAGTATCATGTGCCATCGAACTTAGTATAAATACCTCTCAATATTATAAATTTATAATTCTTCATTCTCCATACAATTTAACAATAGTGCTGGGGGAGTGCATCAGCCTGGTCTGTCCCAGTGTGTGAGCCATCTCAAGCATACATGTAGGAGCACATCTTGACCCAAAAGTTTAAGCCAATGGTTTACGTAACTTCTATTTATATATGCTAGTGATTTGAACTTTTCTTTCAGATGTAGAGGGCAATTACCTAATCCTAGTTCACAAAAGGAAATACTAGGATATCTTTCAGAAAGTTGCTTGAAGAGAAGTAAACAAAAGATTGTTATTTCCCTAGTTTCTTATGTTGTTTGTCTCTGATATCAACCTTTTAATTTCTCCTTATTATCTTTGGGAAAACTTGCTTTCCATCTCCTTTATGCAAATTGTGAAATTTTATTCATTTCATATTGCTACTTTATTCATGCTCCTTTGGTATGATTTCCAATGGTTTTATTTTATTACAGCATCATGGAACGTGAAAAGCAGCTTAGCATTCTTTATCAAAAACAAGGTCGTGCTACACAATTTGCTAATAAAGCTGCTCGTGACAAATGGCTTCGGAAGGAAATTGATGAGTATGAACGAATTTTGTCTTCAAATCAAATGCAGGTTAATTTTCTTCTTCAATACTATGTGGTCATAAAAGTTCAACTTTGCAGCCGTTTTAGCACAAGACTTGTGCAATGGTGTTTTGTTTATATAGTTGCTTGGTGTTTACAACCCTCACTGTTTTCTCATTTTCTTGGTATATATGACTTTTCTGTCTTCAATTTAGTTCCTCAGTATCAATTTGATGTCTATTTGAAGTAATAAGATGTGGTTTATTAGTTTATAAAATAGAACACGAAGTAATGCAAGTTATGGGCTTCTTGATTGTTCTGTAGTACTGAACAATGTAGTGTTTTTTTTTTTTTTTTTTTTTTTTGGGTGTGGGTTGTAGTGAATTCTTTTTATTTGGATGTGTTAATTGAAAATCTGCATCTAGTTGGGATTCAAATCAAATTTGGAGATTTAAGTTTCTTGTTAAGCTTTGGCCCTTGATTTGCACCCCGTTTCATTGGACCTTATGCTAGTTATCCCCTAAATAAATTATTTTCATAAATCATTAATATGGGGTCATTGTTGTAACATACTGTTTCTACTAGTCCATGGAAGTAACTTAGTCTTGCATGGTGTTCCCTGATTTTGATTATTCATGGTTGTATTTATATTTTAGAGTTAATGCCATATGGGGTCCTCCGAGTATAGTGGTTTTGCCACGTTTAGTCCTAAACTTTCAAATTGTTTCCATCTGTCATCCAAGTAACCATCCATGGTCCTTCAACTTTCAAAATTTAACTAGCCCTGTTCTTCCTAGAAAGACCACGTCTGGTTACAATTTGATAGTTGAAGGACCATGGATGGTAACAATTTGAAAGTTGAAGGATCATGGGTGGTCAATTTGAAAGTTTAAGACTAAATGTGGCAAAACCACTATGCTCGGAGGACCCCAAATGGTAATTGATTCTTCTTGTCTATAATGTAATTGTCATATTGCTCTTAGGAATGAAAAAAACCTTTTTTTCTTTTCTATATTAAGAACCTGTTTCAATTTTGTCTGCTGTGACCACTTCTAGCCCCGTCTACAAGAAGGGAAAAGTGCTTCTTTCATAATGCATGTATAATGTATTTCTCATTCGGACCATATCTTGGTTGAGTTCACTTTTCCAGGAGAGTAAACTAAGGGATGAAATTAATCAGCTAAAGAAAGATCTGGAGATTCAGGATGATATTATCAGGCATCGCAAAAATGAAGCAGCAGAAAGGGAAAATCTCATATCTGGTTATCGACGAGGTTACAATGATTATAAACGACAGAGAGATGAGATGCATGATGAACGGAAGTATGAGCACTTCTGTATCTATAAATTTTCTTTAGGAATCTTTTGTCTGTGATATGACATGAATATTTGTGTCTGCGAATAACTTGTAGGTCTTTGTGGGCAAGAGAGAGTGAGCTTAGTGCTGAAATTGCACGACTCAGACAAGAAGTTGGGAAAGCAGAGAAAAGTCTGGATCAGGCAACTCCTGGAGTTAGTACTTTTACACAGAATTATGAAATCATTTGAAAAATGACAATATCTTTATTGAGTTTGGTGCTTTTGAATCTCCATAATATATTTATTCAATAATGAGAAAGTGCTTCCTTATATAACATGTTGGAGCATACTTGATTATTAGTTTTTGATACCTAAGGTACCTTGCTCATTAGTCATTTGATCTTCCCTTATGTTTTGTATTTTGCCGGCTAACAGTGAAATGGCATTATAACCATCATGTAAGTGACATTAAATCCTTTTGAAGGGAAGTAATCCACCTGGTGTCTTGTTTGGCAAAATGCTTACATTACTTTAAACTTTGAAGTTATCTTGTAGTTTCCTTTCTCTGATGACACTACAGCTGCATACTACTGTATGTGTGTAACAGTGAGTTTCTTTCATGAGCACCTGCTTCTAGACATAGATCTTAATGGGTCATGTTTACCGCTGCCGCTTCATCTTCTGCAGCTCTCTAATTTTGCCATATGCTCAATACATTGTTTTGATAATTTGTGCCATTTTAAATAAACTTGTAATTGAAGTACAAGTACCTAATCTTGTCCTTTCAAAAAAAAAGAAAAAAAAGAAGTACAAGTACCTAATCTTGTTATTTATTTTTGTTGGTTATAGGATATTAGAAGGGGATTGAGCTCAGTTAAGAGGATATGCAATGAGCATCAAATTCCAGGGGTATTTGGTCCGATATTTGAGTTGCTTGAGTGTGAAGATAGGTTCTTCACTGCTGTTGAAGTTACTGCTGGAAACAGGTAGGGTGCAATTAGTAATTGGAAAAAGAAAAATGAGAAAACTGTGGAAAAAGAAAACAGAAAAATGCACTAAACAGGCCTGCAGAGTTTACTGCTTTACTTGCAAAGCTTTGCTTTAATGTACTGAGCTAAGCTTGCTTGTATCTTTTGTTCAGTAAATGTTTTCTTTACTCTTTGCAGCTTATTTCATGTTGTGGTTGAGAATGATGATATATCAACTCAAATTATTAGACATCTAAATGCACAGAAAGGTGGCCGAGTCACATTTATTCCACTGAACAGGGTGAAGGCTCCACAAATTTCGTATCCACAGAATAATGACGTGGTTCCGCTTTTAAAGAAATTGAAGTTCTCCAACAGATTTTCCAAAGCATTTGAACAGGTTGCTAAACTAATTTGGTTTCTTTTTAATTATTATATTGATTGAGTATAGATGGTGAAGACATGAAAAGATTATTGTAATTTTAGCCTATCTTCAACTTGATTTAAATAAGATCCATGAAATTGGAATTGGCTTACAATTTCATTTAAGAATCAATCAAATTAATTAAAAAACTCCATTTGTTTTTCCATTGAACACTAATTTCATAAATGAATTAATTAGTTTCATGTGTAATGATCATTTATGCTTGTTGCACAAGGAATGTTATACTCTGTAGTAATTAATATGGTTTGTATTTTGTAATGTTTCAATGTTATTACCAAACTGAGAGCATATCAATAATTCTATCTTATGTATGACAAACTGTAAGTTTATAGATAAATAGACACACAACTTGCACCGCCACACTCTTCTGATCTCCCCTTTCCCCTTAGTGTGTCATTTTTTGTTTGGAATTTTTTTTTCCCCTTACCAGCATGAATCAAGATATGGAGTTGTTTGGACCAATTATGATTTCCAAGAATATTGTAAGCATTATATTGGTTTATCTTTCTGAGAGTAAATACCTTATCAAAAATAAATAAGTAAATAAAACAAAAATACAAAAAGAAAAGAAAATGATTAACAAGTTTGTGAGAACAGGAAATCCTATGGTAAATTGTGCTATAAAGACATTTTGATGCTGTGAAACCCTTTTTCAATCTGAGAAGATAGCTGCATCTAACATATTCAGTTCCTTTTGCCCATAAGGATGCATTAAAAGTCATTCCTTCCCAATAGATGAAAAGTCATTCTATCCCATAAAATTTTAAGGCTGAGTTCTAAGATTGCGTTCTAACTGAATACACAAAAACACAATATTATATCACATTTTATGAACTTCTGAATTGAATTGTCCTCTTTAGAATCATGAATAACAAAGAGTGTCTCTGAAGGGCATTCTTATCATATTCTTTCGCTAAAATTTGGTGAATTTATGTTGTGACCTAGGTGTTTGCTAGAACTGTAATTTGCCGGGATTTGGATGTTGCAACAAGAGTTGCCCGCACAGATGGTCTTGACTGCATTACTTTGGAAGGTTCAGAAAACTTGATTCTTCATGATTTGACTATTTTAGTGTTTGCTTATTACACTAAAAAACTGACAAATATCCTACTTGCAGGTGACCAAGTGAGCAAAAAAGGTGGCATGACTGGTGGGTTTTATGATTATAGACGCTCAAAACTGAGGTTTATGAGCACTGTTAGGCTTAACACAATTTCTATCAGCGAAAAGCAAAATGAATTGGAGCAAGTTAGACAAATGCTTCAAGATATCCTTTTACAGTTTTCCTTCTAATTTATTTTACATTTTAGTTTATATAGCATTTTTATTCTCTCTTTTTGTTGACCTTCTTAGTTCTTAATTCTCCATTGTCTTGGTTCTTTGCTTATGTAGTCCTGAATTCTACATATCTAGGTATCTAGCTGTGACTTCTGAACATCAAAATGGAAAAAGGGAAGTGGGTAAATGATTACCTGTTGAGCCCAAAATTATATCTCTCAAACTAAAAGTAAAATTTTGTAAGCCTTTCTGCTCTAGACCCTGCTTGATGTGGGTGCCTTATGCATTTGGTTCTAACATTTTTGAAAAGAAAAGTTTTTAAAGTTCATGTCAATTTGCTTTATCTGTGTTTGTTTAGGATGGATAAGATAGAAGTTCATACTGACTTTGTATGTGCGTGTGTGTTTAAGTCTCACAAGAAATTGCTAAAAATACCTTAGATGACTGCAAGATGAATAAGCTTTTATATGTGCAATATTTAAGTATCTTCTACACGCTGTGTTGCTATTCTAGTTGGAACTTGTACTCCTATCATCTCTGCTTTAAAGACTGATGAAAGGAGTCAAATGAAATCTTGTATTGACATATAACTTCTAGCATGGTAGAACTCTGGTATCAGTTCATGCTGTAATGAGATCTCTAGGTTACTTTGTCCACTTTGAAAAAATCATTATGACAGTTGCCACAACCTTAAGATCATTGGGTTTATGTTCACTAGTTTTATCTGAAGTTACCCTACTGCATTCTTTTCAACTCTTGGTTAGTTAACTCACACAGGTGGAGTTGACTGGCTTCTGGGAGCAAAGTTTCCTTAACTGTCCTGTTTCTGTATTCTGATTGTAGAAGGAGTTAGAATGAAATTGCAGACTCATTAATATTTTCCCATGTTTGTACTTCATGCTTTTTCTGTCATGTGAAAAATTAATTGAATTGGTTTTGCCTTATGTTTTCGCTAAGCTTTTCTCACAGATAGACCAGAAAATTAATGAACTTGTTGCTGAACAACAGAAAAATGATGCTAAGTTGGCTCATGACAAATCTGAGCTAGAACAGTTTAGGCAGGATATTGCAAATGCTGAGAGACAGAAACTTTCCATTTCTAAAGCTCTTGAGAAAAAGGTATCTCGCACAATTACTTTTACTTTATGTTTGTTTCATCTTTAAGCTGATGAAAGAACCACTGTGCATCTGCAACTGCAATTATAACAGCTCCTGTGAAAACTGATTGAAACATCTGCAGGAGAAATTGCTGGCCAATGTTTTGACACAAATTGATCAGGTTAGATCTAGTATAGCCATGAAACATGAAGAGATGGGGACAGACCTTGTTGATCACCTGACACCAGAAGAGAGAGATTCTTTGTCGCGTCTGAACCCTGAAATAACAAATCTGAAAGAGAGGCTAATAGCATACAAGGCAAATCGCATAGAGGTTTGCTTATAGATTGAATTTGTCATAGTTACAAAAAAATCCATTTATTGGGTGCATCTGATTATTATTTGTGTAGATTGAAACTAGAAAAGCAGAGCTAGAGATGAACTTATCTACAAATCTTGTAAGACGGAAGCAAGAGCTAGAGGCAATAAAAGTGTCTGTAGATACTGATGTGTTAAGTTCTGAAGCTGAATTAAAGGGGCAGGAAGTAGTGGAGGCCCATATATTAGTTGAAAACTTGACCCAACAGCTTACAAGTGAGTTATTTTGCTTATTTTTCAATGTTATATAATTTTTCATGCCATCTCATTAAAAAAAAAAAAATCCTTTTAGGAGTTTCTGAAAGCATAAATGATAGAAGCAAGAAGCTCAAGCAGATCAAAGAAGAAAAAGACAACTTGAAGGTAGGTGTGGTGTATCTTATGAAATTGAGGTTTCTAAGTTTTTGACTGTTTTGTCATTGGTCTACAAAATTACTATGAATGTAGGCTATGGAAGACAATTACCAGGGTACCCTTCAGGATGAGAAGAGAGAATTGGAGCAACTCTTAAATAAAAGGAACACCTATCTTGCAAAACAAGATGAGTATTCGAAGAAGATTCGAGAATTGGGTCCATTATCATCCGATGCCTTTGAAACGTACTCTTCTTTGATTTTGGAATATTTTCTGTAGAAATTTGCTAAATTGCAATTTCACATCTGATATGCATAAGTTGTACAAATTGGGTTCTGAATATATTCTCTAGAAATTTGCTAAATTGGGTCCATTATCATCTGTTTTTTTTTTTTTTTTCTTTGCGGTGCATATTGGTTTATTAATTTTTCATATAAAAATTATAGGTATAAACGAAAGAGTGTAAAAGAGTTGTACAAATTGTTGCACAAGTGTAGTGAGCAGCTGCAACAGTTCAGCCATGTGAACAAGAAAGCACTTGATCAATATGTAAATTTCACTGAACAACGAGAAGAACTCCAGAGAAGGCAAGCTGAACTAGATGCTGGTGATGAGGTACACAGGACATACACATTCTGCTGAGTTGTTTATTCTTGGATGTTCTGTTGAATTCAACTTTTATTTTAATTTTATTATTATTACTATTTTTAATTGGACAGAAAATTAAAGAACTTATATCAGTTCTCGATATGAGGAAGGATGAGTCAATTGAACGTACTTTCAAGGGTGTGGCGAAGCATTTTCGTGAAGTCTTTTCTGAACTTGTGCAAGGTGGCCATGGGTTTTTAGTTATGATGAAGAAAAAGGTTTGTCTCAATCTGTGGATCTTCATTTTTATGCAGCTATGCTATTTGAAATGTCATGCCAGCATTAGATACTTTGATTCTTTATTTTTAAAACATTTTTACTGGTTTTATAAGGGGCTATTACTTTTTAAATTCAACACCTTAATCTTAAGAGGGGGGTTACTCTTGTACACGCATATAAAAAAGATTTTTGTTTTTACTTCTCTTTTACTAAAGCAAATTAGCAAATTTGGGCATACATTCTTGATGTTACCTCTCCTTTCTATTTTACTTTACCTAAGTGAATATTATTCTGTGTAGTGTACTAGTTTTTTTTTCTCCTGTTTCTAGCTTTCTTGACATCAAAGCTAGAAAGTTGTGGTTAGAATTTCCTTGCCTCTTAGTGCACACCATGAAAGTCTTTTGTTCTTGGGTTTTTGAGGAAAGAGAAAATGGTGCTTAATGGAAAGCTTTCTCCAACTTGATTTGTTGTTTGCTAACCTTTTTGTTGGATTTTATTCAATTACATATGAATTTACTGTAGTAAGAAAGAGTTAATTTGCTGATCTATATAATTCTACTATACTACAGATTTTGAGATCCCGTTGGATCTATTTTTAGTCTAAACTTGCACCTAAATTGTATATGTTCGCAGGATGGCGAGGAAGATGACGACGATGATGATGATGTGCCACGTGCAGCTGAGGTGGAGGGAAGGGTTGAGAAATATATTGGTGTTAAAGTGAAGGCATGCATTTTTCCTCTGAAGTTTCTTTTCCACATTAAGAAAGTTTTTAGTTTTATTTACGTTTTTTGTATTTTGTGGTTTTATTCCCGTGAGCTTGCTATCTCTGGAAAAGTTCGTTAGCTTTGTCTTTTTGTTTTATCTTCTTTTGTCTTTTGTTGATAGTTTCAAGCAATGGTGGTAGCCTTATACTGTTATACAGTTCAATATAATCAAAGATAAAACGTTACTAGCATACTACTGATAATACAATGATCTATGCTGTCTAGTTTTATGCTTGCTCTGGGTCAAATGTTTTCCTGACTCATTTAGTCATTTTCGGTAACAGGTTTCATTTACTGGACAAGGAGAAACACAGTCAATGAAGCAGTTATCTGGAGGTCAAAAAACAGTTGTAGCACTAGCTCTGATCTTTGCCATCCAGCGTTGTGATCCTGCCCCGTTCTATCTTTTCGATGAAATTGACGCGGCACTGGATCCTCAATACAGAACTGCTGTTGGAAGTATCCTTCTTTATATTCATTCTACCCCCTTTCAGATATACCAATAAAGAAAGTTCTCCACTTACTGTATATTATTTTTTGCTTCTCAGTTCTGAAACATTTTCTGGAGTAGTTTTTTTTTTTCCTTAACCATGGATCTCTAGGTATGGTCCGTCGTTTGGCAGATATGACAAGCACACAATTTATAACGACCACATTTCGGCAAGAGCTTGTTAAAGTTGCTGACAAGATATACGGAGTGACACACAAAAACAGAGTCAGCCGAGTTAACATTGTCACAAAAGAAGAAGCTTTAGCTTTCATTGAGCACGACCAATCCCACAATGCTGAATGAGGTTAGCTGGCTTTTATGAATACTTTTGAATTATGTTAATTTTCTCAGCATAGTTGCCTGAAACAGTACAACATTATACTCGTTCTCAAGGTCAAGTTGAGCTTATACGTGATCTCTATAAAATGCATATGCAGGGAGTTCATGATGCTAGGCTAAGGTTTTTATTGCGGTTCGAATAGGTTTCCATCCTCCTGTGTTTCTTGTGTTAAGGCCTTGGTATAGTAGCGTAATAATACTATTAATGTGTAGATGTATGGTATAATGGTATAATACTCTGTTAACATGTAGGTGACATTTGATGTAGTTGCCCCTATTCATTACATATGCTTCAAGACAAGTCTAATCTAATAAGTGGTAGTATATCGAGTCAAGCAAATTATACTGTGGATCATGGTTTACATTATAGTATAGATTGCTTCATTTTTAATGTATGATGGTTTACTTTTAGATAGTATTTTGAAAATGATTTTTCATAGCACTAAAAATGAACATTTATTAGCGATGGTTCTTGAACACCTTTTGAGTGATTCGGAGTTCAGACAATCAGACCCGTTGGATCTTATTCCAAACATTTCACAATGTTCTTTGCTGGTAGTTTTTGCTAAGATTATAACCAGCAAAGCTAAACTTTGGTTGTGAGCCCAAAGCCAAAGGGGAAGAGGGGATCATAATGTGGGTCACCAACGTTCATGGGCAGTTGCTCTACATTCTTGAACCAAGTCCGAGGTAACTTTCCGGTGAAAGGGTAGTCTCCAAACAAGACATCAGCAACGCCGCCGCCTTCAGTGCCCGGGAGCCATGCAGCCACCAAAGCATCAATGAACGGCAGATATGGTTCGATCACCAGTGGCCTACCAGAGACCAGTACGACAACACACTTCATGATTTGACAAACGTTGGAGACTATGGTGAGGCCTGGTTCAGGGATGGTCAAGTTGAGGCTGTCCCCATAGTATTCGACGTAGGGAAACTCCCCCACAACAACTACCGCGTAGGAAAAGTTGTTGGATTTCATGAATTCGATCTCAGGGTTCTCGTTGTACACTACTTTAGTCTCTGGATCAACCACCCGCGTTATGCCAGTTAAAATAGTTGTACCGGTAGTCATATTGTTGCCACTATAGCCTTCCCAAGTGATTGTCCAGCCACCACATTGATTTCCAATATTATGAGCATGAGTTCCGGCAACCAATACTTTTGCTGCCTTTTTGGGGAGAGGAAGTAAAGGGTCATCGCCATTCTGCCCATTCTTCAACAAAACAAGTGATTTCCTCACTGCTTCTCTTCCTAACTCTCTATGAGCCTAATCAACACAAGGCTCATTTACTAATCGGAGAAGAAAAAAAAAGAATGCGTTTACTTGTACATAAACGTATGGTAAGTCAGTGTTGAACTCACTTGGCTGCCAACGTGATGAACTAAACTGTGATCGGCCAAAGGGTCTTCAAAGAGCCCCATTGTAAACTTGACTCTCAAGATCCTCTTCACGGCGTCATCAATTCGACTCATTGGAATGAAGTTGTTCTTCACCAAATAACCTAAGGTATCCATGAACTCTGTGTAGTTATATGGCACCATCACCTGCATGTAACGAGAATATAATTAACCTTGGTGTCTTTTGTATCGATTATAAATAATAACAATATTAAGCTTGGTTATACGGGATTGGAGATTTGACCTTAGAGCAACTATATCAGTAGATCTTTTATGATTTTTGAGAGTAAAATGGCCAACATGGATAGAGAGGGAAGAAGTTCCTCCTGCAAGGAGGCGGTTTTTCGCAAAAATGTGGGACCCACTACAGAAATGTGCCATCCGCGCAGCTTACGCGTGGCTGTCACAACTATGCCCAGCGGGCGGGCACGTTACTGGCGTTGTTTAGATTATTTTTTTTTTTTTTTTTGGTTGAAATCAGCTTTGTTTTATTTATTTTCTTTTTTTCTCTTCCCTTCCATATTCGCTTTCCTAATCACACTTGCAAAAACTTTCCAAAAACACAAAAAAAAAAAAAAAAAAAAAAAAAAACCTGGATGCTTTTAGAGTACTTTTATATTAGGTACAAGTAACTCTGGTAGATGCTTAGTTGTACTGAATGAAGACGGACAAGTGTTTATAGTACACCGTACATAGTACAACTCAAAAAGCATACATGGTCGTACCCAACATGAAAAGTAGTGATACTGATGGATATGATAGAAATCTTTGTACATAAATATATGAAGTTAGAAAGAATGTAATTCTGAGATGCAAACCATGTCAATGCCAGCTTGGATGCCTTTTAAAACTGAGTAAGTGTAGTTTGCATGTTCTGGATCTGTGATTTTGTCTATACCCAACCAATTTGAGATGACAAATCCCTATAAAAAAAAAAAAAAAAGAAGAAAATTTAATACTTCACTCTTAAGTACTTGCATTTGAATTAGATTAAACTGATACTTAATTGTAAATTTAGTGTACCCTGAATTTAAGAGTGCCTTTAAGAAAGTCGGTGATGAGATAACGGTCGGCGTGCAGCTTTTGACCGTTGAAGCTATTGTAGGAGAGAGCAATGGTGGAAATGCCATTGATGATGGAGTTGTAGAATCCAGGCATGTGGATGCTTAGGAGTTCATGCCAACCTATAACGGTGTCGTTTTCATCTTTTCCCTTTGTTGTGCCACCATCTCCAACAAAGTTCCTTGCACATGCTGCTACTTTGGTCCTGACAAATAAGATTATAGTAAGGGAAATCTACCGTCATTACCTGATGGTATGTGTGAGACAAATTTGCTTATATGTACTAGTCCGTAAATCAAATCAAAGAGAAAAAATCTATACTTTTGACCACCCAAAAAGTAAATATAATGGCAATTTCTGATTTTTTAAAAACTTTTCTGACCATCCATCAAAGGTGGTTGGTATGAGTAGTTGAACAACTTCATTACGTTGTTATAAAACCTAATTTACATCCGATTGTTGAAAACTATAACAGCTACTCGTTGTCAAAGTTAACTTATACGTCTAATTTTTTTGACTTTTTTAAGCAGTCTTCAATCATAAATTCTAAATTTTAACCACTTCTCGTATTAAATTTTTTCTATCATGATTATTAGAATACAACTTACTTGCCAGCAACAAAGGGTACACCCTTGCGGTAAAAGGGAGGAATATCACCTTGTAACCCACCAACAATCTCACTTGTCATTTCCCTCACAATTTCCACTTCTTCACTAAACGTCTCATAACACCTTCCCCATCTTGGATCTCTGCATACCTACCTTCCACCAAAATGTAAATATAATAATTTATAAGAATTCATGAATATATAATTAAGGTTTACATACAAAAGCAAACATGTACGTATAGAATAAGTTCTATGCAAAATCGTCTTAAGCGAATTATGTAATACTTTTTAGTTAAAATATATGATTTTTTATGAATTTATTAAAATATATGTCAGATGAGAGACAATTTCACACAAGACATATACCGAGACGCAGGGACCAAAAACATATGGAATGCCGGTAGCTCTAGCCTCAAGTGCAGTTGCTGCACCTATCCTCCTTACTAGCTCTGCATCTCTGCAAAACAAAAATTTAAAAGGAATAATATATATAATGGTCAATATTTTGAATTCCCATTTTATATTGTACAAAAATTATTGTCCCTTTTGGTCCTATAGGTTTGGTGTCATCCACTATTGATGTATAATTATAAAATGAAAAAAAGGTCAAATTCGCTCCAGATAACTGGATAGTGCAATTGGATCTAGCTCTAAGCTTCATTCAAATCTCGTAAATTTATAAAAATATTCAATTGAATCCAAAATGAGCAAATCTCTTGCCCGCACGAGTTTAGCTCAGTGTGAAAATTATGCTCAAAGTAAACAGATCTCTTGTGCCCAATTATTCTGTTAGGTTGGGGTGTAGGCGGCCACTTAGGTAGGACAACATTTTAGACTATGGCACTGTTTGGTAAAAAATTGGCCTATAGGTCAATTTTGACTTATTTGACCACTATTAATTGTTTGATTTACTTAAAATATCAATATAAATGTTTGGTTAATAAGCTTTTTGCAACTCGAAAATGCTAAAATTCAAAATGCCACTCTAACCAACTTTTTCAATTAGTTTTTTCAGAAAAGAAATTTATACCAAACAACTATCAGCTAACAGCTAATTTACCAAACACTTTTCTACTAATGTTATTAACTAGTTATACCCTCTAATTAACACGATCAGCTAACAGCTAACCGCCATTTACCAAATAGTCCCTATAGAAAAATTAGAGAAGTTGTAAAACGCATGTCTAAAATTATTACCTTGTTGCTCCAAGTCCAATATTGTGAGGAAAAATGGTGGCCTTATACACATTATTATTCCCATGAACAGCATCACTCCCATAAATCATGGGAATCCCAAGCCTAGAAGACACTGCCCCCTTCTGAAACCCATTTATCATCTCAATCCACTCCTCCGCCGTCGCGTTCCGCCGCGGTGCGCTGCCGGCGCCGCTCAGCACGCTGCCCAAGCACCGATCTCTCACCACCGCCGCCGTCAAATTCTCCCGATCAACCTGCGTCATTTGCCCGATCTTTTCCTCCAACGTCATTCGCCCCAACAGGTCTCTAATCCTTGCTCCCATCTTCCTGCTTGGGTCCTTGTAAACCTTGTATTCTTCTTCTTCTTCTTCGGCGTCCATGGCGGCCGCCATGCATGCACTGCATATCATCACTAAAACTAAAACTCCCAATAATGGAACTACGTTTCTTGCAATTTTCATTTTTTACAATGTTAGTTGTTAATTGGGGCATATATGTTATATATATACTATAATATAATTGTGGGGAACATTAATGGCTTGAATTGGTTTGAAGGCTTTGTTGACTAAGGGAAAAGTTGGCTTCACTGTAAGCATGGGTTGACATTGATATTTTGGTAGACTTAATTTCCATTGTCATAGATTTATAGGTGACAAGTCCACTTTTAGTTTTTTTTTTTAAAATCTTTTTCCAAAGGTTGAACCCCAACCTTAAGGGTCTCCCACACCCCGGCCCGACAGAGCATTTGGGAAATACCGTTAAATACAAAGACATTTTAATTTTTTTAATCTTAATATTATTGTTGTATGATCATTTTTGGTTATTCATCAAGAAAATCATTGAAATACTGTTAAATACAAAGATATTTTAATTTTTTAATACACATTAGTAGATTGACCGGCTATATTTTTTATGTTTATTTTATTTTTTTTTTAAAAAATCAAAATTGAAAACTGAAATGCTCTTGTATTTGATGAAATTTAAACTGGTTTGTTGATAGAAGACAAAAAATGATCATGCCACAATAATATTATGATTAAAAGTAAATATTTTGAAGAAAAAGGACTAAAAGTGGATTGTCAATTATAAATCTAGAACAAAAATGAAATTAACTCTATTTTTGTGCCATGGAAGCTGCTACTATTTGAAAATTCAAATTTACTACTCACAAAAAAATTCATAGGTAAATTACTAAAATTTATATTTATTTAATTTATCAAGGAATTTTCGTAGGTAAATATTAAAATTCTTACGTATTTAAGTTGTAATTATTTAATTCACACTTAAATATGTAGATTTTTTTTTCTTTTTTGGTAGTGTGCCTGGATTGGACATATGTACTATGGAGTTATGTATACCACAAGAACAAAAATGCATGAAGTGGTGGGAAGAATTAATGGTTTGATTTGATAGAAGACCACTTTTGACAGAAAAAGTAATTAGCACTATGAAGTAACAGTATGAAAGTTGAAATTTTGGGATGTATATATGAAAGCCCCTTGGATCCCACATTTAGTGGCAACAATAGATTTGAACGTCATATATAATACATCCCACATTGTTTCCCCATGGTAAAAACCTAAAGGAATTGAATTATCTAAAATCATTGTAGTCACATAAATTACGATTAAGATAGATGTTGATTTTTGTAACGTCTTTTTAATTAGCTCTCTCCGTCACTATTTGCCAAAAGGCTAATAATAACGGTAACGTCTCCCTGATTAGCTCTCTCCGTCACTATTTGCCAAAAGGCTAATAATAACTGATAACGTCTCCCTGATTAGCTCTCTCCGTCACTATTTGCCAAAAGGCTAATAATAACTGTAACGTCTCCTTAATTAGCTCTCATTATATTAATTCTTTCCTTTTAAGCGTATCACACATGTCTTGACTTTCTTATGGATATGATTATACAAACATCTTCAATCTCAATTAATAAGGATCTAAAGGACACCGATCCAACAATAATGAAAATTTGTATGTATCTCGTTTAGGGTATTGTTTAGAACCCAATTAAAAATAGCATAATTTGGGTCAATGCATGTAATATAATTGCATAAAACATGATAAAACTCTAAACCCTTAGTATAGCCTATACTTTAGTGGTGAGTCCAAACCCAAACGGAAAGAGAGGATCATAGTTGGGATCGCCGACGTTCATCGGCAGCTGGTCGACGTTCTTGAACCAAGTTCTCGGCAGCTTTCCGGTGAACGGAAAATCCCCGAACAGGACATCGGCGACGCCCTGTCCTTCGGAGCCGGGGAGCCACGCGGCCACCAGAGCATCAATCGACGCCAGATACGGCTCGATCACCAGCGGCCGGCCGGAGATGAGCACGACGACACACTTGACGGTTTGGCAAACGTTAGAGATGATGTTGAGGCCCGGGTCGGGTATGGTGAGGTTGAGGTTGTCGCCGAAGAACTCGGCGTAGGGACTCTCTCCGACCACCACGACGGCGTAGGAAAAATTGTTGGATTTCACGAACTCCACGTCGGGGTTTTCCTCGTACACCACTTCCGTTGTCTTCGGATCAACTGCTTGACTTATGCCCGTTAGAATGGTGGTCCCTGTAAACTCGATAACATTATCAATCAGCTTTTTGATAAATTCATTTTGTATGTAATCAGCTATCAACTAATAGTTAATTTACCAAACATTCTTTTACAATCTATCAACCAGTCAAACTTACTAACCCAATCAGCTAACAACTATTTACCAAACAGCACAGACATACCGGTAGTAATGTTGTTGCCAGGATAGCCTTGCCAAGTGATTGTCCAGCCACCACATTGATTGCCACTATTGTGAGCATGAGTTCCGGCAACCAATATTTTTGCTGCCTTTTTGGGTAGAGGAAGTAAAGGGTCATTGGAGTTTTGGCCATTTTTCAACAAAACAAGTGATTTCCTCACTGCTTCTCTTGCCAACTCTTTATGGGCCTAATAATCACAATCAGATTACCATCACATAACATTAAACTCAGCTCGATAACTAACATTATCAAAATCTATGGAATATAATAAGTCCATAATCAGGTGCGAACTAACCTTAATATGCAAGCTTGTAAACTTATAAAGGATCGCACCCGGATGCATAAGGTATGTCTGGGAGTTGTAGCAGTACAATCATATAGTAGTTGTGGTGCAATCTTTTAGGTAGGTTTCCAGATTAAGGTTGATTTTCACCTGATTATGATTATATTTATATATATATGGTATATGTGAATTGCTGACCTGGCTTCCTAGATGATGTGCAAGGGTATTATCAGCCAAAGGATTTTCAAAGAGACCCATAGTAAATTTGACTCTCAATATTCTCTTAACGGCGTCGTCTATCCGACTTGTGGGAATGAAGTTGTTTTTCACCAAGTAGGTTAAAGTGCTTATGAATTCAGTGTGGTTATATGGCACCATCACCTGCATATATGAACAAAAGTTATTCTAAAAAAAAAACATTTTTAATTTCATCATGACTCAACTGTATTAGTTGCATCATAATTATACCGTCAACTACATACTTGTTAGTCGTAAAACCAAAAATTGAATATACACACAAAGAATATAAAGCAAGGTAGCTACAAACCATGTCAATGCCAGCTTCTATGCTTTTCAAAACCGAGTAGGTGTAGTTTGAGTGTTCTGGGTACGTGATTTTATCTATACCCATATAATCTGAAATTACAAAACCCTGAAAAAAAAATTATAACATAAGTATTCATTTATTTAATTTGCGAAAAAAATTCACAGTTGTTATTTGAAGGTGTTTTCGGAATGGAAGCCCTCATTTCTTTTGTGAAAGTGTGCAAGTAAATAAAAATAAAATAATGAGAATGGGCATACCCTAAACTTAAGAAGGCCTTTGAGGAATTCAGTGATGAGATAACGATTGGCATGCATCTTGACGCCGTTAAAGCTGGAGTATGAGACCATGACGGTGGAGACACCCTTGACGATGGATGGGAGGTATCCGGGCATGTGAATATGCGTGAGGTCAGGCCAGTTGATAACGGTGTTGTTTTGGTCGATTCCTTTTGTTGTTCCCCCATCTCCTACAAAGTGCTTTGCACAAGCTGCTACTTTTGTCCTACAAAAACATTATTGGATGTTTGGTAAATACTAAATAGCTGTTAGCTAACTGTGTTAGTAGGATTGACAAGTTGACAGCATTAGCTGATTGTAGAAAGATATTTAATAAATTAGCTAATAGATGATTACTAATCGAAAAAACTGTTTTGAGCAGCTTTTTGAATTTTATTGTGGTCTGTTCTAGTTTCAGACCATTTTTTTCCTATATTCTAAATATTTCACCATTGATATATGAGAGGTAAAATTGAGTGGTTTTGAAGAACTTACTTGCCACCAACATAAGGAATGCCTTTGGGGTGATTAGCAGGGATGTCTCCCTGCAAACCAGGTATGATCTCAGTCATACTCTTCACAATCTCTACATCTTCACTATAACTTTCATAACACCTTCCCCACCTTGGATCTCTGCAAACCTGATATATTAACATACATTTAACATTAATATTATTCATATTTTTTTCAACCATTTTAATTGGCAGAATAAATCATAGAAAAAAGAAGGAATTATATTCTTACAGCAATGCAGGGAGCAAAAACATAAGGAATGCCTGTAGCTCTAGCCTCAAGAGCTGTAGCTGCCCCAATTCTCTTCACTAGATCTGCATCTCTGCAATATATTAGGGTATGGGGTTAGTGCTATCATTCCTAGCCCTAATTTTTTTTATTTTTATTTTTTTAGTATTACAAAATCACTTCATATCACTAGACCACAACATCATTGGTGCTCGATCTTAAATATTTATTAATTTAAAACATTTATGCCATAAATATCTACCTAGCTTATTTCACTATTTATAAGGATGATACATATTTTTTTTTTTGTGATGACCAGGGAAAACCACACAATTATGTACTGGTAAATCCCAGTTTGCAAAGGAACACAAGGAAATAAACTATCCTATGTTGTCCAAAAAGATGAATATGTCACTGAAAAAATTAAAGTATGATTACCAAGCCAATAACCCGATAACTACAATATAAATATTATGAAAATTTATACCTTGTAGCTCCAAGTCCAACATTATGGGGAAAAATGGTGGCCTTGTAGACAGTGTTGTGGCCATGAACTGCATCAATCCCATAGATCATCGGAATCCCAAGCCTACTAGACAACGACGCATTCTGAAACCCATTCACCATCTCCACCCAGTCCGCCGCCGTGGCGTTCGGCCGCGGCACGCTTCCGCCGCCGCTCAACACGCTGCCGATGGAGTAATCTCTGAGAACCGCCGCCGTCAAATTCTGGCGCTCCAGCTGCGCCATCTGCCCGATCTTTTCCTCCAGAGTCATTCGCCCCATCAGGTCCCTAATCCGACTACTTATCTTCCTCGAGGGGTCCTTGTAAGTCATGTATTCCGATTCTGCCCCCACGGCCATGCATGCACACAACATTAATAGCCCCAGTAATGGGACTGAAAGCCTTGGAATTTTCATGGTTCTCGAGGGTAGTTTCGGTCCAGTGGAGTTTTGAGTTAGAAAATTTGCAGAAAAGAAGAGAGGGAGAAGAAGAAAAGGAAGGCTGCACAAGAGAACCTAGGAAATAATATTGTGATATATATATTGTAATATTTGGTACGTTGGAAAAAGTATAAATTTAGTAATTATAAATAATTACTATTTTAGGCGATCATAATCTACTTTAATTAATTTGATCCGTTACCTGAAACAGCTGGATTATTATCTTTTCATGCCATGCCAACGCATGTCCAATCATATTACCAAACTAACCTAATCTTACTTGCACGAGTTTAGCTGACTAATTTATTTGGCAGTATTTGAAAGAAAAGACGACGAATGTTTGAATTTTGGCAGTGCGTGATAGGGTAAGATTATATCCAAAATGGATAGATCCCTTATCCGTATTTAAAAGGAGAGATGGAGATTTGAATAATTTTGACAGCGCGTGATAGTGTAAGATTTTATCCAAAGTGAATAGATCCCTTGTTCGCACCAACATTTGACCCTGATTATTGAGTTTCGGGCTCAAACAAATGAACTACATGGTAGTTGGATAAGGACACAATAATTAAAGAGTATAAAATTTCGCCAAATTAGAAAGAATTTCCATATTTATAGGAGTCATAAATATACTCCGTAATAATGTCCCTTTCCTACGAGTTATTATTGTACGGAGTATCATACTATCATGCATATTGTTTTGTATTTTTTTTTAAGTTAATTATTTTTTGTATATTTAATTATGAATAATATTGTTTTTCTTGTTTTGTTTTGAGGGGTGTTTTTCTTGTCTTTGATTTTACCTAGTAGTGTTGACTTACTGCCGTGACAATAATAAATTCTTTTTCTTTTTAAAGCAATATTATTATTGAGAAACATCATAAGACAACATAAAGAAAGCCAAAAGAGTGTCATGCCACTCCCTATAATTACATATTAAATTAAAATTGCTTCTCTAGGGGAAGACATGATTCGTAGATCGCTTAACAAAAGCAAAATTCGTATTGACAAAATCAACAACGTAACAACTAAAGTTTTAATATTCTCAAGCAATCATCAATCCAAACGAAGAATTCATTGGTTAGTGTGAATTAGCAACTTTTCTTATTCATTAGTTCTTAAGAATGAACTGACCCCACCAGTCATACGTTAAAAATGAATCTTTTTATTATTCATAATACAAATAGAATCAATCAAACATTGAAACATAATGAGATAAATATTAAGAGAATGTAGCATTATTACTCTTTAAATATTGCATAATTTACAAAAACACTAGAACCTTGGTCATATGTTGGAACCTTGTTATAATATTTCTTCTTTGTAAGTTATTTTTTTTTTTAGTTCGCAATTTGCAAATTAATGTTAGTTTTCACCGGATTAAAAAAATACATATATATATATATATATATATAAAGCTAGTTCATAGTTTCTACTTGATAGAAGATTATGGGAAAAATATATTTCAATAAGGACAAAAAAATCCATAAACTTGGAAATTACGATATTACCCTTAGGTAAATTGTAACAATTAAATAAAAGGAAAATGCAATTTCAATTCCCCTAATGTCTACTACCCTTGGTGGTGAGCCCAAACCCAAAGGGGAAGAGTGGGTCATAGTGACGATCTCCGACGTTCATCGGAAGCTGATCGACGGTCTTGAACCACGTCCGCGACAACTTTCCGGTGAACGGGTAGTCGCCGAACAGGACATCCGCCACGCCTTGGCCTTCGCTGCCGGGGAGCCACGCCGCCACCAGGGCGTCCATGGACGGGAGATGGGGTTCCAAGACGAGTGGTCGGCCGGAGACGAGCACGACGACGCACTTGACGCCGGCGGCGCAGACGTTCTTGATTGTGTCGAGGCCGGCCGCCGGGATGGTCAAGTTCAGGTCGTCGCCGAAGTATTCGCTGTAGGGCTTCTCTCCGACAACGACAATGGCGTAGGCGAAGTCGTTGGATTTCATGAACTCCTTGTTGGCGCTCTCGTTGTACACTATTTGTGTTGCTGGATCAACCGCGTTCGCAATTCCACTCAAGATCGTAGTTCCTTCAAGAACAAAAAGAAACAAAAACTAAATCAACAATTCATAATAATTAATGTGCAATCCAACTATCAGCTTAGGCTTTTAGTTGAGATGGAGCACATGCTTCAATTTGCTTGGAACCCACCACGTGAGGGTGCGTGAGCTATTAATGTGCAATCCGACTATCAACTTAGTCTTTTAGTTGAGATGGAGCACATGCTTCAATTCAAAAAATGTTAAGGTTTTGATGTTTACCAGCAGTTATGTAGCCACTGAGACCTTTCCAAGTTATTGTCCAACCACCACACTGATAACCAAGGTTGTTGGCATGGGTTCCAGCGACCAAGATTCTTGATGCATTCTTGGGGAGAGGGAGCAAAGGTTGCTTTTCATCTTTCCCATTTTTCAACAAAACAAGTGATTTCCTCACTGCTTCCCTTGCCAAATCTCTATGAGCCTATGCAAGATTGATAAGCCCAATTGAGCGACCCTAGCCTAATCTTTGTTTATAACACAGAGAATATCAATATATATACCTGGCATCCAAGATAGTGGGCTAGAGAATAATCAGCGAAAGGGTTCTCGAAGAGGCCCATAGTGAACTTGACTCTCAAGATTCTAGTGACAGCGTCATCAATCCGGCTCATTGGGATGAACCTGTTCTTCACCAATGACAATGCAGTGCTAATAAACCTACTGTAGTTGTTAGGCACCATAACCATGTCAATCCCAGCGTTAATGCTTTCTAACACCGAGTAAGTGTAGTTGGAATCTTCTTTCACCGTGATTCTATCTATACCCAACCAATCCGAAATCACAAACCCCTACACAAAAACACCAAAACAATTATCACCTGTTCCTTAAAATAGTTAATCTATCAACTTATTTGACCACTATTAGTTGTAATCAGCTAACAATAACAGCTAATTTATCAAACACTTTTCTACAATCAGCTAATGCTATTAACTAGTCAAACTCACTAACTCAATCAGCTAACAGTCATTTACCAAATACCGCTTATATATTACACAGAAACAAGATTTACATATAGAAACCAAGGAAAATGGAGAATCTAAGGTAAGATTAGGGTCAGATTCTGATACCAAATTGAAGTATGTTTGGGGTTTACCCGGAAACGGAGATGGCCTTTGAGGAAGTCGGTGAGGAGATGGCGGTTGGCGTGCATCTTGACGCCGTTAACGCTGGAGTAAGAAGCCATGACGGTGGAGACGCCCTTGATGATGGAAGGTGGGTATGGTGGCATGTGAATGCTCATCAGCCCATGCCAATCCGTCACGGTGTTGTTTTCGTCCATACCCTTTGTTGTTCCGCCGTCTGCTACGTAGTGCTTTGCACAAGCTGCAACCTTTGTCCTAGGTATTATATTATTGCAAATAATTAATCCTTAAACAAAATGTGGATGAATTGAAATTTGAGATTTCAACTTAAGGTTCATAAAATATTTTTGGACTTACTTGCCACCGACATAAGGAACACCCCTAGAAAAATTGTTGGGGACGTCGCCTTGTAAACCAGGTATAATCTCTGTCATGGATTTCACAATTTCTACATCTTCACTGTAGCTCTCGTAGCACCTTCCCCATCTTGGATCTCTGCAAACCTGCATATATGTATATATTTTTGTTGTTCCTCAAACATGTAATTTCATCAATTAAGTTGTCCCATGAAACATAGGAAAAATCGAAAAAGACAAGTAGACAACATAATATAATATATATAGTATACCGCAAGACATGGAGCAAAAGCGTAATTGACGCCTGTAGCTCTAGTTTCAAGAGCAGTTGCTGCACCAATCCTCTTCACTAGCTTTGGATCTCTGCAATGTGTTAAGATATATGGTTAGCTTTAAAACTTTCGGATTGTTGAAGATAATGCACAAAAATCATATATTACACCCACGGGCCCACCTCTTTCAAATATATTGTGAACATATTTAGTATATAAATTGTGTTTTTAAGTTTTGAGGATTTGTAAATATAATACAGGATCATCGCAAATTGTAAATTTTTAAAAAGTAAATTGTGTATTTTTTGGATTCAGGTCCACCTTGCAAGGTGAACTCAAGTCCACAGAATAATTTGTGGAAATGAGCAAATTATACCATGGACCAGGATCTACCTTACATTGTAGACCCTAATTAAAAAATAACATTCAGATTCTGTATTTACAGTGACACATTTTGTGCATGTCGTTGATAGTTTCTATACCTATAGCTATCATATTATGTAACTTTTAAATTCTATATACACATTCTGTATCTGCAGTTGATAGTTTTTGTACTTGTAGCTATCATATTATGTGTTAGCAATTATCAAGTTATTTATTTACATATATATTAACTGTAGATACAAAATGTGTTTACTGAAAGTGTAAAAATTTTGTATCAAATTCACAAAGCAATATGAACCCGATTTATGGTGTAACAATTGTGGGAAATGTGGGTTGGCTTAATTAGCATACCTTGTAGCTCCAAGGCCAATGTTGTGAGGAAAAATGGTGGCCTTGAAGACATTGTTATTGCCATGAACTGCATCAATGCCATAAATGATGGGAATCCCAAGCCTACTATTAACAGCCCCACTTTGAAACCGGTTTACCATGTTCACCCAGTCGTACGGCGTCGCTTCCGGCCGAGGCCACCCGCCGCCGCCGCTCAATACGCTGCCGAGACCGTAATCTAGGACGATCACCGCCGTCAGATTCTCCTGGTCAATCTGCGTCATCTGTCCGATCTTCTCCGCCAACGTCATCCGCCCCATCAGGTCCCTGATCCGACTTGTCATGCTCCGGTTTGGATCCTTGTAAACCATGTATTCCGATTCTGCCCTCGCCGCCATGCACGCAAACACCACCAATAACAGTCCCACCAAGGGGACTGCAGTAGTGGTTCTTGAAACCTTCATGGGTAAGATGGTAAATTCACTTCCCTCAGGTACTACACACACTGCATAAGGGTACAACAAGTTCTTTTTTTTTTTTTTTTTTTTTGGAGAATAAACAATAAGTTCTTTTTAATTATTCGAATTGAAGAAGCAAATTAAGAATGAAGGGTAAGTGTTTAGAGAGATCGACAATACCCTTTTATAGGTTAAGGACAAAGACAAATTCTTTGCTCAAACTAACTTCTCTTCCCTAAGTTTAGGATCACTAATCGGACAAAACCTTAGCTTTGTCTATTTGGCAAGGTTGTTGATCTTGAGATCTTGACATTTTTATATTTATTTATTGAAAGAAAAATACAAAATTTCATTCTAGCTTGTATTTATACTAAATAATTAATAATATAATAGTTACTGATTCTTTGATTTACGAAAAAAATTAAATCTACAATTATTAAAAGTGTGTTTTGGATGGAATTCGACTTCTGATCCTATCTAGTAGAGGACTACAAGATCAAGGTAAACTATCTTAGATTGTCCATATATAACTGATCAGCTGAAATTAAGAAAGTCAATATACACAATGAGCTGAATTTGAAACATATTACCAGCTTGTTTGTAGTTGTTTAAAAAATGCAATGAATATTAATGGTCACATCTTTACCATCAAATAATGCAACAAGAATCTTGATACAAAAAATTAAATAACGTGAACTACTTATAAACAAATTGTATCGTACAATATCAAATTATGTATGTTAGTCCTTTTTATTGGATGTAACTAAATAACGAAATTATCAATTACCAAATTACATATGAAACACAAAAGATTGACATTAAATATGGATTTTATGTCATACAACACAAAGACAAGGATTATTGAAGTATCCAAAGATCACATTTTTATACGATTATACTCCGGTGGATTGAATTATATTATTAGTAATTATAAACATCTGGAATAATTAGATAACATAATTAAAAAGTCAAAAAACACAAACAAAACAAATTTAATACGGAGTAAAATTGATTGAACTTTCAGACAACATGCATAAATCGTGGGATCTTGTCTGGAACATTCAAATTGTCTTGTCTGTTCTGTTCAACAATGGCATCATATCAGTGAATCCTGATAACAACCTTAAATTTTCATGGCTTCAATTCACAGAGGCTTAGTTGTGAGTCCAAATCCGAAGGGGAACAAGGGATCGTAATGGCTATCTCCGACGTTCATGGGGAGCTGATCCACCGACCGGAACCAAGTGCGAGCCAGCTTGCCGGTGAAGCCGTAGTCGCCGAACAGCACGTCGGCGACGCCCTGCCCTTCCGTTCCCGGCAGCCAAGCGGCCACAAGGGCGTCCATTTTGGCCACGTAGGGCTCTATCACGACTGGGCGGCCGGAAACCACCACCACCACGCATTTCACCGCCCCGCAGACGCTGTTTATCGCGCTGCCGCCGGTTCCGGCTATGGTGAGGTTGCCGCTGTCGCCGAACATCTCCGCGTACGTCACCTCGCCGACGACAACTATGGCGTAGGAGAAACCGCCGGATTTCACGAATTCCGCGTCGGGATTCTCCTGGAACACCACTTGTGTTGAAGGATCAACGGTTTTCTTCACAGCAGTTAAAATGGTGGTTCCTGTCAATATTCATCTTTAGTTTCAAAACACATTTTAATGAAAATAAACAAAAATATTCAAAATTGGGATCAAAAAGTGCATAGATGCTCTTGGGACCAAATTTCAGACAAGTAATTTATGTTGAAAAACAAAATTAACATTTTTGATTACTTCAAAGTAGGGTTGCAGTAGGGGCTAGGTCCTAATTTGGCGGTAGAATAACCTAACACTTAGACGGCTAACTATATGTCATATTATATTTATATACGAGTCGGCTAAGTTAACTCTGCTAACTCGATCGAATTGGACGATTTAACTCGGCTTGAATTCGGTCGAGTTAGGCACCTAGGCAATTCGGTTGAGTTAGGCACCTAGGCTGCCTAGGGGAAAATCACCACGGCCTAGGGGCGGTTAGGCCGATTTTTGCAACAGTGCTGCTAGGAGGAGAATAGAAGTAATAAAAATGACAATTTTACCCTTTAAGATAAGATACCAGGAATCGAAAATTAGGTGGAAGGAATTCAGTTGGAACATACCCACAGTGAGATCATTGCCTGCAACACCTTGCCATTCAATAGTCCAGCCACCACATTGGAACCCCAAGTTGTCTGCATGAGTTCCAGCCACAAGAATCTTTGCTGTTTTTTTAGGGAGTGGCAGCAATGGATAATGGGCATTCTTCCCATTCTTCAGAAGCACAAGAGATTTCCTCACAGCTTCTCTAGCCAACTCTCTATGTTCCTGCAAGAAACAATGCACCCAATAAACACTTAAATACACAACTCATTGTTTCTTGAATCACAAAGGAAACCCGCAAAACCACTGCTCGAGTGTGTGCACTGGGTAAACCCCGCCATGTGACCCTAACCGGTAAAGGATCAGAAAAGAAGGTAAACCAACTTAAGTTTCTCATAACTGACTTGCTCAAACTAAGGCCAATAGGCCACAAAACTCATTGTTTGAATGCCAATAGGCCAATTGGCATTATTTACCTGGCTTCCCAGTTGATTTGCCAAGCTGAGATCTGCCAATGGGTTCTCGAAAAGTCCCATCACGAATTTAACCCTCAGTATCCTCTTCACAGCGTCGTTGATCCTGCTCATAGGGATAACGTTCTTCTTCACTAGCTCTGTCAAACTGCTAAGATATTCTGCATAGTTCTCTGGGACCATGATCTGTCAAAAGAACACATTTTTCAGAATGTTGTTATGCAAAACGTCTTATATAAGTTATGTTAACCCCTCCTTGGCTTACCATATCAATCCCCGCGAGAATTCCTGCCTGGACTGAATAAGTGTAGTTAGCGTGAGGCGGGTTAGTAATCCTGTCAATCCCCTGCCAATCCGAGATGACAAACCCCTGCAAAATCCACAAGAATTGCAGCAGTTTCAGACTTTCTGATATAACGGATATAGTTTTTAGGTAATGGAGTCGTTTATCGAATTATCGCCCTTACCCTGAACTTGAGCTTGTTCTTGAGGAAGCCAGTTACGAGGTTGCCATTAGCATGCATCTTTTCGCCATTCACACTTGAGTAAGATACCATAACAGTGGCGACGCCCTTCTTGATTGAATCATAGTATGCAGGCATATGAATGCTGAACAGGTCCTTTATGTCGATCACCGTGTTGCTCTCATCAACGCCCTTAACCGTCCCACCATCCCCCACGAAATGCTTCGCGCAGGCAGCAACTTTCGTCCTTTACATACAAAGATATATACAAGAAACAAGATCAACCCGGGTGGTGGTTCCCAAATTTAAGGCCAAATCACACAAACTTGGAAGAAGCAAATGTCAAGTATATGTGCCAATGATCTTGTGGTCGAGTGGCACGCTCTCCCATATGGGAGGTTGTGGGTTTGAGCCTCAGTGGAGACGATATTGACTCTTTGTGCTTCAGTAGGTTGAGAAAGTAGTTATGAACAGATATTACATTGTAACAGAGTCAGTAGTATTCAAAAAAAAATGTCAAGTATATGTAGTGAACTATTGACAATTATATGCATTTCTTGCGAGAATGAAGTGTGTGGATACACAACAAACGAAACGTTTAATAGGCGTAAATGGGAGAGAAGATTAGAGGAGCATACTTTCCAGCAACGAAGGGAACAGAGCGGGATTTGGGTGGGAGGTCGCCTTGTAAACCAGGAATGATTTCTGTCATCATCTGCACAATCTTGTGGTCTTCGCTGTAGCTTTCGTAGCAACGCCCCCATCTCGGGTCTCGACAAACCTAGATCGAAACAATAATCAGATACCAAACAACCTTAAAGCGGGAATGTGTGGGGAACATGATGTTTCATCGACTTACTGCAATGCAAGGAGCAAAAGCGTAAGGGATGCCAGTGGCTCTGATTTCAAGTGCAGTTGCAGCTCCAATCCTCTTCACAAGTTCTGGATCCCTGGCATAATGTCAAAAAACCGCTAAGAACAAGCCACCAATGAAGCAGAACTATGTTGATCTAATACAAACAAGAACGAGAAAGAAAGTAAACACGCTTGTAATGTACTTGCCTGGTGACGCCTAGCCCGATATTGTGAGGAAAAATGGTGGCCTTGTAGACGTTGTTGTGGCCATGAACTGCATCAATGCCATAGATCATAGGAATCCCTAGGCGGGTTGAAAGTGCCCCCTTCTGAATCTCGTTCACCATATTAACCCAATCTTGAACAGAGGCCTTAGGTGCAGGCACACTTCCTCCACCACTCAATACACTCCCTGTCACAATCAAAGCACAATTCAACTCACTACCAACTCAACAACAATTGAGGCATCCAAGGGCATTCGGGGTCAATATATAAGGCTCGGGTCAATCCTACACTTGTAAACTAGCTTTGTAAAGTAGTTAGGGCCTCGTGGGTTGGGGATGACTGATGAGGCAAACCTACACTTACGAGCTAGCTTTGGCGGTGGAACTAAGTTTGGGTTCATATCATCAAGTAAAGCAACAACAATAGTACATTCTTCTCTTTCATTTTCTTCGTTTTGGATGATGAGGAAACCCGCAACCAATACACGAGGGCAGGCACGGGGTAAACTCGCCTTGTGACCCTAGCTGGTAAAAGACCACAATGTGGGTAAACCAGACCTGATTTCTGGTTTACCTGACCAACTCAAACCAAGAAGGTCAATAGACGGCTTGGGAGTCCTACCAACTTGGCTAGGTGCCTAGGTTTGCCCTTCTCTTTCACTTTCTTATTTTCCATGTTCATACCTAGATTTCTAGCAAGGTTCCATGTTTACCTAGGAAACACTACAAGAACACAAACCCTATGTTCTTGACATTCAAAACCAAAACATTTGCAAGTAATAAACATGTAAATCTAAACATCAACACAACATCACATTGGTGAAAATGCATACCTATGAAGTACTGCTTCATAACATCAGCACTGGCAACTTTCCTCTCAATCTGAGTCATCTGCCCAATCTTCTCCTCAAGACTCATCCTCTTCATTAAATCCTTGATTCTAGCTCCCAGTGGCTGCTTGGGATCCTTGTACTTCAAGTACTCACCTTCTGCCATGGCTGCCATTAAGCACAAAACCAGCAGCCCAAAACCCACCAAGGGTCTTGCAGATCTCCCCATTTTAGCCACCCCCATTCAACTTCTGCTCTCCTTCTCCCCCAACTACACACCATTACAGATGAACCAGTTGTCATTATGCATACATATACTCATATACTCATATACATACATACATATATAGCAAAGAATAAAAATGTAATCTTGGTTGAACCCAGAAATGAAGGGAAAGATGAATTCTTGAACTGTTTTTTTACCTGCCTGTAGACTATAGAGGAAGCTCAAATCTTGGAGGGGATATCTGTCAATGGCAATGATACACCAAACAAATTGAGTGATGTTTACTCTGCCTATACATACATATTTATATTGGATATTGAGTGGGGTTAGTACCGTTTGCTACTTAAACAAATGAGATTAAAGAAATATAATTTGAATGAGAGGAATCTGTCCGTTAGTATGCATTATTTCCACCCATCCATCCGTTGGGAACGTTTCCCAATGAATTTTCTGACATTAGAGATGGTGGGTAGAAAATCAATTTAATAAATTTTTAGGCAATTAGATATGAGTAATTTATGTTAGATTTATTTTCTTATGATTCTTTGTCAGCTAAAGTTATTAGACGGAATCTTTTAATAACCGTTACAATTTTTTATGTAAATCAAAAGATAAATATTTTTTGGACTGATCGGAGAGAATACCCAACAAATTAAGTTCTCATAATGGGTATTTTTTTTAGTGTGGACGCGGAGAACATTATTCTCAAGAATATGTTCGAAACTATATGGAATCCTTTTCAGGTCAATTAATATATAAAGAAATAAAAAGTGACAATGACTTTTTTTTTTTTTTTGACTTATAAATCGGACCAAATTTTTTTTTCATCTAGATGTGGCGTGTAGAGAAGGGTGGGGTTCAAATCTTATGAAGATGTCAATTCCAATAGTTGCGCTGGATTCAACCTTCTGCTCATTCCATCATATTCCTTCCCCACCATTTTTGATATGTTTGAAACATTAGGGGGAGGGGGGGGGGGGGGTCACTATAGCTATTTTTGAACATTGAAAAAAATCTATGAATTTTTTTATTTTTTTTTTGGTCAATGATAGATTGTTTATCAAAATTTGATTAATGCAAGAAGTTTTTAATCAATTACAGCTTCATCACGAACTCTTCGGACCGCTCAAGCTAAAGCATGAGCAACCTGATTCGTTGATCTACGAATGTAACTAATGAAAACAAATCCCAAAGGAGCTAATAAAATGTTTACAATCATCAATAATAATACCTTTATAAGAAAGATTATTTTGAGGATTAGTATGCACTGTTTCAAGGAAGGTCATCTATTTCCAAGATAATTGCATCAATTGCATGCATCTATCCAATAGATTATGCGACTATTTATTCTAGTTTTCCAACAACTTCCACATAAATAGGGTGCCTTTGCGAGATTTGGTCTTTGTCCAACAATCATGCCGGCTGACTTCAGAAACCGACCGTGGAAGTCAACCTCGTGATCCCATGGCCACCTTGTTCCATGCATGTTGATCCTACGAACAAGAATCCATACGAGCAACCTCCACTTCCTTAAGAGGTTAATCCGTCATCGGTTGATCATATCCTTAATCTCTCAAGTACATCTTCCAAGCTCATGTTTAGTTTGCGACCTTCCAATGCAACCGACCCCAAGGTTAGCCTGAATCTATATGCTTGAGTTTATGCCACTTTTTTTAGACTTAAAAATTTAGATTGTATTTAATATATTCATCACATATATTATCCTCAATCCAAATATCAAGGACTAAATATTTAATGTATAACATATATTATATTCCATCCAAATATCCAATGAAACATCATTAACCCAATGTGCTATGTATGAACTATCATAGTCACTTCTCCATGCTTCCCCAAAGCATGTCCAACTCCAGGCCAGCACTCTACGATCAATGTTTTGGAAGATGACAATTTGAACGTGAAGTGTCTCACAAATAATAATTAAATAATAACGATCATGTGCAATTTTATGTGACGAGTTCAATTGAGAACAAAAATAATGTTCTAATACAAAAATCATGTTTCTAGTGAACTCTCGTCACATATCTTGATTCTATTGATAAATGAGAAATAGAGTAATAAAAAGAATAGACACTTTTTTTGAGATGAATCAAAAGATACCCATAAACACAGAGTAAAAATGTGTGTATGTAGATTATTAGGATGTAAATTTCGGTCCGTACAAGGGATATGTCCACTTTGAAGATAATCTCTATATTGTTGGTGTTGATATTCGAACATTGATCTCTTTGCTCAAACTTTGAGCATAATCCCTATTTTACTGTTGTTGATATTCGAACATTAATCTCTTTTTTCAAATATTATCTACTGAACCAATGAGCTAAACTCGTTTCTTATAACATGATATGTGGAATAACTTTCTAGAAAGCTACAAACAATAAATGACAACACGTTCTCATTGCAAATTCTAAAAGTAAAATGCATGCCCACAAAAAGTTGTCAAAAAAATATTCCTAAATCATGTCAAGCCTTACGCGGAGATTGAAAATTTAGTCATGTAAAATACACCCCGTGATGTTTCTTATTCACTTTTTATGTTATTTATTGACTAACTAATAAAATGTCACGCATTTATGATTAAATGAATGATTAATGAGAAATATAGTATAGTAGTTTTTTTTTTTTAAGTACTATTGACTCTATTGATGTTTATGTGTATATGTATTATTATATTATGAACATAAATTTTGTACATTATAAACATGAACTCTATACATTATGAAGTCAAATTATTTGTATTGAACCAGGATCCACGATATAAATTGCCATAGGAATTGGAGCTTAGAGCTATCATAACGGGTCAGCTCGACCCATATAGACTGGCCCGTCTTAAATTCATCTAGAAACAAGCTATGTTGGGCCATTTTTATACGAGTTGGAATTTTCCCAACCCATCCTGTGTTGGACGGGCTGACAGGCTAAACAGGCCAACCCATTTGATTTGTCATATTCATAGAGATATCAATTCATGTGTTAATTAGCTAGTGACACATATCAACCATAAGTAGGTGGGCATTCATGGAGATATCAATTCATGTATATATAAAATGCATGAGCTTCATTAAGATTATCTGAAACCGTTCCATGTTACACTGATAATGTTCTTTCAACATCAGCTGGACTATCCAAATGAAGCTAAGATAACATGATAGATGTCTGCTTGAAGATTGAAATGGCAAGTAGATAGCATAAAACTATCCTTAAAAACCACGGTTTTCGCCTCGGCTTATACAGGTTTTGTCGTGAGACCAAACCCGAAAGGGAACAAGGGATCGTAGTGGGGATCGCCAACGTTCATCGGGAGCTGGTCGACCGACTTGAACCAAGTGCGAGCAAGCTTACCCGTGAACCCGTAGTCACCAAACAAGACATCAGCAACGCCCTGGCCTTCGGTTCCCGGAAGCCAAGCCGCGACAATTGCATCTACCTTGTTAACATAGGGCTCCATCACAACCGGGCGGCCCGAGATGACGACCACCACGCACCGGACAGCACCACACACATTGTTGATAATGTTGGTACCGGGTTCAGCTATCGTAAGATTCGAGCTGTCACCGAACATCTCCGCATAGGGAAGCTCCCCGACAACAACAATGGCGTAATCGAAGTGGTTGCCACTCACAAACTTTGCGTCGGGATTTTCTTGGTAGACGACTTGTGTAGAACGATCAACCGTTCTTTTCACAGCAGATAATATCGTAGTCCCTAAGTACATATCAGCACATTGATAGTTTATCAGCAGTCAACTTTGAAATATGTTATAAACTAAGATTGGGCTAGAGTCACTCAATTGGGCTATCATCATGCAGGCCAAATCACACTAAAAGATTGAATCTAACAAATTAGCTGGTCTGACTAATGACCTTATAAACCCATATATTCTCTCTTATTTTATCAATGTGAGACTCTTAACAAAATATAACCACTATGACTTCGCATTCAAAATGTAGAAAATGCGTACCAATTGTAACGTCGTTGCCTCCGAGACCCTGCCAGGTTATAGTCCAGCCCCCGCATTGGTATCCTATGTTATCCGCGTGGATTCCAGCCACGAGAATCTTTGTTGCTTTCTTTGGAAGGGGAAGTAAAGGACGATTTGCGGTTTTTCCATTCTTCAAGAGCACAAGTGACTTTCTAACAGCTTCCCTTGCCAGTTCTCTGTGCTCCTATTAACAAATGTAATGGATTAAAGCGGGGAATTCGAAAGAATAACAAAAAAAAAATGTTGGGAATTCAAAAAGTGTTACGAACCCGGCTCCCGAGATGGTTCTTCAAGCTGAGATCAGCAATCGGGTTATCGAACAGACCCATCACAAACTTAACCCGCAATATCCTCTTCACGGCATCATCTATTCTGCTCATCGGGATTACATTTTTCCTCACTAGGGAAGTGAGGATATCTAAAAACTCCGCCAGCCTCTCCTGACCCATAACCTGAGTTATACGAAGAGTCGAAGACCAATTTAGCAAAATGACCAAAACGAGAAGACCTTAGAACTAATAAAACTTAGACAGACCATATCGATTCCCGCAAGAACTGCAGATTGAACTGAATAAGTGTAATTAGCCCGGGGTGGATCGGTGATCTTGTCAACTCCCTCCCAATCCGAAATGACAAATCCCTGAAATACGGGCAAACAGAAAAGCTTATACTTTACAATTACAAAAACAATAGCTCAGCTCGTTAAATTCTTTTTTTTGTTTTTTTTGAAGATAGTTCTCCCTTACTCGGAACTTGAGTTTGTTTTTGAGGAAACCCGTGATTAGGGCACGGTTAGCATGCATCTTCATGCCATTCCAGCTAGAGTAAGATACCATTACGGTTGAAACGCCCTTTCTGATCGAATCAATATATGCAGGCATGTGGATATCGAACAGCCCATTTAGGCTAATAACGGTATTATTCTCGTCAATGCCCTTGAACGTGCCACCGTCTCCCACAAAGTGCTTAGCACAGGCCGCAACTTTTGTCCTGTGTTATGAAAGTAAAGAGAGAATATTTCTTAATGTGATGTCGTATATTGTCTCAAACTGTCATATAGAAAAGAGAATACAAATCCCTATAAATAAGTGCTAGAAGACTACGAATATGAAACAAGTTTCCATATGTCTTACCTACCTAAATCTCTAAGACTGCTTAATCTATAGAGATTCCATATATCAAATATATATTCCACAACAACATGCACACACAAAAGAGATCGGTTCCATAGCCAAATGAATAATGTTTAAACAAGAAACAAACCCGAACTAGATAGCCAAGATGGAAAGATAAGAACTCGGGGTTTTTTACCTTCCAGAAACAAAGGGAATGCCCTTACGGGAGTTTGCTGGGAGGTCTCCTTGTAAGCCAGGTATGATCTCGGTCATCATTTGTACAATCTTGTGATCTTCACTATAGCTTTCATAACATCGTCCCCATCTAGGATCTCTACAGACCTACGAAATCATAAAATCAGACAGATACAAATAATCGGAAGAGACAAAACGCTCTCTCGTTGTTACTTACTGCTATGCAGGGAGCAAAAACGTAAGGGAGTCCCGTGGCTCTGACTTCGAGTGCAGTCGCAGCTCCAATCCGCTTTACAAGTTCGGGATCTCTATCATAAGTTTAACACAAATAGTTGAAGCAAAGGCCTAGTCACTATCATGTAAACCCAAAATATAAGTAAAAACGCTTTCTTGGAGTCATACTCGTAACTCATATACTCACCTTGTGACTCCAAGCCCGACATTATGGGGGAAAACCGTAGCCCCATAGACATTGTTGTGGCCATGAACAGCATCGATTCCATAAAGCATAGGAATCCCGAGGCGGGTAGAAAGAGCACCTTTCTGCATCTCATTTACCATATTGACCCAAGCCTCAACAGGGGCCTTAGGCACAGGTGTACTCCCTCCACCACTCAACACACTCCCTGCCACAAACCAAATCCTTTCAAAAACAACCCATAGCGGCATAGCATAATAATACAAAAAAGATTCATCCTTGGGAGAACCCAACCAAATTGGTCAAGTTGTTGATTGGTAACAACAAAATTACAAGTTCAACTTCCTTCGGGAGCAGCCTATAGGCCTTCTTGCTTTGAGAAGGTCAGCTATGGACAACCTAGACTGGTTTAACTGTCACAAGACGAGATTTAAACTATAGACAACCTAGACTGGTTTAACCATCGCAAGACGAGATTTAAGTTATCAACAACCTAGACTGGTTTAACCGTCACAAGACACGAGATTTAAGCTATCAACAACCTAGACTGGTTTAACCGTCACAAGACGAGATTTACCCAGTGCACATCTTCAAGTAATGGAGGCCCGTCCACATAGTTTACGCAATACACACTCTCGAATAGTGGCTATGGATTTCCCTCGTCATCTAAAAAAGATTCATTCTTCTAACACCAACTATGCAATAGATTACAAAGACACTCACTTTAACAGTTCTGAATAGTGGGTTTAAGTAAAGATTTGATTTTTGTTTAAATCTACATACATACCAATGAAATACTTGTTGATCACATCAGGGGAAGCAACATGCCTCTCAATCTGGGTCATCTGCCCTATCTTCTCAGCAAGGCTCATTCTTTTCATCAAGTCCCTGATTCTAACCCCAACCGGCTGTTTTGGGTCCTTGTATTTCACGTACTCCGCCGCTGCCGTGACACCGCCGAAGAAGCATAGCCAGAACAGCAGGATGCCCACAGCTGGTTCTGCAAATCTCCTCATTTTGCCACCGCCCCTATTTGCCCTTCTGCCAAGAAAATCTGGGCTAAAAACAAGTGGAAATGAAAGAGGGATGAACTGGGGTGACAATGTAGGGACAGAGGGCCAAGGAAATAGTACAATAATGAATGACCACAGTACTAACCAGATAGCAGATTGATTAAGAATTAATAAGCTAAGTTATGCAGCTTAATCACCACACTAGTGAGAATCTAAGATAGCAGATAAGTACTATAGATTTTCTTCTTTATTTTTCTTTGAGAGAATACTGGTACTTGAAAAGCTGTGCTTGGCGGTGCAGCGATGGATGCCTGAATTTTTATTTTTGAGCATCTAAATTTCAGATGCTATTTCCAGATTTTTAAGGATGACCACTTTTCCTGTTTTCCACTTAGTGAGTATAGGAAGGATATATTCCCACTTTTAGAATCGCAATTATTATGTAATTTTCCCTGTTAGATTCGGTGTAAAGATTTTAGGCCCATGAAATTCGAAAGTTATGCTGAGAATGCCGACTTCAGATCGAAAAAGTGGAGCCACTTCGCTTAAAAAATATCGCGTTAGTAAAGAGTGTGAGTGTTATTAAATGAGTCATTACCTTTTTGTCTGATTCACATTTACACAGTTGTTCTCTCAAAACTATTCTTTATTTGAACAGTATGTTTTTACAAGTAATAAAGTGTCAAAACAACGATATGTTTTCATAAGTAACGAGGTGTCAAAACAAGTATGATTTTAAATTGAAAACATAACACATTCTAACTTTTTTTTTAGACCGTAGTCCATACGGTTGGGTCCACACAGCCGTGTGGACCATGATTCATGCAATAACTATTGGTCAACATAGGTGGGTCGAGTTGGCACGTGAGATCGGAAAAGCGAAACCTATTTCGCTTGAAAAACATCCTGTTAGTAAAGATTGTTACTAAATGAGTCATTACCTTTTGTCTTATTCACATATACATATTGTTGTTCTCTCAAAACTATTTTCTATTTTAACTGTATATTTTCACTTTAAAAAGTAACAAGGTGTCAAAACAAGTATGATTTTGAATTGAACATTCCAACTGTTTTCTTATTAAAGATTTGGTCAGAATGACTAATTATAGTAAAAAATTAAAAGCCATACACCTAATATGTCAAAAATATTACTTGGGAGCCAAATATTGAAATAACTTAATAAGCAAAGCATTTTTAACATTTGACTTGGTTGTATAAATTAGGGTAAATTCTACACTGCTCGACAATAAGAATGTTAAGCCAAGACAACACTGTTCTCAGGCAAAGTGCAAGCAAGAAGCTGTGGTTTCATCATTGACAATTAGTGCACAATCAAGAAAACAAAATCTTTACACTCAATAGCTTCACCATACAAATACACTAACACCTCCCCTCAATTACAATTATCATTCCTAACTGTAAAAGGCCATACCAGAGAACTATGCCATAAACACGGCCGTTGTTCCATTGAAGATATAATGAAACCGGTAAACGATTGATTGCATCTCGGTTGTCCTACAGCTCATGGCATCTGAAGGGGTATCTAATGTAGTAATATATGTACCTATAACATATAATGAAACCGGTAAATGATTGATTGCATCTCGGTTGTCCTACAGCTCGTGGCATCTGAAGGGGTATCTAAGGTAGTAATATGTACCTATAACAAGTCTAAGCTGCGATCACAACGCTCTGCTGAAGTAAATGTTCATGAAATACCTTGATGGATTGAAGCCCGTCAAAATAACTACAAGGAAGATAAGTTATCAGAGTGGTAAATGAATGCAAGTTAAGCGAGAAAAGGAAGAGGCTTATTTACTTACAAATAGGTGAAAGGACGATGACAATGCCGATTGGGTAAAGGAAGAACGTGGTCCTTTCCAAAAAGGGCAATACTGCAGGGTAGGTAAATTTATGATTATTAGACATATTTGGGAGTCAACAAGTTCTTTAGAGTAAAATCATCAAAGTAGAATTATCTTACCATCGTAACCTAAAAAATTGAGGTAATGATAGTAGGATGCAGCAATCATGAAGAGCAAATTTGATAGTAGAAGGGGAATGAAACCATGAGTAACCAAGATAGGGGAAAGAAAATAATGTACGACTGTTACAAAAAACAAATAAAAAGATTAGTAGCGTTTCAACTTTCAACATGTTGAGTTAAACCATAAATATTCCAAATTTGCTTTTACCATAAAGCATGATGAACATTGGGAAGAAAGAGTTGCAGTGGACATCAAATGCATACAACCTTCACAAGGAAAAAAGGGTGAAGAAAAATTAATGAATAAATCCAAATTCAAATTAATTTACTCAAGTGCATTGAAAAGATAGGAAGAATAGTGCCATAAACTTTCCATTCTTCATTTGAAAATCAACCATTAAATTATCCGCATCAACTGTAGTAACAGTGATTTGAACAAATGATGTCAAAGCAATACAGAGAAAGAAAGGAATAGACAAACTCGGGACATGGAGAGATCTAAACTTGCCATTCGACCCGTTGTTCCACCACGTGACTGCTTGGAGCTTCCTCTCGTAGATAATTGTTTGTCAAGAACCTGTATGGACATTGTCACATTAGAATATTAGATTTACCATGAACCACCTTATTCACTCTGGAAATTACATCATTGAGGTTTTAAATAACTACTCCATAGTATAATGCTGGTCTTTTTTTGTGAAAAAAATAAAGAAGTCCAAATACAGAGCGTACTGAATATACACATATATCATTAGAATGGAACGAAAACATTTAGAGAACTTCTCTCTAACAACATAATACAGACAGCATTTAGTTTGGCCCGGCAAGCTTCTTAGGGAACACAGATGGGAAAGAAAGTAGAAGAGACAATAATACATGGTCCAACCAAAGACCAAGAGTCAGAATGAAAAAGTGAGGAAGAATTCTCTGCAGCTGTTGATGTCAGAACAAAAAAAAGGAGATTCATTTTCACAAAAATGTAAAAAAAGAGATTAGAGAATGATTGCATATGACTAGATTAACTATTGGCTCTTACCAACAACATGTAGCCAATACAGCTCCGGTTACTAAAAAATGAAAAAGCAACACTGAGATAATTACAAAAACAGCATGCCCTGCACTATGGTCATACCTGAAACAAAAATGAAAGACAAGCAAATGCAGTAAGCATCAGCTCTATGGAGCATATATGAAGGAAAATTTTGAGTTTTTTTTTATATAAGAAAGCACAACCCATGAAATGGCAGTAAATGGAAGATATTAGCATGGAATTAAATTTTGGAATGCTATGATAAAATTAAGGGTTAATTTCACTAAAGTGCTAATTTGCCTTTTGTCCCCCATCCTTTAACACCAATGAAGTTCTGTTATTTCTGTTGATACAATTTCAAAAGTACAAATTTAGAGTTCCATAAGTGACAAAACTTAGTGAAGTTAAAAGGTGTTCAGTGTTCTTGTCTTTAGTAATGGATACTTACGCAGCACAGTAAGCTAAAGTAGCAACTATCAAAAGAAGACTGCATATTACAATAAATGCAGGATCATCACGTGCCCATTGGTTCTTTGTTTCTGCAGTCAAAATATAATGTTTAACCACATATAAGTTAGGAAACCAGTCAAATCCATGCAATTTGATAATTGTTGCTTGTTATTACAGATAATTGACAACATTTCACTAGTAAATTTGGTAGCCACCAAAATTACCACATTCCTAATTTGCTATAGGAAACTCATTCCTAAGTAAATGAATTGTGACAAACTATCAAGGAAGCTGTGTGTAATAGAAAAAAGTAATGGATCAGACAATTCATTTCAAAGCTCAGCAGCAGTCATTGAGTTCAAACTCAGCTTGCTTATTATCAAAGAAAAAGACTGATCAAAGTTTGATATATCCTGGTATGAATTTTAACAATTGTTACTTTAAGAATAGCACATTTATGTTCTTGAGCTTAGTCTGGCAAGCAGGCAAATGCACACGGCAGGATGAGCTTTCAAGAAAAAAAAAATGCTTGAGCTTATCAGCTCCACCCAGCAAAAAAGCTACCAATTCTAGCTAGTTCAACCAGTAATATGTGCTTCAAATAATACTCCTCTAAAGCACGCAGCTAAACGGTCAGGAATAAGGGAAATATCACAGTAGATTATTTTCCAGTTCAAAAGTATCAGAAAAGCAAGTGCATTAATGCAGGGAAATAGAATAAATAAAAAATAAAAATAAATAAAAAAGAACCAAAAAAGCAAGTGCATGAATGCCCATAATAGAATATAAATCAATAAGACTTACGTTTGTGGTATTTAGTGTGCTGATATCTGCATCAGTAGTTGCACATGCAAAATGCAGAACCAAAACCAGAGTAAATAAGTTTTTTTAAGACAATAAAGATATGATATGAATTAGATATTCAAAATGCTGTCAATTCTTGGAAACCCCTATTCTCATTTCTCCATGATCAAACAGCATATATTCCAAAAAGCACAATTTAATCAAAAGTTTCCATGTACCCATATGCCTACTTATGTAGTGAACATTAATCATATACTGTGAAAGAAGTGATGTTACCTGCTTAATTAATAGTTTAAGTACACATGCAAAAAGATTAAGAATGAAAGTGCAGCATATAGATCCAGAAGACAAGCAACAAAAACAAAAATATAGGAAACAGATAAATACTTACACCACTTTTGGAGAGGTGCATAGGTTAAGCATTTGCCAGAAAGTATATTCAATGTCCATTTGTTGCCACTGAGAGAGTAACATAAATGTTAAATTGAGAGAAAAGAATAGTAAGAATTACAAATTACACCATTTTCTGAAGGCTGATGGTTGGTTTGAATGCATAAATTAGCAATATTGAGAGCTCTAGGTGGGTTTCTAACTTTTACATGTCGAGCACTTGAATAATATGCTTCTAAAATATAGTTTAATTATCAGAAGTCGAAAATTTCAAAGCTATGTTAGATGGTCTGAGTGGATTGCAGTCAACAAGAAATGAAATTGTTTAGGAAACCAAAACTAAGTTGAAAGCATAAAGCAAGCCCATAAACACTTAAACACATAATGCACACCGATTTCATGATAAATGGAAAAAGAAATAATGATATCTCTTCACTCTGTTCAACTTTATCTCATTTCCTTATTTGCAAGGAGAATTCCAGCCAAATGCCCTTAGCATGAAGGTAGTACAATGTAGATGATGGATGCATGGGAGATTCATACTCATTGTGCAGCACCATATCAACTCACAAAAAATAGTGTAATATTTTTCTTTTGATGTGCGTCAAAATAAACCGCTTGTGAAGTAAGTAACTTTAGTTTTCAGCTCTAACAACCTAATGACTTGTTCAAACTAGCTTATTTTGGACTTCATCTACTCTAAATATAGAAGTTGTGCCAAATGTTAAAAATGTGAGAAAGCTTTGAAGGGAACTGAAGAGAAAGAAACCTCCTTTTTAATAAGCTCCAGTTTTATGCTTTAAATAACTTTTTTTTAAAAAAAACAAACTTCTTTTGTCAAGAAGGAAAGAGCTGAACAAAACTACTGTTCAACCACTCATTCTCACTACACTGAACATCCCACTGAAGCCTTAACCTGCTGTTATAATTCAGTTAGAGCACAATCCATGACCTTCATTTCTTTGGCAAAACATTATAATTGCAGAAGAAAACAAAATTGACCATCCAAACTTCAATCACTTTAATTAAATCCTCCTTGCATGCGAACTACTATGGTAAAGCTTATTTAATTATATTTTCGATATTATAGATTAGATAATCATAATCCTTTACCAAACAAGATGGCCTAATAAAGCAGTAACTGAAATTCAGAATCAGAATTACAGTCTAGTATAGATTTCATAATCTTAATATATCTGTACATTTATATTAGATTCCGCAAAAGCAATGTAAGGAGAACTTCGAGATAGTAGCGGCAGGAAGCACAAATGCGAATTGCCGATGCACAGGGGAGCTAGGATCGGAGATCTGATCGACGCGCAAAGTAAAGCAGCATACATACATGTACGTACACATCCGCAGACACAGATACAGTGCTCACAAACATGTAACATTAACAGAAACGGGAAGACGAGAGCGATTGAGAATTGAACCTTGACTATTCTGCGGATGTATTGAGGGAAAACGGGATTCTGTCGAGCATAAGAGCTCGTTCGCCCTTTCGATGAATTGGTGGGAAGCATCTTCTCCTTCTCCTTCTCCTTCTCCTTCTTCTTCTCCTTCTTCTTCTTCTCCTTCTTCTTCTTCTCCGGCGGTCGTTGATCGGAGAACTAATCAGTTTCTGCAACCTCTATTCTGTTTCTCTCTCTCTCTCGACCGGTGAGAGTCTGCGATGGACTGTTTGTTTGATAGGCTAGCAAATGTGGGCCCAGCCCAATGTGAAAATGCTTACGGCCCAAGGGATGCTAAAGCGTCGTCGATGAATATGGCGCAGCGCTTTAGTGAATTCTACTCAAAGCCTTGGTGAATATGCTAGAGAAGTAGTAATAAAATTAATCCGTTTGGAAACCGAAAAATAACTTCTAAAAAATATTTTTTGAGTTTTCAGTGGTTGGAACAATAGAAAAATTCAGTCAACAAAAAATACAGAAATTTTGACAAAAAATAATTTCCGTCAAAATTTGATGGAAGTCCAACAATCAAAACATGATTTATGTCATCTGCTCGCATGGATAGCTCAATTGGTCATAGAGGTGAAACTTTGGAAGAATGACCAGGGATCAAGTCTCACCACCGGCAGTCTGAAAACAACTTCTCAAAGTGAGGAGGGTACCTTGTGCGCAGTGAGCAAAGATAGGCGGTTCATGTTGGTTCATGTTCAGATGTGCTCTGTCGGGTCGGTACCTTGTGCGCAGTGAGCAAAGATAGGTCTAGCCTCTATGGTTCGTGTTCAGATGTGCTCTGTCAGGCCGGGGTGTGAAGGGCCTTTAAGATTGGGGGTTCTTCCTTTTGGAAGATTGATTTATGCCATCCTCCGCCAAAATCAATGACCTTTATATATCTTCTTTTATATAATAAAGCTATATGGTTTGGGAAATAATTAATGTTACAATAAATGCCACAACATTCTTTATTATAAAAATATAAAAAAAAAAAAAAACACAACATTTAAAAAATAAAATAGCTATATATTATATGATCATATAAAAAATATACTTTTGAAAAATAAAATAGCTATATATTATATAATCATATAAAAAATGTGTTCAATTAGAGTTTAAATTTACACATACAAAATTTGAAATTTGCTTTCCAAATGTAATTATCTTAGTTATTATTCGTATTGTGAAAAAAAAAAATACAACATTTAAAAAATAAAATAGCTATATATTTTATAATCATATAAAAAATATACTTTTGAAAAATAAAATATCTATATATTATATATAATGTGTTCAATTAGAGTTTAAATTTACACATACAGAAATTTAAATTTGCTTTCCAAATGTAATTATCTTAGTTATTATTCGTATTGTGAAAATTATAATATAGATGAAATACAATTAAGAATAAATCAATGTAATTATATAAATTCTCTCTATAAGTTTATTTGAATATGCACATAATTAGAGATTATATTAACCATACAAAATTATAATTTTAATTTTAATTTTAATTGTAATTTTGTATTCTATAAAAATAATAAATACTTGACCAATGGAAGCTCAAAAATATTATTATATTAAATAATTTAAAATATTTTAGTTTTTATATTTTTTATTTATATTTATAATAACATATTTTTTTCCCGTGCATCGCGCGGGTGAATTACTAGTGTGTGTGTGTGTGTGTGTATATATATATATATATATATATATATATATATATATTAATAAATAAACTATATTTAATATTATTATAGATATTTTTATATTTTTATATTATAATAAAATAATTAAAATATTTAATTATACAATTCTACTCATTTATCATTAAAAAAAAAGAAAAAAAACTAACTAAACAGGCCAAGATAGTTTTTCAGAATACAATCAAACACTATAAAGAAAAATTTTTGAAAAATGACTTATTTTTCAAAAGTAATTTTCCTACTTTCCAATCTGATCCTAAAATAAAATTAAGAGTTACATAAATTTTGGCTGAACGACACCGATAATATCAACAAAAACATCGAGTTCAAACCCTTTAGAAGGTGGTTGTAAACTCATAAACCAAATATAAAATAGTCATCCAATCGGCACATGTATTAGCTTTTTCTATAAATATGTCTAAACAATTAATGCAACCAAACCCATAGAGGAAAGGAGCCCGAGCCTCCCTCACTGCCACGGGTGAGACTCAATCCCTTGTCATTCTTTCCAAACTTCACCCCTGTGACTAGTTAAGCTGTACATGCGGACTATTATAAATAATAGAGTTAATTATCAAAATGGTCAATTGACTATAACAAAATTATCAATTTGATACATGATTATTTTGACCAATTAAGTCCCTCAACTTTAAAAATCTTAACCAATCTGGTTCTCCGTTTATTTTGTGGTTAAACATCCGTTAACTCGGGACTGAATTGGTAATTTTGATCCACTGACTATAACAAAATTACTAATTTGGTCCCGAATTAACGAATGTCTAACAGAAAAACAAACGGAGGATTAAATTTATTAAGATTTTTAAAATTAAGTGACTTAATTGATCAAAAAAATAATCAAGAATCAAATCAATAATTTCGTTATAGTGAATGAACCATTTCGTTAATTAACTCTAAATATTGAAGTCAAAAAATATACAATTAATCCATTTGTTCAATTATACCAACCGTTCCAAATTGTTAAATTGTTGTAAAAAAAAAAAAAAAATAATAAAACAAAAAGTCTGCTCTGAATTCTCAGCCACCTTTGAAACTTATTTACCAACTGCCACTTCAACCATTCTCGTTCCTTGAAGATTCTCCAACCGATTCTCTCTCTCTCTCTCTCTCTCTCTCTCTGCATCTTCGATTCATCCGATCAGAAACCCTAATCGCCATGGTAGAATCTCGTCAGTCATTCGTCCATCACGCTCTCGGCGGTGGCGCAGGTCCTCATCTCCACTACTTCCGTTTCTAACTTCGCATATATATAGTTATATACGATAAGCGCAGTACTATAGCTTGAATTCGGTTTGAAATGCCAAGTTCATCACATCACTGATTCTTTTTAATCAATTAGATATGTATATGTTTCAGAGAAAATAGCAAATTCGTGTATTTACTGTCGTGTTGAACGAAATGAATATTCTGTGAATCTGTGTGTTTGGTAGAGTATACTAAGTGGATATTGTGCGATCCGTTTCTGTGGCAGTTGCGGATGTGTTGCTGTGGAAAAGATGGTATGGGAGCGTCACCGTGCTTGTAGGTTCCACTTTCCTTTGGTTCCTATTTGAACGAGCCGGCTATAATCTACTGTCGTTCATCGCCAATGTGCTATTGCTTCTAGTTTTAATTCTCTTTTTCTGGGCTAAATCTGCATCACTTCTCAACAGGTGACAGTCAATCTTATTTTCTCTGATGTGTACTGTATTAGAATTAGTGTGGATTTCAATATGTGCTGTTTGATGATTGAATTTAATCTACTGATAGTCAGGAAGTAGAGTCTGCATTCATTATGGGGTCTTAGTTATTTGGAGTTCTTAATCATGTGATTGATGCATACTTCCTAATTTTAATTTTAGACCTCTACCTCCCCTTCCTGATATGGAGGTTTCGGAGGAATTCATTGCAAATGCTGGCGAAGTGATGCGTGTTTGGGTTAACCATGTACTCACGATTGCACATGACATTGCTATTGGAGGGAACATTAGGCTCTTTGTTCAGGTGCTTTTAGATCTCATAGTTTTGTTTGCCAAGTTCCCCATTCAAGAATCTGCTTGTTTAATTTAGTACTGGTTTGGCAGGTTGCTTTTGGTTTGTGGGTGATATCGTATGTTGGAAGCTTCTTCAACTTTCTGACTCTGGTCTACTTGGGTGAGCTACTCAGTTGCTTTGTTTTCCGACATTCTGTTGAAGGCTTTCCCCTGCATTTATAAGAAAATTGTTCTGTTTCAGGGGTTCTTTTCAGTCTAGCAATACCTCCATTATATGAGAAATACCAAGACCAAATTGATGATAAGCTGATTTTGGCACATAACATCATCCTATCACAGTATAAGAAAATTGATGATGCAATTTTGAAAAAGATCCCTGGGAATCTAAACAAAGAAAAGAAGATTCAGTAGTTGTAAGGTACTCCTTCTCCCTTTCTCATGTAAGCCTATGGTCTTAGGTACCACACATTTCTTGACGGAAGTTGATAAAAGCTGCACTATTATTATTTATTATTTATTCTTATTTTTATGTATGAGGGGGAAAGAGATTAAAATTGTAACCTTCTACCTTAAAGTCATAGACCCATGCCACTCAACCACAAGGTCATTGGCAAAAGCTGCACTATATTGGTATTGCATAGATGTGAATACTATTCTCTTCTTCTTGTTGAGATGTAATTCTTCACGATGTTAACTTGAAACCAAATATTTAAATTGTTTGTGCTCACAAAAATATTTAAAAGTGTGTGAGATGTCTTTTAGGTCAGCTAAGTTGAAACATCACATTCAGTTACAGTATAAGCATCACTATAAGTGTTAAAGGCTTTAAAAAGTTTGTAATGCAACTATAAAATCCTAAAATCTGAATGGAGTCTCACATGGAGATTTCACATGCTGAAACAGTGAAAGATAATTGTATTGTAATCCAGGAAATATATATTATTCTGTAGAGGGTGTTTTCTGCTCACTTTTTTTTTTTTTTTTTTTTTTTTTTGTGGTGATCCCCAGGTGGTTGTGTTAACAAGCTTTTGGGATTAGTTTTTTTTGTAGGGACTGGGGGTCCTGTCACTCCTGTTAATGCTTTTAAACTTACATATTGTATTGTTTCACGCCTTTTTTGGTTCAGGGAATTTAGCTTCTACATACCGCGGGTGTCGTGAACAAGAAGTTGAGTGCAATCGACTGCCCATTCACCTGAATAGTTTAGGAAGTGCTGATACATGCAAATGCCCTGTTTTTGTAATTGGTGTTTTCACGGCCCTTGACAGTTGATGTAACTAATTGTGGATAATGCATTACTTCTTCATCTGGTACTAAGTACCTCTTTGTGGCAACTTGAGTTTGGTATTTGAACAAGGCATGTTTACAACCATGCTGGAAAGGTTGTTTGTTCACAAAGGTTATTTTCAGATTTCTGTTCTAAGTAATGTTTTCCACTGCAACTCTTTAAGCTCTACCCTTTGTGGGTGGCAGACCTCAGAAGACTCTTCTTCAGTTTCATGCCTTTGTAAATTTTGGGAGTCTAAGACTAAGAGTGCAATTTGCACCCATATTTTTGGGGTACCCATATTGTTTGTTTGTGTGTCTATATATATATATATATATATATATATATATATATATATATATAAGAGTGTTCAAATGAGAACATAATCTTATAAAATGTGAGAACTTAAGTTTACAATATTTATAAAATAGAACATGTATTTTTTCTTCTTATTTTTCAGCAATCTTCAACTGTTAATCTACCAAAATTGATGAAATTGATGAATCAGATCAATCCTCACTTTTTACATCAAAGTTATATCTAATAAATGAGGACAAAAGTAATGAATCTATAAAAAAAAGTAACTAATCCAATTAAGGAGTATGGACATATTGAAAATTTCATAAATTTATCTGCACAAATTTATTCCTATCTGTCCATTTACAAACAATCAAAGCCACTATTGTAACTATATTACAAATTAATGAAATTATTGATATTATTGTTGTTGTAATCAGTATATTACAGCTTACACTTTATTAAATCTTCCAGGCATCTATCTATATCTATATGATCTATGATAGGTAAAGTTTTGAGGTATAGATTAATGGCCTAGCAAAAATTCCAGGAATTTCTCAGCATAATCCAAGCCACAATGTGTCTTCACAACAGGCAACACGGCAGGGACCTCCAGATGAAAGTCTGAATCGAGCCCGTCTAGCTTGCCCCAACCTTTGAGCTGTTTTCGAGCTTCCTTGATGGCTGCCCTCGTTGCACAATGGACTGAAGCTGCCAGAAGAAGCGGTGGCTCCCCAGAAGCTGCAAAAGATCAGGGAATCTGTCAACCAAATGCTCGTTGAACAGGTGTGGGCATATATGGTGAGTGTAAATGCAGATACTTTATCACAAGAGAGAGCGTATACGATTAACTTTTTGAGAAAGTCATTTTGTATGTAATCAGTTAACAACTAATAACTAATTTACCAAACATTTTTCTACAATCAGTTAATGCTATCAACTAGTCAAACCCACTAACCCAATCAACTAACAGTTAACAGTTAACAGCCATTTACCAATATTAGATGGGAACACACCTTTAGAGGAGAGAATGCGATTTTGGTGATGCCCACTGTTGAGTACATCGACATTGAACTGTTCCGGGATAGTGTCAATTGTCGGGATCTTATATGTCCAAGTGCCATCAGAAACCACCAGTCCATCCTCATTCGTAAGATACTCTTCGAGCATAAAAAACCCGATTCCCTGAACAAAAGCCCCTTCAATCTGCAACACACAACGTTTTACTACCGTACAAATTAGAAGCTAGGCATAACAACAAATCCATACAAATTAACATCGAAATGCACAGATCCAATATGTGGAGCGTGACCTGTCCCATATCAACAGCGGGGTTCAAGCTCTGTCCACAATCATATATAATATCCGTTTGCAAAATTCTCGATTCTCCAGTCAGAATATCTATTTCCACCTGCAACGCCAACAGATTGTTTAGTTAGCATTAACATAGTCTCTTTATATCTTTCGTTTAGCTCTTATATCACGTGTTCTGTCTTAACTAAAAGTTTATATCTTTCGTTTAACTCTAATATCTTGTGTTCTGTTTTAACTAAAAGTTTCTCTTTTGTTTAGCTCTAATATCATATGTTCTGTCTTAACTAAAAGTTTAAATTGATAACGAGAATGATAATTAACATTACTCTACACCTCAATACAGGTAAAGACTAGTAAGGTTACCTCGCTAACAGCAGCCCCGTAATTCAAATAACTCATGGAACTGAGCCCCGGAACGTAGTAGGAATTTACGGCTAAGTTTACAGCTGTATCATGTGCCTGTAACGGGCAGAAAACATCGACAAGTCTCAATAGTTTCCCAAAGGTTAAACGTAATATGAAATGCTAGTGAGAAAAGCAACCTGGAGAATCAGTGTATTCCAATCGACCGAACCCGTTTGTTCCTGCAACTTCGTCTTCAGTGGGGTCAGTCTTTCGACCAGGACATTGCAGCAAAGCCTTACGGCTTCACAGCTCGATTCTGAAGTAGTACTTCCAGCGGTATACCCGCCTTGAACTAAGCCCAAGGTGTCCGATTGTATGACCCGCACTTTGTCCACGAGGTCTCGAGTTCGATCACATTGAACCAAACCGAGACCATAGGCAGCCATCTGTTTCACCTTCGTGTAGAGCCCTTGTCCCATTTCAATCCCCCCGACCTCTACCACGACGGACCCATCCCACAAAATGCTTACTTTTGCGGGAGTTGGTCTATGTATAAGGTGAACCACAACCGGAACCCTAGAAATACCCCGTTTCTTCCACACGTTTTTCCGGTTGAACTCCTCGATCATCTTAGTTCTTTCCAAGAAGTTTGAAGATACAACGAGCTTGTCCATAATAGCGGGCAAAGTATAATCTACCAATTCACCCGCACTATCTCCATAGAATACACCAAGACTCTCGAAAGTGTGTTGGTTTTTGCTTCGGACAAAATCCACTTCCATCGAGAGAACAGACGCCACGTGTTCCATTACCGCTTCGGCAATAAACGATCCTTGTACCTCACCCGGTCCCCGCATTGCTGACTTGCTAAAATGGTTCGTCTTGCACACCTTCACATCGAAAGATAAGGCGCCAAAATCGTATTTTTTAAGCGCCCCAATCAAGTTACTTGGTATAATCGGGCTTATATCTACAACTATCCCGGCATTTATAAGTATATCGAGGTGTAAAGCTGTTATCTTTCCACTCGACATGAACCCTACACTATAAGTTACGTTTATAGGATGCCTCCCACCCGCCATTATCATGTCGGTCTTTCGGTCGAGGTATATCCTCACAGGGCGCTGCAATTTGTGAGCAGCAAGAGCACACGCTGTCGAGACCTAAATGCACAAATCAATCAGTCTTAAACGCAACTATATATTTCCGTTTTCAAATTCCAAATTCGAAAGGAATTGCTTACAGGCATTGCTCGGATTGCCTTGCCACCGAACCCTCCTCCAACCCTTCTTGTAATCACCCGAATATTATGCTCGGGAACACCGAGACAACTGGCAATCACGCTCTGAGCAGACTCGGGGCACTGACTCGAACTATATACAAGCATGCAGTTGTCTTCATCGGGAACCGATAGAGAAGTCTGTGTCTCCATATAGAAGTAGTACTGTGACCCAAGACTAATCTGGAAATGACAATCAAGAACGCAAATATATTATAAGAATTCGTTCCATTTCAGATAAATCGTTTACTTTGAGAACGAATCAGTGTAGTGAGGGAACTTTATCAATACTACCTTTGCTGAGAGAATCTTGTGGTCTGCTTCAGCCATTCCTTTCGAGAAATCACCAACATTTTTTGGGGATAGAAATGGCGGGACTTCAAAAAAACTCGATTTCTTAACCGCATCCTCAACGGTTAAGATGGGAGGATCTAAATTTTCTGTATCATATTCAACTATAGCAATGCTTGCTGCTGCATTTGCGTGTCTCTGGCTGTCTGCAACCTGGACACACGTAAGTTCAGTTGATAATGGATCAGATCTGTCCACACGAACTCATAGGAAGGGGCGGACTCACTTGAACAGTGGCCTATATATATATATATATATATATATATATATATATATATATATATATATATATATATATAGGGTTGCGTTCACATGAGGACAACTATATATAGGACTGCAGACATATAATGGGCACACGACAAATTAGTATCATGCACACAATGACACACTAGCATACATGTAAACATTAGGTTTCGAACCCAGGCTCTATTAATTAACAAATCTATGCCTACGACATACAAATTATGGCACACGACTACATCCGGCAATGCACATGACATACAGACTAATGGCACACGACTACATCTGTCATCATTTGAATACACTTCTATATATATATATATAGTTCACGGAGTGTTTGAGAAGTAAATATTGCATAAATCCAAGCTTTGCTGATAAATTTTAAAAAAAGAAAATTTGGCTCACCACAAAAGCAATTCGGTCACCCGCACATCTGGTAAGATCATCAGCAAATAGAGGTTCGGTGCCAAACATGGTTTTAGACCCAACATTTTTCCCTCCAGTTGGAATATCTTTGAAAGTGATAAGATCAACGACTCCATTTGGCAGTGAATTAGACTCAAATTTAATTCCCTTTACCCGTGCTAAAGGTTGTGTACTATAAATAAACGCCCCATATAAGCAGTTTGGTGGAGATGGAAGGTCGTCTACATAAACAGCTTCACCTGAAAAGAAGAAAAGGAAAGAAAAGAGAACCAAAGAACAAACGTTATTGTCTTAATGTTGCTGAACCGAATACATCTGTAGAAGAAGAAAAAAAAATACAGCATACTATATAGATATGTTACAATCTTATTTCTTAAATTATGTCGGTCTTTAAACTCTCAAGATCCAAAAGACGCAATAAATGTCACGTTTATCAGCATTAAGAAAACTACGCCCCCTCACGTGTGTGAGTCTGTTACTTTTTGACGGGCTCCAAGCAACACGTGGACCATAGTTGGACTGGGGTTGGCTCTGATACCAATTTGAAGCATGTGCTCCATCTCAACTAAAAACCTAACATGATAATTGGACTGCACATTTATGTTTATATATTATATGCTCAACAAACTGAACAATAAGGGCGTTACAAAGTACAAACCAGAAGCTTGTATGGCAGATCCAGCTTTTATTATTGGTTCACCCACGGGATAGTACTCTTTATTGAACTCCACAACCTGCTTTGCAGAGGATAGCAATCCCCGCTTTTCACTCGGGCAAAAGTAATTATCGTTACTTACTTTGGAGTTCTCCTCTATAAAAGTAGTGATATTACCAAGTAAACCACGAGAAATTGTAGGATCAACGCCAATATAGCCATGAAAGAATTTGAAAACGAAACTGGCAGCTAAGCTTGACCGGTACTCGGGATGAGATGTGCCATTTTCAGGCACCACAGTTGCCTTTACTAGTTTAAGTGCTTCATACAAAACATTGCCACTTAATATATTCCCGGTTAGATAATCCTCGACCTTTGTTGCCCGTATTGCGTGTTTGGTTCCAAAAGCCCCGAAAGCCAACTTGACATAATTGACCAGATATCCATTTTTGGTGGGAGAAACATCGGCCAAGAAGGCAGCATTCACATATGGCAATGCATTCCCGAGGGGTCTGGGTGCAGCTCGATAAGTTTCAAACAGCAACTTGGATTTCGCTGTCCAAAACGGGACCCACACGCTCAGTAGCACACTTCTCGAGTCTAACGCTGGCCTTTCGAGGAACTCCTCCAATGTGAGTTTCTCGCATCTCTGACCCGTCATTATAGTAACACTCGAGCCCACGGCAAGAAGCAAAGTAGCTATATCCGAAGGAAACCGATTCTTCTGTGCCATGACCAAGTTTCCCCCGACGCTAGCCGAGTTCCTAACGAACCCCGAGGCAATTTTCTCCAAATGGTCCGCAATTTTTTCGAAGACAAGCTCACCAGACGAGCCCGAATCGATTTTATTTCCCTCCTTCAGGTTCGAGATAAGTTTCGAGATAGTAACTGCAGCTCCAACTTCAATTCCCGCGTGGTCTCTTTTAGTTAACGATAGTTCGGGGATATACCTAAGGTCAATGTATTTGTCATATCCTTCGAGTTCTTTATAATAACCCATCCCCGTATTACCTACAACGATCTTAACACTTGTACCATTTTCCGCCATATAAGAGCCCAACAAGCCTCGAAGCTCCTCCAAACTAACGGGAGTGTTCCAAGGGTATCTTTCGGAATCCAGATGAACTCTAGACTTGCGTTCCGTTTTTAAAAACTCGGGATAGGTACAAATATCGCTACTTGGATCATAAAAAGGCAATTTTCTTACTTTCACCTCCCGGTTATCCCCCTTTCTCCAAAAGGAATTAAACCCCAAATCCTCGATATCAATATCAGCTGCAAAACTTTTGCAGGCATCAGCTATAGGTCGATATCCAGTACAACGACAGAGATTCCCCGCTATTGCCCTTTCAGCTTCCGAGGCAGTCAGCTTGGAGAATCCCGGTGGGGGTTCTGGGCGATTAAGGTTGTCAGCATTGACAAGAGCCGAGAACAAAGAAACACACATCCCGGGAGTGCAGTAGCCACATTGAGAAGCATGGAAACCCGCAAACCTTTGATGAATCGGGTGGAAACCATCCTTGTTGTTTCCAAAGCCCTCGCTTGTTATAACCGAACAGCCATTTATACTGCAAAGAAGTGTAAGACAAGAACTAACCGTATAACTTTCGACTCGTTCACTCGGAGGATCATACTTTGACAGAAGGACAACACACGCACCACAACCACCTGCAATAATCAAATTTTCACTCTCAAATAACATTCATTGACTAAAGCATAGAATTAAATCAAGAAAACCTCAAATTCAAGAGCCCTCTGAAGCCTTTTGCTGTCAAAATCGAAGAAAATAACTATCTATTTTAAAATTTCTCTTTTTTACACTCCCCTAGAGTAGGGAAAAGATCTAGTTTAGCTCAGATTGAACCACATAAAGGGCAATCTTGTTTTTACCATAAACCTTAACTATGAATTGGATTATATTCCCAACCAGACATTAGTAATCACTGCAAACTATTCCAACAAAACCCAATTAATGAGAATGGCAAAATTCCATGGCAGCAAACAGTTCAAGAACAAAACAAATTAAACCCAGAAATAGATATTCAAAACCAACCAGTATCAGAAGATGATATTCCAAGCTAAGTAAATAAACAACAAAAAAAAAGTTTCTTCCTTTCTTTAATACAACAGATAAATTAGGAAAGACAAACCAAAAAAAGGCAACCAAAACAGGAAAAGCCACAGACCCATCATCCATTAACAAATAAAACGCATACCCATATCAAGAAAACCATGAATCATATCATTCTTGATTCATAAATGCAGGAACTAATAGATTATGAGTTACATATATACATAAATTATTTATATATATATATATATATATATATATATATATATATATATATATATATATATATATATATATATATATATATATATATATATATATATATATATATATATATATATATATATATATATATATATATATGTACCTTCACCACAGCCAAGTTTGGGACTCTTGAAACGGGTGTGGGAGCGCAAGAAGTGGAGCAAAGTGGTGGAAGGGTCAGCATTTGGGAGCTCAAACCTCTCACCATTCACTGCAAACACCAAATTCCCACTTACTTTACTAACAGTAGTTTCTGCATCTTTCAGCTTATCCATTTGCTCTTTTTCCTCCACAAAGCTCACTTCTGGGTCTGGGTGGTGAACCGGATCAAGTGTTTATAGCAAAAACAAAACTTTGATAACTTTTGATATGTAACAGTGTAATAATACCCTTCAATTCCCTCTTACTTTTCGGCGTAAGAGTGACCGTGACAGTCAGCTTGCCAGTTGCCACTCTTCAAGATTCTCATATATTTTCTTTTATTATATTTTATACAATATGTATTCGCCATATTGATCTTAAATCTCTAAAATCTCTACTTAAGAGATAAATTGCTAGTGTGAGTCGTTCTATCGAAATTTAAAAACAAGACTTTAGAGTCGTTCTATCGAAATTTAAAAACAAAACTTTAGAGTGATCATCTAATTAACTGAGTTAACCACGCAAAATTATATTTTTATTATTTTATTGGAAAAAATTAACATTTTGGTATAAAAAGGCATAACTCGTCGACTCGAATCTAAATATTCACAATTCACGTATTAAATCTTAATATGTTAGTGATTACAATATTAGAAGGCATAACATTGTGTGTTTGTCTTTCAAAAAAAATATGGTGTGTTTGTAGTATACAAATTATAAATTTTTTAAAATTTAAATTGTGAATATTTAATAGATAAATTGTAAACATTTAAATTCAGGTCAACGGGTCTACTTACAAAGTGGACCCGAGTCCACAGAATAATTTGCCAGTAAACATTTAATGGACTTATCATCATGTGGTCCAAGGATTTGGACCATGAACTTGGAGCTTGCAACATCTGGCAAATTTATGTTTCTGAGCACTTAGAAATGTGCCACAGAGACATTTTTTTTACAGTCACCCAAATTAAAGAAGCATATAGAAAGAAAGAAGCAAAGAGAAATTGGTGACATCTAATTGAAGAGTGGAAGAAATAAATCTATTTCTTACAATCTTAATTAATTGTTTTCAACCAAAAATCCCAAGTGCAATTAAAGAGATCAATTAAAAGAGACAAAACACTAAAGCCACACATTGAGGGCTAAATGCATATGTCCAAAGAGGAATAAAGAGATAGGGAATAAGCATTTTCTTTTCACAAATTAAACCTACCCCCACCTCACAAATTTCTTAGTTAATTTTATCTAATTATATAATTGGTTCAATAAAAATAATAATTTTCTATTAGTTTTTTTTTTTTTGATCAAAAAGGACGGGGGAAACCCGAGGGAGACTCCGAATACATTTGACAATGATCTAATACATTTATACATTGTTATTGGCTATCCAAGAGCATTATATTATTAGGTATTTAGGCTATATTGAGATACCTTTTTGATGGATTAATTAGTGACACTAGACAAACTTATGAAGTTTAAAGGATAATTAGGAAAAAAAATTATTATACCATAAATATAATACTTTTTCATAAATATTTTTATATCAGATTAAATTGTAATACTTTTATTTTTATACTATTTAATATGATATAATTTTATTAGATGTATAGAGATAAAATTGACAATCTAAGGTATCTTTCATAGGAATGTGATAAATATTCAAGTTGAGAAGAATAAGTCCTAAATGAATGATTTATGAAAGTTGTGTAGTTGTCTTAATTCAACGATAGCTCCAAATACCTAATATTGTCATTAATTCAAGAAAACAAAGTTTGAAAAACGGATACATGTAGTATCATTTGCAAGATTGAATTTTCAAGTGTATATGATATCGTGTCTTACAAATATGAGGCAGAAGTATAATATTAATTTTAAATAATATTTTTTTTAAGACCAAAAACCTAAACTCAATTGTATATTTAAACTTTTTTCAAGTGATAATCTTATTTTTTTCTCTCTTAAATATACGAATATGGGCAATTAAGTTTAATCAAATTCAGATAGATAAGAGTAATAATATAAATAATCAAATTAAAATTTGAAACTTAATAATTAAATAAGCGCTCACTCCATTACCATCCCTAATTCTCACTCATTTTTTTTTATTAAAAAAAGAATTTAATATTGTTAATTCTTTGTCAAAATCTTTTGGTGAACTTGGGAATGTTTAGGGGAAAACTATGAAGTGTTTCCTAAGATTATTTTTTTTCCTCTTAGAAATGTATGATCATGACACTGTCTGGTGATAAATAATTGAAATCTAGATTCATAATGCTTGTCTTCTACTCTATTATTTTTATGGAAAAAAATCAATGTTATAAGTTAATTAAATAATGTCAAAGTCAGATGGTACAAAAAGGGTGACAACAAATTTAGTTTATATAGTATTATCCTATTTTTAAAGTACTTATTAGGTCACTTGTTAATGTTTTTAAATAAATTATTACATTTTATATTTATTTGTATTTACAAGTTAATTAACAAAAGTTATATGTATTTGAAAAAGGTGAAAATTTAATGCATTATATTAGAGAAAAAACAGCCAATAAAAAAATAAGACAGAGTATCTCACCAACCTCACAACCTGACACATAAATAGCGTCCATAACAACAATGTGTAGTGGGCGGCACGATCAGAAAGTTATAGGTATTTAATACCCTATATATTCTTCACAACAAATGTCTTACCGAGGTAGCTTAGTTACGTTGTCAATTAATCAGTGTTTAGTTTTGTTTCAAGTGGTAGGGTTGTACAGGGCCGGTTCAAACATTTTATAGGCCCGGGGCGAAATTTAAAAAAGGGCCCCTATATAAAAGATTAAAATTAAAATTAAATAATACTAATAAAATCATGATGTCAAATAACATGAAATAAGATTAGAAAATTTTTAACAATTTTTTTAAATACAAATTAAATATTCATGTCATTCAATCCTTGCAAAAATAAAGATTAATATTCTGCATAAATAAATGAAATTATAACATATAGGCCAATTAATTCCGAATAAATCCCCATTAATATTTGGACATCAACATTCAACATGAGCAATTCACAAAGATTAAAAAGAGACAATATGAATCACTACATCAAAGTAATTAGTAAATTAAACCAAAAAATTACTTTGCCATTTGACAGATGCCATTTTACTTTGAGAAGGAATAGATACAACAATACAACTTATTCAATTAACAATAGAGCTTATTCAATATTTCAATTAACAATTAGGAATTAAGAATTCTGGATAAATGGATAATTATTTAAGCAACAAACTAAGCCATGACTTGTAGTTTTCAATTCTGCGAATCCCAATTAAAAATGATCATTCTTAAATAAATTATAGAGCTTTCAGAAATCAGAATTCTACAAATTCCAAATGTAGTGCATTCTACAATTATGCAAATCCTAATTCTCAAATGGCCAAATCATAGACTTTTCAACAATACAGTTAATAATATCGTCTAGTTCCCAAATCATATCTTTCAAAAAAAAAAATCTCAAATCATAAAAATTAAAATACCTTTGCAAATTACAATTGTAGACCAGAGTGGTGAAGGCGCGACGAACAGAGTCAGGATCGGCTGACCGCAGAAAAGATTTGTTATTTGTGGATTATGAAAGTAGATTTTCGATTCACTCGATTGCCCATTCTTATTTAGCTTCTGGACTTTTAATAACTCCTTGAGAGGAATTGAACGATTGCTGTGGCGAAGAAGTATTGAATGGTTGCGACTTGCGATGCGCCAATGCCTCTTTTCTCCGGTTCTTCCTGAATCTTCCGTCTATTTAACTTCCATAAGAAGTCATTAAGTCAAAAATAATTAAATAATTTTTTCTAGTATATACTAAGTATATATAATATACAATGTATTATTATATCTTAATCTATGGGCCCCCTCTAGGGATGGGCCCTGGGCAGGGGCCCAGCCTGCCCATGCCCCAGGGCCGGCCCTGGGTTGTAGTGGTGAAAACCTCTTGTGCGCACAGAAATAATGTACTAACAGCAGGAAACCTAAAATTATTTGGACAACTCAAAATTTACCTCCTTCAGTGAAAGATATAGTCTGAAGTCTAGAAGTGTATGATCATGACATTGTCTAGTAATAAATAATTGAAAGCTATATCCACAATACTTGTACTCCGTATCTTATTTCTATTTAAAAGTTCAAACTTCAAATCCCATCGAAAACTTTTGACTAATTAGTGGTGGTAAAGACTTTTTGTGTGCAAAAGTGTACAACAACAGGGGAGGGAGATCGTACATGTAATATTATTACACCAAATTTCACTTCTTATTTCATATTTTTTAATATTAACGTACAATGGTATACTTTGATTAATTAAATAAATGAGATACACTTTTTTATTTTTTATTATCTACCCTAATCAAATTAAGATAAAATATCAAGTTTATTAAAAATTCTAAGTTGTTAATCGATAATGATATTATCTGCATTCGATACAATTCAAAAGTGAATGAATTTTGAATTATACTTAATACAAGAAACATCAATGGGGATACCAATCTACATTATATATTTATTATATTAATTAATTAATGATTTTGTGTCCCCTAAAAAAAAAAAAATTAATGATTTTGTGTCTTATCAATTGGCCCCCTTGGAAGTTGGAATTGATGGGAAATGTGGAAGATTTGTATTTAGGGTTCGACTTTGGATTCTATTGATTGGAAATAGAATTTGACTTTGTCTTTGGATAGATGGTCCTTACATCTATCACTTTGTCTTTGGTATTCAATCTACCACTCACCATAACATAAAAAGTTTTACCTCAATTCCTATGACTTAACTTATTAATTCAGTAGATAATATTTAAAAAAAAAAATCAACGTTCGAGTATTAACAACAATGATATAAAAATTATGTCTAAAATAAACATACTCTTTATATACACTAATATTTAGTCATGTAAAATTTACATCCTCCTAAATATTTTGTCAATATTAGAGATTCAAATTCTCGATTTTCATAAATTAATTACAAATTAAAGGGACCATGAAGGTAATTAATTGTCATCCTTATCTCTTTCCACTTAGTTTTTACTTTTTAATTTTCTTCTTTCTATTTATATGTTTATTTTTTGTGTGGCTCTAAAAAGAGTTGTATTCAATTATTATTGTCGGTGTAAAACATCATTTGCTCAAGATAATTCAACACGTTTCATACTATTATTGTATCAGTTGATATATTGTTAGGTTTTGACATGCTTACACGTAATAGTGAAAGATTTTTTTTTTTAAGAAGATCTAAATAAATAAATAAATAAATAAATAATAAATATACATATAAAACGAATTAACGATCATATACTTAGTAAATTTATATTTAGCCACAACAGGGTTAGGTCAAATCAGATTAGCATAGCAAATGCTTAATTACAAAATTATATAATGAATTAACGATCATATTGTAAATTTATATTAATTACAATTGCTTATTATATGTTAAAACTTAATAAAAAAATTGATTTAAATATTAAATAATAAAATTATTTTCAATATTACAAAAATTCCAAGAACTATATATACACAAATTATGCCAAAACAACAAATTTTCACTATATAATTTCTCAAATCAAATTAGCATAGAAAATTTGAAGTCCCCTCATATCCATATATAGTCTTAACCATATATTAAGAATGTATGTGGTTGACATATTCTTTTTCATACCCATTTGTTCTAGTTGTTGCACGAGCTCTGGTTACAGTTGGTAAAACCTCCGGTTGTGCTTTGTAACAACTGTAGCACTACCTATGTGTGTAAGAATGAGGTCTTCCATTCACGTATGAAGCATCTGGCCCTTGATCGACTATTTCTTTGTTCGTGATTTGATTTCTAATGGATTACTGGAAGCTAAGTGCGCCACATTCCGTCTGCGGCCTAACTAGCTAATTTCCTTACGAAGCCGTTGGGACGTTCTTTATTTCTCCTTTTCTGGTCCAAGATTGGAGTTTCCGATGAATCTTCAAGATGGCGTGTTAAGAGTGCATGTGCAGCGGTTGACATATTCTTTTCATATTTATTTGTTCTAGTTGATCTCCTATAGTTTAGCTTAGTCACAACTCCCTTCTATCTTCTCTCTATTGTACTTTATTTAAAGCAAGTTGGTTTTCATTAATAAATGATCAGTTCTGCTAACTCAATACCATAGAGAAGTAAATTAATGTATAGATTGAATGACGGACAATCATTATATTAATCACGCATATATACTAACAACATATATAAATCTTCATTATATTTTACAGCATCTTTAATTTGTGCATGATGAAGCTAGCTAGAGGTAGCTTAGTTATGTTGATGGCTAAGCAAAAATTCCAGGAATTCTTCAGCATAATCCAGCCCACAATGCTTCTTCACAACAGGCATTGTGGCCGGAACTTCTAGAAAGAAGTTGGAAAAATGGCGGCCGAGTCGCTGTTTTCTGGCTTCTTTGATGGCTGCCCTTGTTGCACAGTGGACTGAAGCTGCCAGAAGAAGTGGTGGCTCACCGGAAGCTGCACAATCAAGATCAACAAATCTGTCAAGGAATATATATTTTTGGACTAAGATTGACCCATGCCGATTACTTAATGGCTGAAGCAACACGTGGACCGTAGTCGTTTTTTAAGAGATTCGAATCCATGACCTTTAGCATGGCTTTGATACCAAATTGAAGCATGTGCTCATTGCACATTAATGATTATATGTTCAACAAGGAACATACCTTTAGACGAGAGAATGCGGTTTTTGTGATGTCCAGTGTTGAGTACATCAATATTGAGCCGTTGTGGGATCGTATCAATTGTCGGGATCTTATATGTCCAAGTGCTGTCAGAAACCACCAATCCATCTGCATTTGTAAGGTACTCTTCAAGCATAAAGAACCCAACTCCCTGAACAAAAGCCCCTTCAATCTGCAACAAACATTCAAACAACCAGACATAATCATATGAATCTGAACTAACATTAAAATGCAAAGATTCAAGTGTCTGTAACTACCTGCCCCATATCAACAGCAGGGTTCAAGCTCTGTCCACAATCATATGTAATATCGGCCCGCAAAATCCTCGATTCCCCTGTCAGAACATCCACTTCCACCTGCAGAAATGAGCAACCAAACAGCCTGTTAGCTCGGTTTTCGTTTCCTTGGCGCTTCAACGAGCAAGACAGCTAGTTACCTCGCTAACAGCCGCCCCGTAGTTCAGATATCTTATGGAACTGGTGTCGGGAACGTAGTAGGAATTCGCGGCTAAGTTCACTTGTGCATTATATGCCTGCAGAACGAGTGTGTTCCAATCCACAGAACCTGTTTGATCCTGCAATTTCGTCTTCACGGGGGACAATCTCTCGACGAGAACATTGCAGCAAAGCCTGACAGCCTCACAGCTCGATTCAGAAGTTGTGCTTCCAGAAGTGTACCCGCCTTGCACTATGCTTAACGTGTCAGATTGCACGACCCGAACTCTCCCCACGAGCTCTTCGAGCTGATCACACCCGAGGGCTAAACTGAGAGCAAATGCAGCCATCTGTTTCACCTTTGTCCAGAGCCCTTGCCCCAATTCAACCCCTCCAAGCTCTACAACTATGGAGCCATCTGATAAAATGCTAACTTTTGCTGGAGTTGGGCTAACCAAAACCTCAGCCACAACGGGGACTCTCGAAATCCCCCTTTTCTTCCACCGGTTTTGCTGATTAAACTTCCAAACCATCTCAGTTCTTTCCAAGAACCCGGAAGATCTACCCAGGCTCTCCATAACAGCAGGCAAAGTGTAATCCACTAGCTCCCCCGCGTTGTCTCTGTAGAACGCTTTAAGGCTCTCGAACGTGTGGAGGTTTTCGCCTCTGACACAATCCACATCCACCGACACAACAGACGCCACATGTTCCATCACAGCTTCAGCAATGAAGGATCCTTGTAGCTCACCAGGAGCCCGCATAAACGACTTGGCAAACTCGTTCGTCTTGCAGACCTTTACCTCAAACGACAAGGCGCCCCAATCATACTTACTAACTCCCCCGATTATATTCATTGGTAAAACCGGGCTTAAGTCTACTTCTGCACCTGCATTTATCAGTATCTCGAGGTGCAAAGCCGTGATCTTCCCACTCGACTTGAATCCAACACTGTAAGTTACTTCCATCGGATGCCTTCCACCCGCCATGATCATATCAGTCTTTCTGTCCAGGTAAATCCTCACGGGGCGGTTCAGCTTGTAAGCAGCCAACGCACACGCTGTAGAAATCTATGACACCAGACATAAAAAAACACACAAATCAAAGACTAAAGAGCAACCTCAAACACACACAGAATGCAGCAGTTAAGGATGTTCCTACTGACAGGCATTGCTCTCACTGCCTTGCCACCGAAACCTCCTCCAACCCGTCTTGTAACCACGCGAATATTATGCTCCGGGACGCCCAAACATCTGGCAATTACGCTATGTGCAGACTCGGGGCACTGGCTCGAGCTATATACGAGCATGCAGTTGTCTTCATCGGGAATCGCTAGAGAAGTTTGTGTCTCCATATAGAAGAAATACTGTGACCCAAGGCTAATCTGGAGACAGCAATCAGAAAAAAAAAATGAATCTGTAATGTGTCAATACTATGTATGGTAACCTTAAAAGCTACAAAGAATCATGATTCTACCTTTGTAGAGAGAATCTTGTGGTCTGCTTCAGCCATTCCTTTGGAGAAATCTCCAACTTTTTCTGGGATTAACATAGGAGGGACTTCAAAAAAACTCGATTTCTTGACAGCATCCTCAACAGTTAAGATGGGTGGATCCAAATTTTCTGTATCATATTCCACTATGGCCATTCTTGCTGCTGCATCTGCCTGTCTCTGGCTGTCTGCAACCTGAACATGAACCATGCAGAAAGAATTGATAAAATAAGAGAGAACATATGGTTTATAAGGCCATGAGTTAGACCAGCTAATTGGTTGGATTCAATATTTTAGTGTGCATTATAGCCCAATTGAGTGACCCTAGCTCAATCTTAGTTTATAACAGAACTAAAATATGGATTACATACCACGAGAGCAATACGGTCGCCTGCACATCTGGTAAGATGATCAGCAAATAGAGGTTCAGACCCACACATGGTTATAGACCCTATGTTCTCCCCTCCAGATGGGATATCTTTGAAAGTGATGACAGCAGCCACTCCATCGGGTACTGAATCGGATTTAAATTTAATCCCCTTCACCCAGGCTAAAGGCTGTGTACTATAAATAAACGCCCCGTATAGACAGTTGGATGGTGAGGGAATGTCATCTACATAAACAGCTTCACCTACAAAACAGACACAAAATGTTTAATTTACTGTCACATATGATGTTTCTGAACCAAATTCATCTGCAGAAACAAACCAGAAGCTTGGATGGCAGCTCCAGATTTTGCTATCGGTTTGCCCACCGGATAGTACTCTTTACTCGAATCCACACACTGCTTTCCAGAAGATAGCAATCCCCGTTTTTCGCTTGATTTGGGTAAATTGCCAGTGGGATCAAAAGCGATGAAGCCTTGAAGGAACTTGAAAAGGAAACTGGCAATCACACTAGACCGATACTCGGGATGAGATGTGCCAGGTTCAGGCACCACAGTTGCCTTTACTAGCTTAAGTGCTTCATACAAAACATTGACACTTAATGTTTTCCCAGTTAGATAATCCTCAACCTTTGTTGCCCGAATTGCATGTTTGGTTCCAAAAGCCCCGAAAGCCAACCTGACACGATTGATCAGATACCCGTTTCTGGTGCCACAAACATCAGCCAAGAACGCAGCATTCACATATGGTAACGCATTGCCAAGAGGCCTCGGTGCAGCTCGATAAGCCTCGAACAGCAACCTCGAGCCACCGGTTTCCATTGTTGCCTGAAATGGGATCCAAACACTCAGCACCACAGCTCTCGAGTCTAATCCTGGCCTTTCGAAGAACTCCTCCAACCCGATTTTCTCCCGATTGTGACCTGCCATTATCACGACACTCGAGCCCAAAGCAAGAAGCAAAGTAGCTATATCCGAAGGAAACCGACTCTTCTGTGCCATAACCAAGTTCCCCCCAACACTAGCTGTGTTCCTAATGAACCCTGCCCCAATTTTCTCCATATGGTCTGCAATTTTCCCCAAGATAAGATTCCCAGATGAGCCCAAATCAACTTCACTTTCCTCCCTTAAGTTCAAAATAAGTTTAGAGATAGTAACTGTGGCTCCAACTTCAATCCCTGTGGAGTCCCTTTTAATCACTGAAAGTTCAGAGATATACCTAAGATCAATGTATCTATCATATTCTTCAAAATCCTTATAATACCCCATCCCTGTATTCCCCACAACAAGCTTAACCCGCTCGCCATTTTCACCCAAATCACAGCCAAGCTCCTCCAGGCTAACAGGACAGTACCATTGATATCTTTCAGAGTCCAAAACTATGCCAGATTTCTGTTTTTGTTTTTGTTTCTGTTTCTGTCCACTTTTCAAGAACTCGGGATAGGTACAAATCCTGTTCCTTGGATCATAAAATGGCAATTTACCAACTTTCACCTCCCTGCTATCCTCATTTTTCCAGAAAGAATTAAGCCCCAGATCCTCGATATCAACATCACCTGCAAAACTTTTGCAGGCATCAGCTATAGGCCGATATCCAGTGCAACGACAGAGGTTCCCCGCCACGGCCCTTTCGGCTTCAGAGACAGTGAGCTTGGAGAATCCCTGAGGGGGTTCTGGGCTATGAAGATTCTTGTCAGCATTGATAAGAGCAGAAAACAAAGAAACACACATCCCAGGAGTGCAGAAGCCACACTGAGAAGCATGGAAACCTGCAAACCTTTGATGAATTGGGTGGAAACCATCTCTGCTGTTTCCTAACCCTTCACTGGTTGTGACTGAACAGCCATTTACACTGCAGAGAAGTGTGAGACAAGCACTCACTGTATAATCTTCAACCTGTTCACTCACAGGATCATACTTTGATAGAAGGACTACACATGCTCCACACCCACCTGCAATGGTTATAACTTTAATTTGTTTATTAATGATTCAAGAATGAGTGTTATTTTGGACTGCAATAGTTTTCAGAATATAAATATTATAGGATTTTGTATGGTGTTGATACTATCCAGTGTAATTAGATACAGACTCAATTGTTCCTGGCTAGTTGTTTTAATTCTTAAATTTTATACTATTGCAATATACACACTCTAAAGTTACAGTTTTAACTCCCGGACCATAAAACTATTAAATTTTACTCAGTACATACATAGATATTTTAAAACTTTTTAATATTTCTTCTTTAATTATAATATCTTTAGTCTCCATATTTGATATTTCATTTGTAATTTATTTTAGAAGAAACGTGATTTTAATAGGTTCGTGTAGGAAAAATATGGATGATGTACCACAATTGAAGAGGAAAAAAAATTTAAGGAAGAAGGTTGTCAATTCTCTAAAAAGTTACAATGAATAAAGATAATAAAATTTTAAAATATCCATTTACTAATAGAGTTTAATAGTTTTGTTGTTGCATGGGCTAAAAGTATAGCTTTTTGTAAAGAGTTGGGATTGTATATTGCAACATTAAAAAGTTATGAATTAAAACAACTACCAAAGAATAATTGAGGAACTAAAAATACAATACAAGATAAAACTATATATACATGCATGCATACATACATACATACATACATAGAGTAAATTCAATCGGGTCGGGTAAATGTGACTGAAAACTCTATTATAGGTGAAATAATATGGCCAGAAAACTATATTTTGTTTTTTTTTTAGTACTATTGACTCTAATTATAATATAGTATTTGTTCTATACTTTCTTTTTTAAGTATAGCAGTTCAAAGAGTCAATACCCCACCTTCAGGGTTCGATCCTATGACCTTCTCTCAAGGAGAGCCACATAGGTGTCATGAGCACAAGATGCTTGACAAAATTAGATGATTATGCAGATGAAGTTGATTGATATTGATGGCCGGAAAAGCACATCAGGCTATATATGCATATATGTATGTCAAGCAATTTGGTTGATGGGGTTTGGAAAGAAAGCCTCTAAGCTATAAGCCGGAATCCGACCATACTAGGTCGTTAGTAGGAGTGGAGTGATGTAGGTTGGGAACTCAAAAAGTCCCCCTCAATGTGAAATAAATGTCTTTTATATAGGGATGGGAGAGGGACACATGTCCGGTGTTCGACATGTCCTTCACGTGTCCTAAAGAGGTCCAAGGCTGAAGCTATATATGCTTGTCAAGTGTCTTTAGAAGTTTGACAGGTGGATGGACGCTTGGAGACCATAAAGGTTTAATGATAATGAGGCCGGAAAAATCTACTAATAATGAGACCGGAGAGTATGCATACTCTCTCTCTCATTTTAAAGTAAATATACTAGTAAGCTCCGGAGGACAAGTGGGTTATCCTATAACCCTATCATATATAAAGTATATGTATATATAAAAGAAAAAATCGTATTTAGTTATACCTAGTACTATCAACACCGGAGAAAATGATAAATATATAGTATATATATACTATATATACCTTCACCACAGCCAAGTTTGGGGCTCTTGTAAAGGGTGTGAGAGCGCAAGAAGCTGAGCAAAGTGGTGGAAGGATGAGCATTTGGGAGCTCAAACCTCTCTCCATTCACAGCAAACACCAACTTCTTCTTCTTCTTCCCATTTTCACTACTAATAACACCTGCAAAACCTCCATCTTTCTGCTCCTCCATTAATTTTCAATTCTTTTTGCTCTGATCCACAAGCTTACATCTGGCCTGGGTGGTGTGAGAGGAGATTTATATAAGCACTATAAGCTAGGGAAAAGACATGTTCAACAAGCACTAGAATGTATATGAATCTTCTCCATTGAAAAAGCATGCAAAAAGGTAAGTAGCATGCTTTAATTTCAAACTCGAAAGGGACTGTTTTATGACTTATGGAAATATTTTAATGGTTTCTGTCACTCATCTGTGCGGGTGTGTTTGATTCTACGTGGGTGAGTTTAATCCAGTTTCATCTCATCACAAGAGTCCGGCCTGTTTGGTAAAATAGTTAACTTATCAGTTAATTCAAAAAACTGTTTAAAGTAATTTTTTCCATCAGTTTTTTAGAAAAGTTATTTTGTATGTAATCATTTATAAGTTAACAGTTAATTTACCAAACATTTTTCTACAATCAGTTAATGTTATCAACTAGCTAAATCATTAATCCAATCAATTAATCGTTATTTACCAAACATCCTAAAGATCATTGATAATTTCAAGTAGTAGTTGGGATCTCTGACATTGTTAGCATGCTTCGTTTTCTTAACTTCAATTCTAGTAAGGTTATTGGTTTGAAAACGTGCTGTGATATGATCTTTTCGTATGCTTTTAATTACATATATATTGATCATGTTTGGTAAAATAGTTAGTCTATCCGTTAATTTTAATTTGACTGATTATTATTAATTATTTGACTTGGTTAATTAATTTTTTGTAACTCTAAAATGCTAAAACTCAAAAAGCTGCTCAAAACAACTTTTTCAATTAGCTTTTTGAGAAAAGAAATTATACCAAGCAGCTATCAACTAATGTTATCAACTCGTTATACACTCTAATTAACTCAATCAGCTATCAGCTAACGGACCTATACCAAACAGGGTCAATATAATAATACTTATGATAATTTCCGAGATGATAGAGGTGAGAATGTGAGATATCCTATTTAAAAAGTTGGGTGTCTGTTCATTAACTCAAAAATTTATTCGGTTTTTTAGAAATTAAAACTAGAGAATTGGAGTATAGAAAACAAAAAATATGTTTAGAATTGTTTTTAAATTTTATAAAAATTAGAGAACTTTTTAAAAACTGTTTTCAAAATGAAAAAGTAAAATATCTATCATCATATCTACTTGGTTATATATCACTACAATCACATTTTTATCATTATTTACTTACATATTTATTCATTACTATGATTATCTTCATTATCATCTTCGTTTTATTAATCACCATTTTTTTTAATCTTTTTTACTCACATTAATTTTTTTTTTTTGAAAACTACTTACTCTATTACATTGTAGTATCATTGGATTGATTTTTTACATATATTAGATTTCAACATAAAAATTATACTCCGTATATATTAATTTCACTCAAATAAATATATCTAAAATATTTTAAATATTAATATTATCTAACCTAAATTTTATTGACTATTCGGATTCATCACAAGATATAAGGAATTTAATTAGTAATTAAATTTAAAAATTAAAAAAAAAAAAATCAAAAACTTTGGCACGCGTAGGCGGTGATTGTAACATGATGTTGTCGATTGCATGGCTTCTTGACTAAATCTTTAAATTTGAAATTTTCAATAATTTATAATCTTTATTCTGGTAATTTTAAATTTTTTATTATTGAATAGGTCTATTTTAATTATATTCTTGACAACTATAATAGCCCCGCCAAGCTCATCCCACCAAAGCCTGCTATTCGGCAGGAGAGGGCAAAATAATTTGCTAAAATATGGGTCATAAAATTCAAAGTTCGTCTCGCCTTTTTAAAAAGGCAGGACGGGCTAAACTAACAACGCGTTTGGTTTACGGAATGAATTTTAAGGTAATAGTAATGTTATTCCATAATGAATGGAATAGGCAAATTAAAGAACAAAATATGAATTGTATTCTATTGTTTGGTTCGCGAAATGAATAGACTTTAGGAATTATATTATAGTATTTGGTTGATTTAATGAATAGAAATGAAATATATTTTAAAAGACATAAATACCCTTATAAAAATATGTGATGGTGGTGGTACGTGGTTGTGGTGGTGGCGGCGGCAGTGGCAGTGGTGGCGATGGTGGTGGTAGCGGTGGTGGCGTGGTGGTGCTGGGGTGGTGGTGGCGATGGTGGCGGCAATGGTGGTTGTGGCAGTGGTAGCGGTGGTGGTGAAATAGGAAATAAATTTAATTAGGGGGTAAATTCATTATTATTTGCAGACATCGTGAGCATTATGAAATTCATACTACCTCCGGCTCATTTTATGTGTCTTGGTTCGGTTAACGTGGTTTGACTGAAGTTATTTTTAATCTAATTTTTCATAATATTAAGTTTAGTATTTGTATACAAAATTTATATATTTAGAAACTACACTAAAATTTAAAAATAGGTAAAAAAAAAAAACTAAAGAAAATAAACAAGCAAACAAAAAAAAAGTTAGTTTGACTGAATGAATAGTAAGTATGATAGATAAAATGGGATAGAGATAATAATAAATAGAGTAACGCTACACACCTTTCTATATTTCTCTAACCTTTTCCTCCTAACATGCCATGGACAACTAATTTCTTTTTTTTTTTTTTTTTTTTGAGTTAATTAGTGGTAGTTCAACTAATTCATAGACACCCAATGAATAGAAAGTCGGGAGGGAAAATTCATGAGAAAAAAAATATTTACCTAATAATAATAATAATAATATGTTATGTTAAAGAGTTTTGGCCTAAAAAAATTTTTTCAAGTAAGAGTCAAACTTTATAAATACAACCTAAGCTGAATTCAGATTATTCTCATGGTGGTAACGATGCCGGATGCATATAATAATTAAGATTTGCAGCACTACATTAAACTCATCAAAAAAGCAAAGTGAAAGGAGACAGAATCTATCTTTGCAGTTATTCTTTCTTCCCTTGGTATGACAGAATAGATTCCTGCAAAATTCTGAGGAATATAACCATAACTTTTTTCTTGGAATTGAAGAAGAAACTTTCAAGTCAATTAAGCACCACAAAAAGCCCCCATGCCCAGAAGGAATTAGCTAGATAGCATGGACATTAATCAAAGAATATCTGTTTCCCAAGAAACTCTCTCATCTCATCTGCAGATTATTGTTGTGTTCTTCTTCTCCCCTTTCTGTATATAAACCCTGCAATGCCCACATTCATTTCATATCATAAAACATTTTTCAAGAAAATCTTTAGAACAGAATTAACAAGAAAAAAAAAAAGAGAGTTGAAATGGATACAAGAATGGGAGCTGCTCCTGCACCAAATCAGGTTTTTGAGGATTTTGTGCCAAGATCTGAGTTTGTGACTGAAGCAGATGCTGACATCCTTCAGGTTCATTTGCCAGGTAATGTCCTGTTTCTATTACCAATCGATGTCGATCAATACCGGTGTTGATAATACTCTACAATAATATTTGGGTAACGAAAAACGGTATATATAAAATTATACCTAGTACTTTTTAGTACAGGTGCAGAGACCAGTATTGATAATATCCGGTACGACAAAACTTAAAATATGATTATACCTGGTGCTGATCATACCTGATATCATTTTTTAAAAATATTAGTACATATGGTTGTACCCAGTACTTTCAACACCGGCGTCAGTAACACCATATTGTACTATTAGTATTGTTGAGCGTATACCCATTAATGTGCAATTCAACTATCAGCTTAAGCTTTTAGTTGAGATGAAGCACATGCTTCAATTTGGTATCAGAGTCAAACCAAAGGTCAGCGCCACCCATAAGCGACTACGGTCCACGTGTTGCTTGGAACCCACCGCACACGTGTGGGGGCATGTTGAGCATATAGCCATTAATGTGCAATCCAACTATCAGCTTAGGCTTTTAGTTGAGATGGAGCACATATTTCAATTAGTATTATTGCTGTGGCGTAACCAAAAAAAAAGGAGGGGTGGTGTGGCGGGGCCCGCCTCGCCTGCAAGCCATGGGCGGGGGGCCGCCAATGAAAGAATTTTTTGACCCACCCCGCCTGTATTGACAGCTCTAGTTGTACCAGTATTTTTAACAAGTGCAAAGACTGGTGCTGGTAATACTGGTATAACAAAACATGGTATAGCACCGGTGAAAATCAACCAATGTTGATAATAGATTGAATGATCTGCAGATTTCAAGAAGGAACAGCTGAGGGTTCAAGTAACCAGATCAGGAATCCTGAAGATCAGTGGACAAAGGCCTACATGGGGTGATAAATGGCTCAGATTCCACAAAGAATTCCCCATTTCACCAAACTGCACCCAAAACAAGATCACTGCAAAGTTTGAACGTGGGATCCTGTTTGTGAGGCAGCCAAAAATGATCATTGCAGAGAAACAATTCCCTGCAGAGCCTCCAAAACCATCTGCAGATGAACAGCGAAAGGCGGGGGAAGAGCCAGCCAAGAAAGCCGAAGAACAGGCGAAAGCCGGGGTAACTGAACCTTCAACTCAGCCCCGAACACCAGCTCCCGGTGAACAGAAAACCGGGGAAGAGCCAAGCAAGAAAGCAGAAGAGCAGAGAAAACGCGATTCAGAGGCGAAGAAAAGCGAGGGCTTCGTTGAAGAAGACGAGACGAAAAGCAGCAGCAAGAAGGGGTTATCTGATGCCAGAAATGCAGCCATGATTGGGAGTTCTGGAAATAACCTGGCAACAATGCTGAGACAACCTAGGAGAATCTTGAATGTGGCTCTGGTGATTCTGGTGGTGATTAGCATCTGCCTGTATGTTAACAACATGATTAGATCTTTCAGTGGAGCTGAAGAGTGATCATGAAACCACTGTTATTATCTCATGAAGTGGTTGATTGTGAATAACACGGCTTACCAGTGTGATTCATTTTATGTTTCTGAAATGGAATAAAAGAAAATTTGGGTTCACATCATTCAAGAACAACATTAGACAGTTCAAATGTTTTTTACATGTGTTTCTTGTCTACAAAAGCGAAATTTTCTCGCCCTTCAAGGCTCCTACAAGATAATAGAAGGGTAAATTACAGTAACTCAGTTGCCCAAAGAGCCCACCGCATTAGGTAATGGCAAATTATTATGTGGACCATGGTCCACACAATGTTACGTGGACCATAACAAAAAGTACATTTTAATATATTAAATGTACATTATTTTTGTACTGAATGTACATCATATAATATAATGTATACTCAGAACAAAAATAATGTACATCCCCTGAATACAATGTACATTATTTTTGTACTGAATATACATTATTTTTGTACTGAATGTACATTATTTTACAGTAGACAAAATATGGTTCATACAACTTGTGTGGACCATGGTCCACACAATAATGATTGATTAGTAATGACTTAGTTCCCAGTTATAGGATGGCCCAATTATTAGATATCCACATTTATTCATTTAATTATCAGTCTGGTAATAGATATAGTCTCGATGATAAAATCATTTACATAAGTAACCCTATAAATTTAGGATTTTGAAGAGCAACCCGATTTTATAAGTGCCATTGAGATGATAATTGAAAGACTAAATGTGAAGGCCCCATAATTGGAGGATTGATTAAGCTATTTCTTTATATAATTAAGGGACTAAAAGTGTCATTTTTCTAAATTCAGTTAAACCGAACTTGGTTTTATTTAAGCAATGCATTAAATTTGAGATTTGGGAATAAAATACGAAGTAATACTCATATATCGTGAGATAAACTAATTCAGCCTATTTAGAGACAACTTTTTCATAAGATGCTATTTCATCCCGCACTGTCAAGATTTACATATCAAAAATGACGTACTTGGAACTGTTAATTTTGTGACACATCTCAACAAAGCAATTGCGCCGTCCTACTTTTTAATGCTTGAGAATAGGTTGAGAGCGTTACTCCATGAGAAGTTATGTTAAAAACAAAACAAAATTTCAAAAGGAGAGAGCATTCAAACCTAGTCTACAGCATGAAAGGAATATACCTTGAACATTTGTTTCTTGATTACCAAATTATCTTTTATTCCCAATTTAGAAACACTACATTAAATTTTACGAAAAAGATATTCCTTTTTTCCCAAATCAAAATTTAAAAGAACAACAATAAACTTAAAATCCCAACTACTGTAAACCTGGGCATAAAGAATAGAATTAAATACATTACTTCATTGTCAATGCCCTAAATGATTCTCAGTTTTCATGCATTTTCATTCTCATTCTATACAGAATTCAAGTACAATGAATCAATGGAGTTAAGAGAGAAAATATTACATATTGGTGTTCGGTGTTACTGACCACTTTCGACAAGCGATGGGTAACAACTACAAAAAAAATTTTGGAATCTCCAATGTAATAGAAAAGGCCATATCCATTCAGAAATCCTAAATTTCCAACCACTTTCGGTAATTGGAAATCTCGAGTTTTCTAGCCATGCCAAATCATTTGCAGCACATCATGTTCTAAATGATATGTAGTCTGAAAAATCAAAATCAGAGCATAGTAAAATTACAAGGCATTTATTATGAAAAGGAAGATTACAACAGCCCATCAGTGCCATCATAACAGGATCACAATTGAACTGAACAAAAATTTTCAGAGGTATATTAAGTATAATTCGTTATCGAGAAAGCATTCTAACTTCTAAGCTATTCTCACGTATAAGAAAAATGAACTCACTTGGAGGGCGCAGCCTAGCTTGATCAGTTTCATGTATTAAGCTTCTAACGTGACTGACTTGTTCACTCACTTGTAGCTCGTGAGCTGTGCGCGAAGGAGCTTAGCCGCTGCAACCATATTGCTAAGTGCAGGTTTGACTTCGGTGTACTTGCGTGTCTTGAGGCCACAGTCGGGGTTGACCCAAAGGATATTGGTAGCAAAGACCGTGAGCATCTTATTGATCTTCTCAGCAATTTCATCTGTTGATGGGATTCTGGGTGAATGGATGTCATACACACCGGGGCCGATACATGCACCGTATCTCACGCCCTCTTGGAAAACTGAAAGAAGCTTCTGATCGGACCTGGAGTTCTCGATGCTGATCACATCAGCATCCATATCTATGATTGAATGGATGATGTCATTGAAGTTTGAGTAGCACATGTGTGTGTGAATCTGCGACAATAAAGCAATTATAGCACTTAGAATGTAAACCAACAGACTGTTATCACCTTTATGCAATATGCCTTTTGTCTTTTCAAAAGGATATGGACCGAAGAATTCTCTTCCTGGATTGTAAGCGATTATTACGAAAAAAGGCTGGGAAATGGAGTTACAGCATACCTATCACGAGGGAAAAAGATTAAAGATACAATAGTCTTTTGGCAAAAAATAGTCGGGATTCTCCCTAACACTCCTAGAGAACCATCCAGAGAGCGTTCTTGAATTGTTGGAGGAAAGACCATAAGGGTTGCATATTCATAAGACCGTGACGCTATTGTTAGGCTTTAGATGCACCCAAATTCGTTGCTAGATTTCTCGGGGGTTGCATGTATGTTATCCGATGACATTTTGTTGTCAAAATCTCTAACTTAATTTGGAAGAACCATGTTTGTTCTTCGTTTACTTCGATGATAAGTTTTCTATATATTAATATTATACCTTTTATATATGAGTAAATAAGAATGTGAAAAGTTATTGTCCAATGCAAACTACTTCAAAGAGGATTAGAGTAACGACTGACCTGGGTAGTGTCTTGGACGCCACAGTTGGTTATCCTGAACGAATGCACAGCCCAGTCCAAGTAGAAAGCTTGCTCAGACTTTCTGAGCGGCAAACCCTCTCTCAAAGCAGCCTCATCGATTTGGATAGCACCAATGCCAGCCTTCTCCAGATCTTCAACCTCATCCTTGATAGCCAATGCAATCTGATAACAAGTTTCAAACCTAAACAAAGAGAACCAGAAAACCTCGTTAAAATGTGTTGTCAAATGCGTAGAGGAATGAGCAAAGGACACATCATAAAGGTCACACCTAGGTTGGTCATCTCTGACGAAGGACCAATTCAAAATGGTAACAGGGCCAGTAAGCATTCCCTTCATTGGGCGCTTAGTCATGCTCTGAGCCACTGATGACCAGAAGACAGTCATGGGTTTAGGGCGACTGACATCACCATAGATGATAGGTGGCTTAACACAGCGGGATCCATAAGATTGAACCCATCCATTTGCAGTAAAAGCAAAGCCGGACAACTGCTCACCAAAGTATTCAACCATATCGTTTCGCTGCATTACAAGAAAATTTCCAAGCGTCAAGCGTTCTGCATCTCTGGTGTGCCCTTTGACAGAAATAAAATTACACAATCAAAGAAATTCATCACCTCTGGCTCTCCATGCACCAAAACATCAATGTCTAGCTCTTCCTGAAGTTTCACTACTTTGTTGATTTCCTCTGTAATGGCCTTGACATATTCTTCCTCAGAGATTCTGTAATTATGACATTTGAGACATTTCAACTTCCACTCCTTTCAAAAAAAACTTCCACTCATTTAAATCATTACAGATCCGAAGGGAATAAAATTTTCATAAGACAACTAACTTGTTAGCCTTGTATTCTCTGCGGATTTTTCTGATCTCCAATGTTTGGGGGAAAGATCCAAGGGTAGTGGTTGGAAGAAGAGGAAGATTCAGCTTTCTTTTTTGAGATTCCAACCTTGCGCTCGCACCTGTAGCTCTTCGGTGGTCAGTGCCCCTCAAAGCAGCGGCCTAGGATGAGGAGACTAGTTAATTTTATGATTCAGTAATTGGCACAGACACGATAGTAGGAAGGACAGATATAAAATGCACATACGGCCTTCTGGACATCCTCATTAATCACTCTGGGAGAGGATTTTCTTGAAGCATGGGCTGCAGCATTAGCAGAGAAGAATGCCTGAAGATTGAGTACGCAGAAGTTAGAGGCAATAATCATCTGGCCATAGCATATAGAATGCACAATAAACTCCCTCATGTATCAATAAACACCTGGTAGGGGTTGCTCAAATTTATCTTTACAGTTTTAAACACCAAGGTGAACTTTAGCAATGGAGCAGTACATCTCCCAGCAGCAAAAACCTTTGAAGTGATTGCAAAAGAGAAAAGAAAAAAAAAAGGGTGGAGGGGTAGGGGGAGGACAAAAATGTTGGGTCTATTTGTGTGGCTTTGAAAAGTCTCTGAATAAATCCTCCCTGTGAATGACTTCCTCTCAGGTGATTGTTAAAAATAAAATAAAATAAAATAAAATAATATACAAATAGATATCTAAAATTGAACCTAAACACCTCATTAACAGCCCTGTTGAAGAGTTCAAAAAACAGTTTCTCATTTGAATCGAATGCATAATGTTACAATGAAGTACCTCGTCTTTCTGGCCTTTCAAAGCCTTTGCCAAGGCATTGACTTCAATCAATTTCTGGGCAGCAAATGCAAGCCATGACTTAATTTCTTCATCCATACTAGTTTCGTTCACTAAATCAACTGCAGTGTGGAGCAGCGAGCAGGAGGTAGAGACAACGAGCTTGTCTAGCACCAAACAAAATTGTGCCAGTCAACTACTATTACAAAGTAAAAGATAAAAAATGATATACTATCTGCAGGCTCAGCGGGTGATGGGGTCATTATAGTGAAAAAGTTTTACTTGACTCGTTCCTTTTCCATTTTTGGAAACATGCAAGCATGTAGTTACTTGATCCGGCATTCCAGTGTCCTCTTTTCTTTTCTCTTCTTAATTATTCCTTTTTGTTGATAACTGATCCTACTGCCCAGGATTCGAGTATTAACCAGAAGACAAGTAGCAGAGCACAACATTCAGGACTTTCTATGTATTTACATGTGTGTTTCTCTCATCCTTTAAGGAAATGTTGTCTTGTTATCTATTGAATATAAATACTTAAAACTAAAGTTAGAAGAAACTACCTTTTCCCACTATGTTTTCAAGACCTTGCAAGATACTGAGAGATGTAGCAAGGTCATTAGCCCAAATATTCCTTCCATCAACAACCCCAGCAAAAAGATATTTTCCCGAAGGAAACCTGTCCTTGATTAAATCAACGGTTTTTGATCCACGCACTAGATCAAACCCAAATGCAGTAACACCCTTCAGAGTAGTCATCATTTTGAAAGCTTCGGCAGGAACATCAGCAAAGTATGTCTCAATGAGAACATTTAAACCAGTTACAGATGACTCTAGTTGTGAGTAGGCATGAGAAAACGCTTGTAATTGGTCAGAACTAAGATCCAGGACAAGGCTAGGCTCATCAAACTGAATCCAAGAGGCACCAGCCGCCTTCAATTCAGCAACAACTTCCCTGCATGAGTACATTAAACCACAATTTAGCACATTCTACTTGATATGGTGAATATTTATAATACAATGGAAAATATCGGATGCTCTTACTTGTAGACAGGAAGTACACTGTCAATCAGGTTTAGAAGAGAAAACGTCTTTTCAACACCCTTTGCTGGTTTAGACAACAACAGGTAGGAAACTGGACCTATGAGGACTGGGATTGTATCAACTCCAAGCTGCATCAATAAAGTAACAAAACCTTTCTAAGATTCATTGCGCATTAAAATAAAATTTTAAAAAATCTGAATCTTGTCCAGAGGTTGCAGAATGCAGATAATGCTAGGGATAACACAATTAGAGCATCTTCAACTGTTAGAGAGCATTGTTTAAAATCTCCAACCTTCAGCATAAATTAACTTCAAACAGGAAAAAAAAAAAAAAAATCATTTTAAACTCATATCAAATTGTGAAAAATAGACTTACAGATTTAGCCTCCTTGTATTCATTTACAGCCTTGTGAGATGCATAAGAGAACTTAACATCTGGTCCCAACTCAGGAACAATGTAGTGGCTACACACTCCAAAGCAAAAATTATTTCAATAATCCACCAAACACCAACAAGCACGATTTATCAGGTCTACATAAATGAATAGTCCATTCAACATCCACACTAGCAGATATCATGATTTACCAACTAATAAAATCATAGATAAAGTGCTATTACTCACTAATTGGTGTCAAACCACTTGGTCATTTCCATGGCAGGCACAGCAGAATTACCCCTGGCCATTGAAAAGTAGACATCAAACCCAATCTCACCGCCTTTCCAACCATATCTTGGGGGAACTGCACCTAACATAGTTGTTGCATCCAACACTTGGTCATAGTATGAGAATGTATTGCTTGGAATGTATTTTATACCAGCATCAACCATCTGCTTCCAAATGGATGCCCTGAGATCAGCTGCAACCTTCTCCAAGTCCTCAGAACCACTCTTCCCATCCCAAAAAGATTCCAAAGCAAACTTAAGCTCTCTTTTTGGCCCCATACGAGGATATCCAACCACATGAGACGCCATTGCCCTGATTAACCGGAAAGGAAATTTCAAATTTTAACATCAATTCACACAAGCATGTAGCCCTTCTTGAAAAAATGATTATTAGCCTACCAAAAAATTGCTTGTCCTACCGGTTTTACAAATGGACAAATGAACACTCAATTTACATGAATCCTATTTACCATTAAGCAATGAGCACTCATTTCTCAAACATCTTCCATCACATTAGTCTTTACCTCCCTGTTGGGTATACAAAGTTAAGAGAAGCATACCTATTCAATAACAGCTTTTGATGAAAGCATAAACTACCAAACAATCATTTTCTTGTCATTAGCCACTTGTGTCATTAAAAGCCTAAAACCATGTTCCTAATCATTACTTACCCTTCTATCATTTCAAAGGATATATTCCAACTATGTCATGTACTCATGTTCGGATGTTCCTATCTACGAATAAAACTTAAACATTGTTAAACAGGTTGGTGGAAATGGACAATCAAAGAATCAATGGAAACCTAAACAAAATTTCATTAACAAACAACAATTCCAAAAATCAACTGAAAATGAAGTTAACCTGAAGCAGAAGTTGAAGCGCAAGAAGGTGGCGGGGCGCGCGTTAGATGAGTGGCGAAACGATAGAGGAGAATAGATAGAAAGAGAAAGAGAGGAGAGTGCAGAGAACATAACTGCGAATTTTCTCATTCACGTGGAATCTTCAGTCACTGCCATGGCGGCATTGTGCTCTGTTCTCTTATTTATTTATTTATTTTGTACGAAAACAGCATTTTGCCCCCTTCAATTTTGAACATTCAACACTAACCCCTCACCTTTTCATTTTTGCTAAATTAGCGGTTAGCGGATAACTTATTACATGCAAAATGACTTCCTCAAAAAGTTGATTGAAAAAAAACTGTTTTGAGCATCTTTTTTAATTTTAGCACTTTAGAGCAATAAGTTATTACAAAAAAATTAATTAATCAAACACTCATATTGATGTTTAACCAAGTCAAACAGTTAATTTTTTGAAAATCAAATCAAACAGTTAATAGTAATCAAATAAGTCAAAATTGACTAATAGATTAACTATCAATAATTATACCATGAATCCGAGTTTAAAATACACAATTTACATATTAAATGTTCATAATTTAAATTGTGAATATTCAATATGTAAATTATATATTTTTAAACCTGAATTCACCTTATAAGATAGACTCAAATCTACAAAATAATTTTTCATTAACTATGTTACCAAACAAATTCTTACTCTTTTAATCATCAATCCATCCAAATTTCTTTCAGTTATCCAAAATGCCCTCGTATTTATTTCCTTTTGGGCTCTTATCTATCAACCATGGGAAGATAAGGTCCAAAATGTCCCAAATTCGGCAATTTATATCCTACACCACGGCGCGCGTTGCACTATGCGTCCAGATGCAAAACGACATCGTTTTAATTTTTTTTTTTTTTTGAAATTTCCCGCCCCAGTGAATGGAAGTAGTTTTTTCTTTAAAAAAAAAAAACGCTGTTCAAGAATGTACATAATGTTATACATGAATGTACATAATTATATAACAAAATATACATACTCTTTTTAAAAGATAATACACATAATCTAACATAATACATAATAAACATAAACTTTTAACATAATACACATCAACTCTTAACATAATACACACAAATTTTCTGATTCGGATGTACATAATTATATAAAAAGAATGTACATAATTGTATAAAAAAATACACATAACTGTATGAACCAATACACATAACATTGTGAACAAATACACATAACGTTGTGAACAAATACACATAATCTCAGCAACTTCTTACCGCGCCTCCCAACACTACCCCAAAACGACGTCGTTTTGAGAGGCGCGTGGCGCACAGTGCTATGTGCGCCGTGGTGTAGGATATAACGATTGCCCAAATTCATATATTTCCCAAAAAAAAAAAATAATAAATAAGCCCATAGGCCTACTTTGGCCCAAAAAAGTTGGGTGTTTGACCCATTTTGGAATTTCCCCACACGTTTTAATTGTTTTAATTATTATTATTATTATTTTTTTTTTTTATTTTTTTTTTTTTTTTTTGTATTTGACCATTTGTGGTCCCATTCTACGGGACGATAGTAGTATTTTAGATTATCCAGTTTGGTTTTACGATAACTAATAAAATATAATTTTGACTAGTATTTAAAAAATATACTTTTTAAATAAATGTTGAATAATAATTCTTGAAATAAATATGTCTATTTTAGAAAAGGTTGACCATATTAATTTTGCATATCTTGTCATTCTTGTGTCAACATTCGAAAAATAAATACTACAAATTATTATTATTATTATTATTATTATTATTATTATTATTATTATTATTATTATTATTATTATTATTATTATTATTATTCCCTTTTAACACATATTATTGAAAATATGAACTTTTTCATAGATAAAATAGTAAATGTATACTCCATCTAATTTTTGTTTTTATCTTAAAATTTGTATTTATATTAAAGCCAACGACCAATTATAGACACAGAGAATAATATTTAACTTGTAAATGTTTAAGATTTAAAATTTTAATGGAGTATTAATTAGTACCGATACTAGTAATATCCAATACAATCAAGTACAATTAGGGGTGTTAGTAAACATAATTTTTGATAAATTACTTATATTCGTGTTTGGTAAGTGTTCTATTATATTCATTTATTAAGGTAAACGAACATAACTGAACAAATTTTAGAGTTCGTTTAATAAACGAACAAAGTATGAACATTTGCATGCATTGATGCATACACGTTTGTTAAAGAGTCCGTGAACATATTCGTTAGTGTTTGTTTAATAATGCCCATGAACAATCTGGTTTAGTATTCATTTAATAATGTTCAGGAACATGTTCGTTTACGAATGTTCACAAACATGCTAGTTAAGTGTAATTTACTTTATTTTACACGGGTGGTGGGGTATTGACTCTTTGAGTTCTAGTTGTTAGAGAAAGTATAGAACAGATACTACCTTGTAATAGAGTCCATAGTATTAAAAAAAAAGTGTAATTTACTTTATTTTATTAATTTTAATTTTAAGATACTACTACCAGAAATCAGGGTCTAGATAGAAGTGTAGAACAAAGTGGAACCAACTGGAGCTAGGACCAGAGACCAGGTGGAGCCAGGAACCATGGCCTAGGCAGAGGAGGTGGAACCAAGTGGAGGATGGGACTTGGGAGAACCAAGTGGAGCCCGAAACAAGGACTAAAGTTGGAGCCAAGAACCAAGGTCTAGGTGGAATGAGGTGGAACCCAGTAAACTTAGGAACTCAGGTCTAAGTGGGACTTGGTGGAACCAAGTGGAGCCAGAAACTCTTAAGTCAACCTTTAATTAAACAGTAACTAAAACATTTTTTTTATAAATATCTCATTTTTAATTATGAAGTCAAAATATGTTGATTGTTGTCGAGTTGTTATTTAATTAAAATATGTTCACAATGGCCTTTAAAAAAATTGTAAAAATGTAATTCTCATCGTTTTTGTATTTTTAAAAAATATTAAATGTTACTTTGTATTTATTTTTTTATTTTTATCTTTTATTAAATTTCGAGAAAGATCTGACCAAAACTCTTTAAGATGACCTACTCTTATTTGTTGTTATATTAACACTTCATTTATTTTTTTATTTTTTTTATCAAGAAGAGGGTGTAACCCAACGAAGCCTAAGAAGCGACGTTCATATTATCTCTCCCTCGATGAGCCTTGCGAGGGTACTTAGCGCCGACACGATCCTTTTGAATGGCATCCCGAAGATCCATAGGCTCGTCTCTCAAAACACATAGGCCAATCTGGTTGGAAATGGCCATCGTGGCAAGGGCATCCGCCACCTTGTTTTGCTCTCTGTACGCATGCTTATATTCCACCTGCGCCAGGTCCACAGCTTCACTCAAGCAATGTCCAATAATGTTATTTCGAGTCACGTCACCCATTTTTATGCTCTTCACTATGGCGATTGCATCACCTTCGACGATGAGCTTATCCACCCCCAGACTCTTTGCAAGCCTGATGCCTTGTAGGATAGCCCAAGATTCTGCCTCTTCAATCTTCCCCCTCCCGATGTTGCACATAAAGCCTCCGCGCCAGACCCCTGTATGATCGCGCAAGATACCTCCACACCCGGCTTCTCCACTGTTCTTCCTGCATCCGTCGACGTTTATCTTCCACCAGCCCTGCGAAGGAGGCTCCCAAGCCACGGCGGACTCATGAAGGTGGTTAGAGTGCCTACCCGATGGCCTGCCTTTCGCAAAAGCCGCACTGACCTCCGTATCGTAGTTCGTAATCCAGGCTCTCCGTTGTGTTGGAGTAGTCGTAACTTGCCGGAAGACTTCATCGTTGCGCCACCTCCACAGCCACCAAAGTCGGATGGCAAAACGTTCAGGCCATCCCTCATCAAACCCCATGCTAGCCTCAGCCCTCAGGTTCGCAGCAAACCAATCGTGCCAGCTTAGTCCACTGAGCCGCTCCACTGTACGCCTTGGGAGTGCGGATTCCCAGGTCGCCCTCGCTATCGGGCATCGGTGGAAGAGATGGTGCAGATCCTCCGGCATACCTGCACAACGGAAACAATTTATATCAGTTGCTATATATCTTCTGACTCGTTCAGTGTTAGTTAGGATTCGCCCATGTTTAACCAGCCACAAGAAAAAGTTAATTTTCCCCGGCGTACGGAGCTTCCAAATGATTTTCCAGTCCGGGTCAGAAGGTGTCGTCCTGTTTTGCTTAACCAGTTCGTATGCCGATTTGATCGAAAACTTGCCACTTTCCGTCAAACCCCAGCCTGGCCTGTCAGGCACGCTGTCCCCCGCCAACAGGACGCTCGCCAACCGTTCCATAGTCTCTCGTGGTAGAACATGTTCCAGTTTGTCCCACTTCCACCCATGACTGCTATCCCAATAGTCCGCCACATAAGCGTACAGGTCCGGAAGGCCGATAGGACGAAGCATCTGATCATATAATGGTGCCGGAGTTAGCCAGCTGTCCATCCAGAACCTGGTGGATTTCCCGTTGCGTACCAAACGGATCAGTCCATTTTCCATAAGTCCCCATGTAGCAGTTACCCCTTTCCAAACATTAGAAGTCTTCTTCCTTTCCACGTCCGTTGTGCTAAAGTCCCCGTTCCTTGCGTACTTTGCTTCAAAAAATCTAGCCCATAAGCTGGATGGCTCAGATCTGAGTCTCCATCCTAGTTTAATCATATAGGCCTTATTAAGATCATGCAGGCGCCTAAGTCCTAGTCCCACGACTTTTTTCTCGGAGGTCACCATGTCCCAGTTAATGAGGCTCATTTTATTGTTTCCCTCACTATTGGACCCCCAGATGAACTTCCGGGTTCTTTTCTCCAATTCCATGCATACGCTTTTAGGGAGGTATGTCGTTTGCATAGTATAGGCAGGTATTGCATTCAAAACTGATTTAGCGAGCACAAGCCTTCCCGCTGTGGTAAGCGTCTTCGCCTTCCAGCCTTCTAGACGCGCTGAAATTCTCTCCAGAAGTCCGGAGAATGTGCTGCACGTGGCGCGGCCATGAAGAGACGGGACACCGAGATATCTCCCTAAGTCTTCAGTCGCGTCGATGCCAAGTTTGCTAGCTAAGGCTTCTGCTCGGGCCGGATCAGTATTGCGCGAGAAGAAAACATGAGATTTACTCAGGCTGATTTTCTGCCCCGAAGCCTTG